AGATTGCTATTAAGCATCAAACACTGAATCACCCAAAGACACGATTAATAAATACTAGCATCACTTGTCAGTGTCAGCAATCAAACACATCCACGTTATATTGAAGCAATACAAAGAAACAATTGTACCACCAATACATAATTTACCTTCAAGTTTTTATATACGAATCCTTTTGTATTTTGAAGATGATCTAGAAGACGACCAGGAGTTGCTACCAATAGATTGATCCCTTTAGCAATGCGTTCAGCTTCAATTTTTCTAGTTGAACCTCCAATAACCAATCCAAGAGTTTGTGAATGATACTTGAGAAGCTCTTTGGCCACAGCATGTGTCTAATAGAAATATTGAATCAACAAATAAGAACTATTTGACCAAACCCGCAAACAAAGAAATGAAAAAACCGAGGCAAAGAAAATGTTATCCCAGAAGCAGGGTTTAGGAACAGGTCTACATATAATGAGCAAAATTACCTGTATTGCAAGCTCTCTAGTGGGGCATATAACAACAACACCAGCTCCATTACGAGGTGTAAATTTAACATTATACAACAGCTCCACAGCAGGAATTAAAAAGGCAAGAGTTTTTCCAGAACCAGTCCTTGCAGCACCAAGAACATCTTTTCCAATCAAAAGCGGTGGAATTGCTCTTGCTTGAATCTGCATTGATGATAGAGAATCAAGCCAAATAAATTGCATGTAAAAATCAATAATTCACTATCCTCATAATGTTACATGCAAGGTTATCTTATTCAACATTTTCAGTAACTCGCCGTTTTGCAGAATCAACAAGCAACAATACATTACTAAGGGTTAAGAAACTCAAAACGCAAAGTAGAAGAAGAAAGAGAGAGGTATACCTGAGTCATGTGGTGGAATCCCATATCCATAATGGCTTTATAAGTAGGTTCAGACAATCCAAGAGATTCAAATGACTCAGTGCTCATAATTCCAGAACCACCATTGTTCTTCACCTTTCTCTCTTCCACTTCACTTTCTCCATCCACTTTCTTCTTCTTCTTCTTCTTCTTCGAGGATTCACCTTCGCTATCTGTATTATCCCCATTTTCCTCTTCTTCTAGACGCTCCTCGGTGGCAACATCTCGTGGTCTTTTTTTGTCGCGCTTATTATTCTTCTTCTTATTTTTGTAATTGGTTTCGTGCATAGGCGAGGCTTCTAGGTTGTCCTCTGCTTCTGCCATGGTCAGATTTCGCACCACCTTAACCTCAGTCCCTATCTTCTTCTTCTTCCTTTCTTCTCCCCCCGTTAAACCCTAGTTTAGCACGCTTCGAGTGCACGTGAGATGTAGTGGCGTTTAAATGGGACTCTGGAACTGGAGTCAAAGCCCGAATGAATTGGGCCCATTGTTTTAATTTGGCCCAAAAAAGTAGTCTGGGCCTTCAGAAGACCAATGATTGTGGATTTAGTTTAACTAGTCTTCAAATGGGCTACACTAGGCCTGAATTTATATGGACTGCTCAAGCTTGCTAAAATTCAGCCGATAATGACTTTTTTTATAGCTCACCTTTGTAATATGATTCTTTTTTTTTTCAGAATTTTTTTACAAGTTCAAAAAAATATATATGTTTTATTTTTCTTAAAATAAAAAATATCAATTTGATCAAAAAAAACTAGTTACAAATGTCCTCCACCAAACACAATTTTGTCTCTCAATAATTTTGCATGGGTTAAAAATTTTAGTGGGAATTTTTAATAAATAATGTTTGAATATGAGACCTTAAAAAAATTGTACAAGTATCAATTAAATCAGTTATCGTTAGTAAAATGAGTTGGGTTTTAAAAAAAAAACAATGATTCTAAAAAAAAGAAGACAATGTGAACATATGAACATAAATCATTCTTATTTTTTATTTGCATAGAAGTGTATATATATCCTTCAAGATATTAAAATTATCAATGTGAGTATTAACTCTTCTAAAAACTATAACTCTTTATACACATGACCGAAAACAAACTTTGTATTATATGTTTAAGGAATTAACTATTTACTAATTATGTTGTGCTTTGTTGGTAAAAGGGAAAGTGGACATCGAGCATGGTCTTATAAGGTTATGTCTCTGTAAAAACTATCTATTTGGTGTGCTTTGGAATTTTTTTTTAGGGTGAGAAATAAATTTGGTGAAATATTGACAAATTTTAGTAAACTATTGGGAATGGAAACATTACTAATGCAATATTTTTTTATTTTTTTTAGAAAAAGCTCTCTTTATTCGGAATGAATCTGAAAAGGATATATTAATAAAGCGTAGTATTTTAAAGATTTTGTAATTCTTATTTAACCATTGACACTCATGACAAGAAGGGGACACCATTGGGCATAACACTAGAGCAAGGTGGGGAAAAAAGCAATAACAAGGAAACATTATGATGAAGAAATGCTTAATTACATGCACACACAAATTATCATAATCTAATTGTCCTAGTTCATGTCATTACTTGAAAGGCAATAAGCTGAATTTGGTCACAACCTTCATCATTACCACTGTGCTTAATTATACTCCACTCGCCTCACATTAGGAACCAAAATGCAATAAAAATATGGAAAACAAACCAATCAATTTCTCAAACCATAGTCAACTTTGTTGTTGGCTTGGCCCCAACACTTTTGTTTCATCGCTGCTTTTTCTCAGAAGCCGGAAGAAAGAGAAATGGATAATAGATGCAAAACAGTGTTCGGTAACGAAGACCCACCAGGTAACTAGTTAATGTATGTTCGAATAATTCATTTAATATATCATTGTTCAATAGATCAACATAACCCATTAAAAAAAAACTCGTAATTTGATGAAGATTTTTGTTTTAATAAAACTATGCTTAAAAACAAATACATTAAAGATAATTACATTTAATTATTCTTTATGAAACCTTCATTTAAACCACATGTTCGTTATAGTTCGTATATATTTCTTAATCCTATTTATTATTATGTCATTTTTAATCATGTAACATATAATTTATTTTACACAACAAAATACAAACAGTGTTATCAGTTGTTTTGTAGATATTATTTAAGCTATTGTGCTGTTTTGGTGATACTCTATATTAACACGAAAAATGTAACTATTGATCTAATCATCAGTGTCGTTTAATAATGCATCTTTTAGTGTTTTTTAAATATTTGTTATTATTAAGTAAATTTTTATGTAGATATTATTAAATCAAAATAAGTTATAAATTATTTAGTGATTTTCTCTTAATAACAAAAACATGTGAAAAGAGCTTATCATCAATATTTATTTGAAAACATTAAAATCAAATTTTATAAGTGATTTTAACAATTTAAAAGTAAAAAAGTTTTATATAATTTTCAATAAAATATTATCACTTTTAAATGTTTGACTGATTTTCGTAAATCCATACTTTAAAATAATTTAATCATACATGTTGCTTGCCTTCAAAGTTCAATGAGACCTTCATACCACGTTAGGTGAAAAATATCATAAGTTCATGAGTGTGTGTGAGAGATAAGTTATATTTTAATTAGCTTCTTTCTTTAGGTGGTAAAGTTAAAATAACTTAAAATAGCAATGGGACAAAATTATCCTAACTAGAAAGGATCGACTAAAGTTTTGGAATTTGGATCATATTTAAATGTTAGTTTGGAAAGTTGATAAAATGACATTAAATCATATTTAAATGTTCATGATTCATGGTATAGTGCAGAGTGTCGCTGGTTAAGAATTATAGACGTCCATCATAGTCAGTGTTTGTTTAAATTATTACATCATTAACATAGAATAATACTAGTAACATATGTTTTATAAAATATATTTTTTTAATAATACACTTTTTATTATCATATTTAAATTTTTTTAAAAATTAATTATGACATAAATATTTTTAAATAAATTATTTATAAAAAATGTTTTTTTTTTAAATTCTAGCACCAAACCACCTATTTTATGCCTTGCCCTTATCCGGTATAATTTATCAATCACCTTTTATTTATTTTTTTCTTAACTTTTAATAAATCAATAAAATCAAATACCTCTTGCATAATTAAAAAATACATTTTATTAATATAGATTGATCTGAGTGATAAATAGTTTGATATTATTTAAATAAGATTTTGAATTCAAATTTTTTTATATATAAAATTTTTTTAATAATAAACTCACTTATCATATTTAGTGTGCAACTCAAGTAAAATCTAAATTAAATCAAATAAAAAAATATTTTACATAATTTTAGCATACTTTTTTTTTTATTTTTCAAAAAATTATCAGGAAGACATTTATAATATAAAAAGCGATATTGATATAATTTTGTATGTTAATTCAATAAAATATCATATTAGCTCCCTCAAATAACTTTGACTCATATTTTAAATTAATCCTTATTTATTAAATTAATTAATTGAATTTTATAAAAAAGGAATTCATATCCTAGTGCCATCTATAAAAAAATAATTTTTGTTAATAAAAGAATAACATAAGATTACACCTCATAAAAGAATAATAACAACACAATTTTAGTAGAAGCATTTGTAATTCTAACATTTATGGTTTTGGATATTAAATTGGTCATTTATGGAGCAGGTGAGATTCTCGTGCATAGGAAATTTCGAAAAGGACCACACAACTCAATAAACCAGCCGCTTGAGGACTGACACTTGACCGTTACGTACGTGTCATTTCAAATCTCAAACCTCCAATAACCCTCCACTTTTCACTAATTCCACTTCTCTTTTGCTAAAAAGTCAACAAATTCAGCCACTAGACTTGGTGTGCAACAAGCAAAACATGAAGTTCCCTAAACAACCCCGCTTAAACCAACGTCTCGGATTGACCCAAAATCAAATTCCAAATCACAACACCACTACCCTTCTCTTTCTTCTTCCTCTACCCACACTCTGTTCAGCTTCCACCTTAATCTCTTCCTCCTAAAGCTTTCAACTTTCTGAATCACCATACAAAGCTTAAACCTGGGTCGAGGGAAAAATCTTCTGGGTACGCATGTCAAGGTAGGAAGAAAATCTCAGAATGCCGGTTTCAACGCGGTCTCAAATCACCACCACCACCACCAACCATGGCGAAAACGAACCAAACCCGACAACAACACAGAGACTGAGAAACCCTCACCATGGCCTAAAGGAGAAGCTGAAGACGCTCACTCTTTTATACGAGCAACAGAAGCAAGCTTCTGTAGCTCTCAAGAACGGGTCTTTAAGACCCCCACAAGAGAAAAACGTGATGCGAGAAAACACAATGCCCAACACAACAATCACAAGAACCTTTGTGTTACCTCAACCACCCTCAAACGACGAAGATGCTAAGGAGAATATAGTTGTTGGGTCTGATAGAATTGTCGGGTTTTCGTGCCCACGAAAGACAACATCAACAACAACGAATGTTTGTGTCTCGAGTTCTGCTACCGTGGCACGGAAACTGTCGATGGGGATGGTTCAAGAGTTTGAGAAGGTTGACGCGGTTTCGGAGAAGCAAGGGAAGGTTGGGAGTAGGATCCTTGTGTTCGTGAGGCTTAGGCCTATGAACAAGAAGGAAAAGGAAGCGGAGTCACGGTGCTGTGTCAGAATCGTTAATCGCCGTGACGTTTATCTAACGGAGTTTGCCAATGAAAACGATTATCTCAGACTTAATAGGCTTCGTGGACGCCACTTTACCTTCGATGCCGCGTTTCCTGATTCCTCAACTCAACAAGAAGTTTACTCCACCACGTGAGTTCGTGACACACTTTTTTTATTGTAGAAATTTTTGCAAATTCATAGATCATGTGATTCTTGTAGTAAATAACATCTCGGAGAATTTAATATTTGAGTAAGCTTTGAATAGTGTGATTCATGTAGCCTACCTCAAGTAGTGAGATAAGATTTGTTTGTTCTTGTGATGAAATAATACATATGAAGATGATTTTGTTGATTGTTGATATATCGCGTGATGTGTGTTTATAATATGCTTTTTTTGGATATAAAACTTTGTGGACTTATATTATACAATTGAATGGTTAATATTAATACAGCATTAGTTTGAAAATGTTGTTGTTGTTGTTATGGTCTAGCAGTAAAGGTTGAGTTGAATTTTTCAGAACCTCAGAACTTGTGGAAGCGGTTCTGCAAGGGAGGAATGGATCGGTTTTCTGTTATGGAGCAACGGGGGCTGGGAAGACTTACACAATGCTTGGGACAGTGGAGAATCCAGGGGTGATGGTTTTGGCAATTAAGGATCTTTTCAGTAAAATCAAGCAGAGAAGTTTTGATGGAAGCCATGTGGTTCATCTCTCTTATCTTGAGGTTTATAATGAAACTGTTAGGGATTTGCTCTCCCCTGGAAGGCCTCTTGTTCTTAGAGAAGATAAACAGGTCCCTTTCCTTAGTCCTTATCCTAATAAAATCAAAACCTTATCTAAAGGTTGAAAGGAAGTACATTACATTGTTTATGATATTGCTTGTTGCCATCAAATAAATATGTATACAGTTTAATGTACTAATGCTTTTAATGGTCATGTTTGTCTTGTATTTTAGTTTCTACTTGAAAGATATTTGATGATACTTCGCTCAATTATGTACGTTATAGGGGATTGTAGCGGCATGCCTTACACAATACAGAGCTTATTCCACTGATGAAGTAATCTTCTGTTCCTTTTTAGAGGAATATAACTTTAGAGAGCTGATTCAAGTTTGAAGCTTCATTTAGCATTTTTAATTAGTCTTTTTCTTGTTGCTTCAGGTGATGGCATTGCTTCAGCAAGGAAATCAGAACCGAACTACAGAACCAACTCGTGCAAACGAAACATCTTCACGTTCCCATGCAATTTTGCAGGTAACCATCAATGAGGAAAAAGTGAAGGATCCATATAAATTATTGCTGTGGTTGTGAAATGTACTTATTTTACTAACCGAATTTACCTTATTTTGCTGCATTTAGGTTGTGGTAGAATACCGAGTTAGAGATGCTTCAATGAATATTGTTAACCGTGTGGGCAAGCTCTCATTAATTGATCTTGCAGGATCAGAGAGAGCTCTTGCCACGGATCAAAGAACTCTTAGATCTCTTGAAGGTGCCAATATAAACCGGTCTCTTCTTGCACTGAGCAGTTGCATTAATGCTCTTGTAGAGGGCAAGAAACACATACCATATAGAAATTCAAAACTCACTCAGCTTCTCAAGGATTCACTAGGAGGAATTTGTAACACTGTCATGATTGCAAACATAAGCCCAAGTAACCTCTCATTTGGTGAAACTCAGAACACAGTTCACTGGGCTGATAGAGCCAAGGAGATTCGTGCAAAGGTTGAATTGAATTCTCACATCATTTCAAGCTAGTATCTCCAAATGTTGAGACATAAATAATCCCTTACATATTTTTGTGATGATGTTGAATAATGTAATCTGTTATATGAATGGACACAGGTAAGTGATGCAAATGAGGATCAATTACCAGTGCCTGAGACAGAAACTGACCAGACCAAGCTTGTACTTGAGCTGCAAAAGGAGAATCGTGATTTGAGAATACAATTAGCAAGGCAGCAACAGAAGTTCTTGACCCTCCAAAAACAATCCTTAGCTTCACATGCCTCACCAACACCACCTTCAGCTGGATCACTTTCCACTCCTCCAACTTCTGCTCAACCAATTGAAAAAAGAAGGGCTAGAACCTCTTTCTTGGCTGGAACTTGTTTCACTCCAGAAACCAAGAAGAAGGGACCTGAACTAGCTGTCAAGACACTTCAACGAACCGTAAAAGCACTTGAGGCAGAGATAGAGAGACTGAAGAAAGATCATAGCTTGCAGCTAAAGCAAAAGGATGATCTTATTTACGAGCTCTCACAAAAGGGTGGAAAACAAACATTAACAACAATGGAGGTGGGAAAGGGAGTGATGACCAGGGCTAAGGATCCACACAATAGTGAGATGAAGAGTCCAAGTCAACGTTTTCGATCACCAGCACCAACTGCCAAGAAACGAAGCTTTTGGGACATAACCACAACTAATAGTCCATCAGTTACTACATTAAATGGGAGAAAAACTAGAAGTCATGTCCTTGCTGAACCTACTGCACCTCCTCCATCCTTGCTTCTTCAGGTACAATGATCCTTCCCTTCTTTTAGTCCTTATTCTTTTTGCCTGCATATGTTTGCACTTGAGTTTCCTCCTTCTTTAACTTCGTAAGAATTGATTAGATCGGTGTCAGGCTTTAGAGCACCAAGAAAATTACAATAGACCGCATACTTCTTGAAGATGTCTTTTCAAGAATGTGATTTGATCTATTTGTGACAGCATACGCATTTGTATATATCAAGAATAGGATCTTTTCCTCCCACTCACTTTCAATAACTGAGTTCCTTAATGGAAAGAGTACCTGTTAAGCATAAAGAGGAATCATGACCTTATATTGTATATTGTATCAGTAGTTAGTTTTCACACCATCACAAACTCTAGGTTACTTGGCGGCCTTTACACCATAATTCAAATACTTTTACCAATCAAACTTCAACGCAGTAAACACATGTACATATGTTGATTTCCAAATCCCACAAAGGATGGCAAAATTACATCAGGCTAATTTATTCAACCATGTTTACAAAATAAATTTACCACTCACTAGAAAACCAAATTAATTCTAACAAAATTGTCAAATGTTTCTTTTTTTCAGCCTGGTTTTGCTCGTCAAAAAGCCAATATTTAAAGTAAGTGATTTTATGATGGAGTGGAAATTGAAGTTGCCAGAGCACCGGAAAGTTCTGTATTACACATTTAGAGAGATCATTGCAGACATGCTATGCTCCTCCTTTGTGACCATCTTTTTTATGTCTCTACTCAAAGGATGATAGTGTAGTTAGCTGCAGGCTCGAGTATCCTTTGCATGGCTCTTTCATTCACCACCACCTCCCTCATCCCCACACCACGTTCATTATTTCACTAACATTATTTATATTTTACATGTACATTAATTGTTTTTTCAACCTAGATGCACCTTTATTCTTGAACAAATTTGTCTATGGGCTTGATGTTCCTTAAAAGAATTTGTGTTATGCTTGATGTTTCCAAGTTCTTATGTTCCTTAAATCTCACATCGTTAGAGTATTTGGTTAAAGTATCCTTGTAATGATTTGGACTGATTTATTCTCAATTGTACTCTACTATATATATATATATATATATATATATGCGAATTAAGAAAAATCTTTATATTAATGACGATGGAACAAAATAATTTTATAAAATGGCAATGATTTTAACATTATTTGTATACATGATGACGACTTAAACATCTAATCATCTTTAATAATAATGTATGATAAAAAAAAAACGGGAAGTTAGATAAAATCAACGTGCATTTGTGGAGGATACATCATGCAAATTCAGTAGCAATTAGGTTGGTGATTGTTAAAGCTATTAGTAAGGAAAAAACAATGCAATAGATAAGTTAGCTTGACATTGATAATCCAAAAAAGGATGGTGTGGGGTCAAATTCATCTATTAAATGGTACATCAAATAAGGCATGTGAGGAACTGCGAATTTTTGTAATAAAAATTATATGCTATTTTGATGTTATAAGTCAAGGATTGTTCCTTAATCCTAAAACGCTGAAAAAATGCAGATGATTTACAATTTTTTCTTAAAAAATGTTTGGGAGAAAGAATTTGGAAAAAAAAGAGAGAAGATGATATATTTTAAAATTTAAATTAAAAAATTATATATTATATAATAAAAAAAATATTACTAACACATTAAGTTTATGTTAATATATAAATTTTGTCCTATTTGCATCTTCCCGTCAAATATTCTTTCCCAAATAACTCATTACATTAAATAACCTGATTAATTGTGCATAAATCTTAATTGCAAATTCCATTATTCTATTCCTTAGTTACTTAGCTGTCATTTTCTTAGGAAAATAACATCATCAAAAGTTCTAGTATTGCAATCAATGCGGATTATAGCGGCGCTATATCAAAATAACAAAGCGGAGCAGTCACAAGCCACTACAATATTTGAATAGCGCCCTACGTTAAAGTGAAACTTAAAAAAGAAAACATTTTTACCCCCCAAAAAAGCACTGTTTAGGAAATTTTTAATGTTTATTATTAAGTACTTGTATGTTTTCCTTAAAGTTATGACTTTTTTATTTTTAATTATGAATATATCAGATTTTGAGTTTATCTTTAAAATTGTTTACAATTTATATTGTATACAAATTTTTTAAATAACTATTCCACTATAACATTTTTAGCATCGCCCACTTATAGATCACTATCTAAGATTGATAACTATGATCACAACACTAACGGCGAACAATGATAAACATTTCCTATTCTTATCATTAACCAGCTATTGCTACATGTGTCTTGGAAAAAAGCAATGGCACACAAACATTCACTCATCTAGTTCTACAAAACAAACTCATCAAAGCTATCCATGGTCCATGTACGAAATTTTCTGAGGCTAGATTTTCTCCACAGTTGAAATCTTTTTAAGAAATCTCCTACTATTCAAGTAGACCCCTAAAACAGCATCTGACCTAGAGGAAAATAAATGGTGCTGCCTTAGGGCCATTATTTGGGGTTGTTATTTGCTGATGGAACATGTAAAATCTGTGAGGCTTTGCAAACCTGAAGCCTAGTTTGTTACTTCAATTCAAACCTGGTAGGAGAAAAGTCTCTCCTGCCTGACCATAAGAAAACATACACATCACATCAATATGAAGTGATTCTTCAATTATAATTTAATCAAATTGACATGCAGCCCCACTTTTGTACAACACTGCGGATCAGTACATACTTTCATTCGTCTGGTTTTGTATAAATAAATTTGGTTAGCCACTATGCTTATAATTGGTTGACAAGATAGGACTACATAACCCTACAATTACAAATGTAAAAGATGAAACAAGTTGGGACTTTGTAATCACCTATGGTCATGTACTACAGACAACCTTAATGCACTCTTCTGATTTCTGCTCCTATCTCTTTTCTCAATAGTGTTTTAAGGGAGGTTTTAGTGCACTAATGAGAGCAATAATGATATAAATCAGTGGCCCAACTTTATGTGAAGCCATTAGCTTTTATATCTTTTGAAGAATGATGACTGGATGATTAAAAAAAACAAAAGAACTTTGGTTTCGGTGAAAGACATCTTAAAGAATTTGATTTTTGTCCTAGCTGTAAGCCACATAGCTTCATCTTCAATCTTTTCTCTTGTAAGATGCAGGGAAAAATAGTAGGAAATTTTGAAAGCCTGAAAACTAGGACAAGGGAAAGGTAAAAGGAATGAATGATCACTATTATGATCAAATTAACCCGGTAAAGGATTTTCTTTAGGGGATTAAATAAAAGGGTAGTGGTCATATTTGTTAACAGTGGGGGCTATAGTCTACACTTTGCAACTCAAGCAGCACAAATTACAATGAGTCACAAAATGGTGAGAATGTTTCAGATTTGAATTATGCCAACAAAAGAAAAGCAGTCAACAAGAGCAAAAAGCAAATGATCGAGAGTATAAACAAAGGAAAAGTGAGGAAAAGATGGGGTCTGTTGTCAGATTGTTAGTAGTGAATATTGATTTCTTTTTCTTTTCTCACATTGCTTTTGATGACTTCTATGATTAGGCATTAACAAAAAATTCTCGGGATCACTTCACAAACAAAATTATGCATAAAAAGCAATCATTGGAACAATCTTAACTTTTAGACCAAATACTGAAATTTTGTTGGATTGAATAAAGGATCCTAACTAAACAGGGAAAGAATAGCATCAGAAGGAAACAAATTATAATGAAGTTGTCATCTAACAGACACAGAAAAGGAAAGAGCAGCGGGAGGGGATGATTCTCATATAGCAATCTTCCTCTACCCGAAAGCAAACATAATACCATTTGCAGAATCTGTAAGAGTAGAATTGACATGATAGTTTCTAATCATGTGCTAAGCCACTAGAGTAATGATAGTGTGTCAAAACATATGGAATTAACAACATAAATCCCAATAATAGGTGTGGACTCTTTAATATTCAGAGTTCAAGAAGCACTTCAATTATGGGGAATGAATTGAATCATCAAGCAAATAAATAAGCACATGGCAGGAAATTAAAAAAGAGAGCGTGGGGGAGCACAGTACAAAGAAGGGCAATTCATCAAGTGGAATCAAACAGCATGGCATAATGAAACTTTCAAAGTTAATAAACCAAATAAAAATGCAAAGACAATCATGACTTGCATTAACCTCCATTCCAAATCACTAATTAAAGGATTGGAAAGAAAACTATACATATACACCTTTCGTGACCCACCCACCACCACGCTGTAAAGTATTGGTTACCCACAAATTCCCCCCTTTCTGCCTTAACCCTACCCTCCTATCCTAACAAGAAAAAAACAGAAACCCCACTTCTTCTTCCTCCCTCCAGGAAGAAGAGGGGGGGAAAAAGGAAGAACTTGGAGAGAACTAGGTCTCCATTTTCATGATTAAAGAGCTAGACAAGTAGTATAGGAACAACCTAGTGTTGAAAATCCACAAAGAACAAAAGCTAAAAAAAGGGAAAGTATATAACTAAATAAACAGACATTTAGAGCGACTGGTCCTAGACTCTAAGCAAATAAATACTAAGTTCAGGTGCTCCATTGCTGTCAGGGTTCATCATGTAGAAAGCCTCAGAATCTCTAGACCCAACAATCCTCTCAAACCTAGCCCTCATGTACATCACTTCACCATCAGGCCCTGCTTGTGCTTCAACACCATCACTATTACTCAGTGGCAAAACACCTGCACCCATCGAAATTGGCTCCACGGCTTTAAGGATGTCCCAGTCTTTTGCTCCACATTCTCTTGTGGTAGCAAAGCCACACTTTTTGCCGTTGCAATATGTCCTCCACAGAGGCTCTTGAAGTAACCTCACGCTCTTCTTCTCTGCACCTTTCGCCTTGTCACATTCCAGAGCAATTCGAACCAGCCCAGAAGCCATTTCGCGAACCAAACCGCTTATTGGTGTTGCAAGCTCGATGAGGAAAGCGGGTTGGGAAGTGGGGTCCTTCTGAAACGCGAAATGCACGTGGCCACGACGGTAACCGAAGAGAGTGCCAACAACTCGAGAACCAAGACCAAAGGGCAGGTTGGAACGGTTCTTGCCAAACACAGTGAGAACAGAGCGAAGCCTTGAAATTGCCACCGCCTGAAGCTTCCTTCTTGTTGCCTGAGAAGTGGCTGAAGGTCCTGGAACTGGAACTTGAACTGGAACACCCTTGTCATCTTCTTTTGTGTCCTCTTCTATGATTTTGGACATGGGAACTTCCACTTCTTCATTTCCAACCTTGTTGGTCCAGTGGAAGTGTCTCTTGGAGGATGATTCTTGAGGAGTTGAGGTTGTGTCCATGACTAGTGTCTTCATCAGAGAAAGGAAAAGGAAGCTTTAAAAACAGGTGGAGGTGGTAAAGAGAGACACGGAGACGGCGAGTGTATGAATCTGGTTTCTTCTTTTTACTGTTGGGGATAGATATGTTGCGCTTTATGCTTATTTAATTGATTCTTTGTTATTCTACTACCCATCTCCCCCTTTCATATAGTGAGTGCAAGAGAATCCTGACAAAAGAAACATAGGCAGTCCCACCAGCTGATACAGGAAATCAGAAAGAGAGAGCTGGGATAGAGTGCGCTTCAAATAGAAAAGAAAGGAATCTAAGGAGACAATGTGTTTGTTATTTCACTTTCTTGTGGGGCATCCAGAGAGAGAGAGAGAGAGGAGTATGCAATTGTGCTTGACTAAACTCTTTTGACTTGATGCCTAAAACGGTAAAAGAAGATTAAAAAACTAAAGGAAAAACAAACAAAACCCAAACCCATCACTGTTGAAACTCGACATGCACTTAGCATACTCCTCTGCTGCATCCATGTCTTCTAGTGCAAAGGCGCACCATGGTGACATCAGGTTAAGCACTACTGAATTCTCGTGGCTCATGTTGGCTACAGAGACAACATTACACGTATCTACGAACTGACACCAAATTGTGCTCAGTCCTGTTAAGCTGTTATGACAATTGATGTTTAACTCAACATAATCTCGAAACGTAAATAGATTTTGGTTGCTAGAACCGGGGTTTACGGGGAAGTGTGGTCAACTACGCGAGAATTTTAAAGGGAATCCGCAAATTATCCCAGGAAATAATTTGCCTCAAAAGCGGGGGAAAGGGCTACTATCGCTCAAAGTTATCATTCATTTGTGCAAAGAGCGACTGAGCGAGGTTGAAGTAATGTGCCTCGGTTTTACAGCATGTCGAGCTTTTAGTATTACCCCCATATCATAAATGTAAAAAATAAAAAAAACACCATTGCTTCGACATATTTAATAATTGTTACAATCTAATACAGTAGCTTCTGTCTGAATCAAGCTAGGAGCTGTTAGTATGTAGAAAGATACAAAAAGTAAATTAAATAATTACAAGTAATGCTAAACGGGAGGATTTCCATGAACTCTGACTAATTACATTGACTTACAAATATCGATTCATTGATAGAATACAAATGGCGAGCACATCCACATAGACCAGCAAACTGGTGAATGGGTTTTTGTACACAATCGAGCTCATTAGAAGCATAGACAGGAGTCAGAGGTGCTTGCCTATGCTTCAATATAATAACGGTCCTAAGTTAGCTATCTAAACTTTGGTCAGCATCTGGCTGCTTGGAAGCAATGGCTCCACCATTCATTCTAGCACGTGCCTCTGCGAACATCCTTTGCTGCTCTGCTAATGCTTCTTCCTCAGTCATCTCAGCTCCAGTGCTCCATTTACCACCTTTCAAAGAGTCCTGCTGGAAGAAAACCAAATCAATCAGAAAATACTTTCTCCTTTCCAAAGTAAACGTATATACAACAGTAATTAACTTAATAAAAAATCACTTTCCACTTCAACTGATCAATAATACAGGCCCTCCAGCCTCTCACTAGCCACTGTGAGCATGGATGTAAGGAAATCAAGACCATTCATGAACTTCTTATAACCCAGATTGATAAGCTATTGCCAGAGCACAAAATCATCATTCTCAAGTCACAAGAGTTGAACAATCAATTACTTACTTCAGAGATTGATGGAATATCTAAAAATCTACAAGCGTTGATGACTAAACTAAAAACCACAGGCATAGAAGGATAACAAAAACTGTCAAAGGTGAATAAGTAATTTCAAATTTAACTCCTAAAGCTACACACAACACAGGCCATGTTCCTAAACTGCATTCTGAAAACATCAAGTGGGGAGGAAAGAAGTGCGAAGATAAGTCAGATTACCAGTCAGTTAAGATCTTTCCAGTGTATTTACCTACAGGATACCATTTCCACAGATCTCTATCAGTGGGGATAGGTTAGATGGGATCCATGACTGGTCTGGGGGCTTCTTTAGAGGACCAACAATGAGCCCTGCAGGTACTCCCTCAAGACAGTCCATCTTTCATCTGACCCCAGTTTGAAAACAGAAATTCAGTTTCCGCTATGATTGTTCAAGATGGTCAGATAATTAATAAAAATGGTACATCTGAGGGAGCACTCCACGTTTTCACTTTTTTTTTTTGTTATGCATTCACCCATAAAGAAATTATGGGGATGGGGCAGGAATAAAAGAGGGTGAATACGGTTATGTTACATTGTACCACTCAAGTATTCAGCATAAATATGGGGCATTAATATTAATATTAATAATTACCATGGTCTCCAGCTTGTGTTGTTCGTATGCTGCATAAACTTCTTCTATGTACTCACCAAATCCAAGAACCTGGAGGGGTAGGTGCAAATCAAATAATCAATAAACAGAAAATAAAATAAAATAAAATCCAACAAACTCGTTATTGACAATTCCATACAAGCACATTTAAAATAAATCCATACTTAAGTTTGGAACACTTCTATATAACCTCAAAATTGAAAAGAATTCACTTTTAAAGAAATGAGTTTTGTCTTGATTAAGACATTCCGAATGGCTAAAATATAAATTTAGAATATGTAGTAGAAAGAATTTGAATTGTGACGATCTAATATTAAAAATCTGCAGGAAACCAAAGTAAGCTCTTGTTTTTATGAAAAAAAGCCAGTCAACAACTACTATAGCTTCAGGGTAAGGGCATATCTTACAAGTGCACACACTTCACTGTCTGGGAAGCAGAGACAACAGTCTGTAAACTAAACAATTAATAAATCTGTAATTAACAAAGGACAACCTAATCAGGTACCAAGTATTTTAGTTCAAGTTTCGGAAAGCTGTGCTCAAGTCTCATCATGGATAAGAATGCAATGACACATAATTTATCGCAGAGTAGTTTCTATAAAGAGAGGAAAATAAAAATCGTTACTATTAATAGTTGATCTTAAATCCTTTCAATGCATGTTCCTTAAAATGCATCATTAAGAAAACCTTTGTTAAATGAAATATTTCACAGCCAAACATAACATCACCCAAGAAAATGCATGGTACCAATAGAACACTCAAGTATAAACTGAGCAACATCCACAAGCAGAACTTTAAGAGATACAACAGGCAGACAAATTTCAAATACCTCTAGAGCCTTCAACACATGCTCAGGTGCAATTGTCCGTTTATCCTCTCTGTTACAGACTTCATTGGATTCTGACGATACAAGGTTTATAAACTCTACAATGACAAATCAACCAACAACATCTTACTCCTTGCGAATTGTAAAGTAAGGATATAAAGCAGAAAACACTTAACATTCACAGCCTAAATTTTCACATAGAACAGAAGCATTGAAACACAGCATGCCTGCAGTATAGATCATACACAAGCAAACAATGTTATTACATGTTCAAATCCAGATATGAACAATCAGACAGCAAGTTCAAAAGTGCTTATTTATTGCCTATGATATTATTACACTGTATATTCTAGTAATTTACTGGTTGTATAGTATTGTTATGGTTAGGTCATTATTCCTCACACTTGAACTTGAACCAAAACTAGCCCTAAGCAAGAGACCAGAACCCTGTGTCATTAGCAAATGCAGATGAGAGATTGTAAACAAATATCATGAACTCATTATGACCATTTTACTTATAATCCATGCAAAAGTTTTGCAGTTAACATTAACAGACATCGCAAAAATAGCAATAGAAAGTTCATCAGTTTTGTGCAACTGTCTGCATGCTAAAATTTTGACCCTGCATAAAAGCTTGAGCTAAAGGAATTAAGTCACCAATTAAGCACAATTTAATGGCAATAAAATTGTAATAGACTGTAAAATTCTTACCTACACAACACTCGATCAATAGATCTTGGGCATCTCTTGCAACCCGTACATCTGGGGGTAACATCTCTTTAATAATTTTTGTCATTGTTGCTGCCAAAAGATTAGCGCTTCAGTAGGCCATAAAACAATGATGCATTGACATCAAAGAGAAAACATTAGTATCAAGTACCACAAAAAATTAAAGGAACCAAACATCACTTTTCATTATTATTCAGCAACATTTTATCAAATTATACCCATTTAATAAAAGAACATTCGTCAGGGTCTTCAAATGATTAATGAACGATGTTTTTGCTGTATATGATGATATGCTACGCTGAATTGCTAATGTTTAGTCAACAACAAGAAACATACCTTCTGGAACTTATTATGATCTCACTTGGAATGCAGTTAGAAAACGGTTTTACCAAGTCTTTTAGTTTACTGAAAATCGACATTTTCAAATGAAAAACAAAAAAACACCACGGGAGATTAGCCTTAAGATGTCACAAAAACCTAGACATATTCACCAAAGAAAAATCCAGAGAAACAAAATTCACCAGTGCAGGTAACAGACTGATTCCAAAGAACTCGATACGAACATACTACTCACTAACTGCTCAATCAAATTCACTAATAGATGAGGGAGTGAGGAAAACCTTTAGGAAGCGAGGCATCTTCCTTGGATTTGCCAACGATGTCCATGGGCTCCATGATTCAACCTAAAATCGAAAGAAACGAAGAATTAGGGCACAAATAGGGAGAAAAGAAAAAGTGCAGATCTGAAAGGAAGTAAAGAAGGAAAAGCGAACTCACCAATTTACCGGAAAAGGAGAATCTGAGAGCGCGTAAATGAGGATGGGAGTTGCGGGAAGATGAGGAACGAAGACATGGCTGAGGCTAAGGCCGATATATGAATTTATGAAGATGGTTTCACAGGATAAGAGAACCAGTTCTCGCTCGCATCCGATTAGGGCAGCCACGGCCTCAAGCGCGTTTACCAGTTCCCTTCTCCCACGCGCTCTCCTCCAGCGCGTCGCCCTGTCTTTTCCTAAACGGATATTACAACTTCCAAACTCTAATTTCCTTTTCTTTTTTTTTTAATTTACTGCACTCAATGATTATAAGGGCTTATATTGGGTTTATATATATCCTTTCTTAAACCATCTTTATTTTATATTAATAAACAGTAAAATTCATAATTGAATTAAAATAAATATTAATATTTTTTAATTTTTAAAATATTAAAATAATTATAATCATCTTTTAATCTAAAAAATATAAAATATCTTTTTAAATTTATAATATCACCGTAGTAAGTAATTTTTTTCTCTTATTTTCATAAATAATTTTTATTAGAAATATTTATATTCATAAATAATTATAATCTTATTTAAAATTTTAATTTGTGTTATGTATGAATTTAAATATTTTATTTATTTTTAGTTAATTAAGATTTTGTAAACTAAGTAAATTTAGTCTTTTATTAAATTTTATCTAAAACTCTTAATTTTTATATTTTAAAGTTTATAATATATTTTGGATATGAAAAAAATTATAAGGTTAAAAGTTGAAAATTAATAAAATTTAAACGAGTCTATGGAATGTGATATTAGAGTTTTAAAGATTATGAATTTGTTCACCAAATAATAAGTTTGATATTTATTTTTATATTTGCTAAGTACCTGAATCATATACTTATCATTTGCAGTTTTGTTAATTGAAATATAATTTTTGGACATTTATTTTATGAACCAATAAAGTATACATATTATTAAAAAAATATTTTTAAAAACTTGTAATAAAACAAAAAATCACAACTAAAAACATTTTTTTAAGTAAAAATGTAATTAAATACTATATAAAATATATAAAAAACAATAACAAATATTTTATCTAAAACTAAATTTTATTTATATATATTATTTAAAAATAACAATAAGTATAGATAAATAAGTATATGACCCATTACCATTCTTTTCTTTTCTTTTTTACATAAGTATATTGAAATAAAAATAATAATACATAAATATCAATAAGTGCAATACATGCATATATACAATATTGCACTTATTTATTTATTTATTGACTGTGTGGTATAGTTTAAGATTGACTGATTTATACAACCAATATAGATTTTATTTAAATTTATTTATTTAATTAAATAACTATGTTTAATTGATTTTTTAATAAGTTAAAATTCAAAAAATTTAATTTATTTATATCTTTAATAAGAAATAAAATTAATAACTAATATTTATATATTAAATAACTATTATTTAAGATTTAATGCAAGAATAAAAAAACATTAGCTATTTTTTCTTTAAAATAAATTTATTTGACTACGTTATTTCCTTCGTCATGTTTTATCAATTCTTCGTTCTTTTTAGTACAAAACTAGAAAGGCAATGTTAAAATTATAGGAAAAACAATATTTTTTTAAATCTGTATACTAATAAATTTTATAACATAAATTTTAATATAAACATGTTTATTAAATGCATATTTAATTAAATTGTGTATCTAAACATATGTTAAATAAAAAAATTAGTTTATTTATTTATTTGGCTTAAAACTCTATTTAATCAAATTAGACTCGTTTAATGAATAAGCTTGTTTTAATAGTTTGTAACATTTTAATTTTTGAAACGTTACATGATGACATGTTTGAACTATATTTATTTATTTTTATCGTCGTCATCTATTAATTATAATAATTACTTCCTTTATTATTTTTTTAATTTTTGCAAATCTTTAAATGCATACTTTTTCTATTACATTATTTTAATTTTGTTTATAATACCAACTAACCTGTGAACTAAAAACCCATTGTAATGGGCTTCGATCGTATAACCCAAGAAAAACACGGCGCGTCGAATCTACACGCAAGGGAGTGTTGTTTTCATTTAATTTTCATGGCATTGACTAACTCAATTTGGTTTTGGATTATCAAGTTTTTCTTCACAATGTTCAACATATAACAGCTTGATTGCTTTAAAATTTTTAAGTAGCAAAAGATAAAGATTAAATACAATATTTTCATATTTCATAGAATTTTTTAATTAAAATTAATTATATTTTTATAACTAGTATAATTAAAAATAAAAGTGTCTAAGTCTGGTGCTTCATATAAAAATAAAAACATATCAGATGACCTAATAATAACTTGCAGCTTGACCTAACTTTTTTAATAAATAAATAAGGTTTAAATTTTTTTAAAGTCTAATTAAATAAATAGGACAGATTTAAATTATTTATAAAGTTTTGTTAATCCTAACAAATCAAATAATATATATGTATTCAAAAGTTAATATTTAAATATTTATTTATAATTTGTTTATTGTGTATTTATTAGTCTAAGTTTAATAGTCTATTAAAAAAAATTATAGCAAACTTTATTAATAAATTTCAGACAAGATCAAACTAAGTAAAAAATAAGACATTTAACATATAACATGTTTTTATGTCTAATAATTATATTAGAAGTCTAATTTATTTAAAGTGAGTTCTATTCTATCATGTTTTTATGCCTAGTTTCATGTAATATACCGTGATAACGTTAATACATTTTAAAACAACAATGCTTCCAAATACAATTACCGATAGATAAAGATCACACCATTCTTCATTTTTAATTCATGCGGTTTGTCATGAATGATGTCAAGTTCACATAACAACTTTTTGTTTTGGCCTTGCAGAAAATAAAATCATTTGTGACATTTTTATTAGAAAGACCTCAATATGGTTTACATCAGTGGTGTGGATTGGAAAATAAATATTTGTCCTATTCATTGAATATATTGCAAATAGCATTAAAACTTTTGGGTTGGCATTTGATGACAGGTGAGAATTGAGAGCTTCCAATTTATTTACTATTGACATTTTAAGTGTAAAACAATTTTTTTTAGAAACATTTTGAATTTTGTTTAACCTCAAAATCTAATTCCTAATTTTGGATTGACTTTTGATCACAGGTAAAAATATGGTTAATCATATTAAAACTTAATTAAGTGTTTTTTTTTACTAATATTACACAATTTAAACTCAATTCTAATAAAAAAACTATCTAGAGCTATTTTATAAATTTTTATTTTTTAATATTATTAAATACTAGTTTTTGGTTGAATCATATAAACTACAAGATTAAAATCAACAGTTTATGAAAAAGAAGTAATTATATATATATATTTTTAAATAATTATTAAATACCAATGCACCAAAATTTTGTCCCCAAATTTTTGTCCGTTGTATAGGTCAGGTTCTGTGTTGATGGTGTTCCCGAACCATGGTCACTCTTGAACTGCACATCAATGGATTTTACACTTCCAAGACCAGCTTCTGAAAACCCTAATTGATTATTTGCCATTCGATTTGAATAAGTACTTTTGGAATTGGATTGAGCAATAGCAATCTTCCAATATCAGGAATCAGTGGAAATAAATGGAATCGGACGAAGACGATTTTGTTTTCTACGGAACGCCGATAGAACGCGAGGAAGAGTTAACCAGCCGCAGAAAGAAGGCCATTGCCGAGTCCTCTGGTCACCTCCGATCCCTCCCTGCTTGGAAGCAAGAGGTCAGAATTTGTGTTATCGAGTTGCTGCGATTCTAGAAAATTCGAGTGCATATAGCAAAAAAACGAGTGTTCTGGTTTTGTTTCTTGTTGTTATGTGAAATAAAAAACGGAAGTCAAGTTTATATTATCCTGGATCAGACTGAGATGATTAAATTCTGCTACGGGCTTCATTGAGGACTTCAGTGTTCTTTCTAGGATTAGGATTCTTAGAATCCCGGGGCTGTCACTCATTAACTATTAGTTCCTAGAAAAAAATAGAATTGAAAAGAAGCTACATGGGTATTGGTTTGATTATTGAAGTGTGTCTTGTTAATTGGTTGTGTCTTTTTTTGCACCATAGTAGTTCTTTTGTTTTGGGTAATACTAGATTTATACTCTCAATTAAATTTCAACTCCTGTTTTGGTGTTTGAATCCTATCCAAGGGTGTGTAAGTGGCTGCTTCTGTGTATGTGAAGCTTTGAGGTATATGCAGTTGAAAATAAATTTTGGTCCTTGGCCTTAAATGTTTACATTCACTGTTGAGGACCCTTTAAAATTGAGGGCATGCCTTTCCTAACGCCGCTGCCTGTATTATAATTTAGTTGTAATTTTCATTTCTCCATATCCAGGTTAGAGATGAGGAGGGGCGGAGAAGATTCCATGGAGCTTTTACAGGAGGTTTTTCTGCTGGTTACTATAATACAGTGGGTTCAAAGGAAGGTATAAGTTTATTGGGAAATCATAATGGTCCTGTTATAGTTTTGAATATTTAAAGGTCGGTGTTAACTTTATGAATGAATGAGCAGGGTGGGCACCTCAGTCATTTAAATCATCCAGGAAGAACAGAGCTGAATTCAAAGAGCAGAACATATTGAATTTTCTAGATGAAGATGAGAAAGCTGTATGTTGAATAATATCTGCCAGTATAAGTGTCTCTGTAATTAATGATTTTCAACATATTTATATGTATATGTTTCTAAGTCCTCCTATTATAAGTTAACTTCTACGGCAGTAGAGATGTAGGTAAAGAAGTAATACCAAGCAGATCCAACTTTTTACTTTACAAGAATTTCATACTGAATCTCTGTGTAAATATTTAGTTGTCCTTTTTTAAATTTAATGTATAATTTGTACTCGCTTATGTTTGGTATACATATTTCTACATTATGCCATTTTCTATATCTTTTGATGTGAACTTTACTCCTACATTGACTATATATATAACTATAGTAGAGCTTATAAAGATTTGAGTAATACTCACTTCCATGAGTTAGCTTTGAGGTTGAATTGAGCCCAACTTAAATTTAAGATTGTATTAGAATTTATTATTGATATGATATTGGGTTACCCTCAACCGTCCTTAAAAAAAAATATAGTTCTGTAATCTCCCATGTACTAAATGTTCAGTCCTAGACATAAGAAGAATGTGTTGAAATCCCATTTTGACTAAAGATATTTATATAGCCAAAGTAGAGCTTATAAAAGCTTGGACACTTCTTACCTCTTAGGCTAGCCTTTAGTGTTGAGTTAGATCAAACTCAAATTCAAGATTAATATTAGAGCAGGATACATAAGCATCCTTGAGATTTTGAAACATCACAAGTGACCACTTAAAGTTTGGAAAAAAGTCTGAAGCACATCCTATGAGGAATACATAAAAGATTAAATTTATTACATTAAAATTCTCCAAGAAGGGGAAGTTTGTCCTATTTAGAATTTAAACAAGAAAGTTTCTTTTAATTTTAGTTGATGGTGGGGGAGAGCAAGTGGTATTTTTAATATTTCAAAATCTCAGGAAGGGGGGTATTTATTATTTATCATTTAATAATATCATGCTTTTAGGATAGGACTATACTCTTCTTTGCTTTTCTAAAGCAATCTCAACTAATATGTTGTAAACAATGGTAATACTATCATTAACCCAATCACAACATGTCAATCATGTGGATGAAATCAAGTAGTTAGGTTACTTGCTCAATTGGTGGCTGGGGCTTCAGTTTTTGTTACTTGATTAATTCTTCATGAGTTCTAACATACCCTTTGCATGTTTTGTAGGAAATGGAAGGTCAGCTTTTGGGGACGTCTTCACAGTTTGACACATTTGGTTTCACAGCTGCTGAAATTGCTCGCAAACAAGCTGAGAAGGAACAGAAACAGAGGTGATTTTATTTCTGTAATTATTATTATGGTCCTATGATGTGCATGCATCAATTAACTTCGTTAAGGAATTTTTTTTTTGCCTTTTCATGCTGCTTTTTTTAATTCCTTATCCATAGTATATATACAAAATGAGTGAAATTAAAATGTTTTTGCTTCTCTTTAGAATTTCATTGTTTACATTATAAAACAAGGTTTTACATGCAAATTACATTTTTGTTTTTGAACCAGTTGGGTTCTCATGTTACAAAAATTATGTGACATGGACTACTATTCAGTTTCTTTTGGTCTTTGATCCATGGTAAATTTTTTGGGGCCTCAAGTCCTTTTGTAAGTATTCAAGGGTAGCAGAGCTTTGCTGTATTGATATCTTAACTGTGTGTGTGTTTTAATGCTCTTTTGTTTATTGGTATATTCTCTTTCTATTACATTATTCTTCTTTCATCTTCAATCAACAATGCAACCACAACAGCAGCTATCACTATGCCTTTTCCCCTTAGATGGGGCTGGTTACTTGGATCAAATGATGCCATAATGTTATCTTGTAAATTATCTCTATAGCAAACTATTGATATTTTAGGTTTGATTCCCGTGTTCAGTCAAGAGGGGTTAAGCCTTAGTGCAACAAGGTTGCTGTTTGTGACTTGGAGGTCATGGGTTCAAATCCTGGAAACAACCTCTGTAACATTGGGGGTGATACTAAATCTATCTTTCCCAAATCCCGCTAGATGGGAGCCTCATTCATTGGACCACTCTTTTGCATCTTGAGCAAAGGAAAAGATTGAGGAGGAAAAGAAACTAAAACATGCTAGTTATCTGTGTACATGTTTTTTTGGTTTTTAATCCAAATGGTTATTAGGCTTATATATTTTCTTGGTTCTGGAAATATTAAACAAAAGCTTAACTTTTTAAATTCTTTTCTGTAGTGGTGATGAGAGTATAATGTTTGAACTTTTGTCCCCTTGAAATTTGATACACTGTTATCTTCTGAGTTAAAGGAATTTAGAAGCTCAAAGTTTCAATGTATTTGTTATTTTCTATTTGAAATAGGCTCATTTTCCTTCCTTTAATGAAAATACTCTCTTTATGTGTCTATTCCATTTTTATTTTTTCATTTTCCATTTTGTTTCTATAACCATTTTGATGGGACTTCCATACTTCTGTGTGTTCTTCATTTTATTGTAGGCCATCCATAATTCCTGGACCTGCTCCTGATGAAATAGTTGTTCCAGCTACCGAGTCTGTTGGTAATGTCCACTTAATTTTAATAGCATCTTCCTTCATAATTTCTTGATCTCTTACCTCCTTGTTTTTGTTTTTAAGGGGTAAAACTTCTCTTGAAGATGGGATGGAGTCGTGGTCGCTCAATCAAGGATTCACATGCTGATGCACTGTATGGTATGGCTTCCCATTATCATTTTTGTGATTTGTTTTCTTGCATTCCATTTTATACTTTATTATACAAATGCATCAAATACGAATTGGACTGTAAGGAAGGGTACCCTTTAAATTTTACCTCTTTTTATCAATTTGGATTGTAGAAATCAGGTTGCTGTTCTTCCTTCTTCTGAGTAAAATAACAGGATTACATTGTAGTTTCAGATCTGTATGTAGCTGTGCTTGGATCTGGATTTCTTTTCCATCCTATCCCTCATTAGTTTACATTAGACATTAATCTTGATATATTTATAATTTTCTAAGATCCAATAAGTATTTGTGATTTAGATTGTTATGTGTATGCTTTGATTGCTTTCAGTGCTATATAAAAGAAAAGTAGCTGAGGAGAAAATTATAATTTTTTCATGTGCATTAATTGTTTCATTGATCTTCTTCAAATCATTACACATGCACTGATTCTCTATAGGATGCGAAAGCACTTGGCATTGATACTCTTTTAATTTATATTCTATTCGTTTATGATACATATTGTCATCTTATTGTTGTCTTCCTTATGTGTATTGTCAGTGATTATCCCTTTTTATGATTGGGAATGAGGTTGGTATTTGTGTTGTTTGACAATGGGGCAATTTTCTTTTTCATCTATGTTTTTGTCAGATTGATGTCTAATTAACTAGCTTACATGCTTTGATATGTCAGTTTATGTAATTGTACTGTCTGTGTAGATGCCAGAAGACAGGCTCGGAGAGCTTTCTTAGCATTTTCTTCAGATGATCCGAAAATGAAAATTTCCAAGTCTGAGCCTATCAAGGATGATATTGACAATTTTCCTGAGCAGCCTGTGAATGATGATCAGTTCTCCAAGAGCACACCGGTGAGAAGTTTCCCTTACCAATGCTATGTAAATGTTATTGATTTCTAATATGATAATCTTCTTAGACCTAATTCTGATGAATGATTCCTTACAGAAAAGGTGAGGCACTTTTTTAGTATAATTGTATTTTGAGTTTCAACATGTATTTCAGTAAAGTTATTTTCCTTGAATTAAATTGGTTTGATTTCTATCAGGCCTACCCTTTGATGATAAACACTTGCCATATATATATTTTGCATGCCAAATTTTGGAAAACTCAAAAAAGAACAAGTATGTGACACATGGTTGATATTTCAATATATTGGAAAACTATATTAGTGTTGGTTGTAAGATATTTGAATGGAGTAGACAACAATCTTGAATTACTGTGAATATTATGAGCAGATGTGTATTATACAAACTTCCAATCCAACAGTGGAGTTTGTGAATATATCTATATCTCTCATTCTCAACAAACTAACATTTTAGTTATTTTGATTCAATTGGGTAATTGTCTCTTGTTATAGCTGGTGGTAACTTGTAAGTATATTGGTATTGATAGCGGACATGTCTGATATACATCTTTTCTCTAGGTTTATGTACTCAACCCAAAGCAAGACTTGCATGGATTAGGTTTTGATCCTTATAAACATGCTCCTGAGTTTAGAGGTATGCCTTTTCTTGATCTATATGTGACACCTGCTGATGTGGTTGCTGGAAATTGATTTTTAACTGTATTATCTCCTTTTTACAGAGAAAAAACGATCACGCTTATCCAGTAAGAGGGGACATGGGTACAGCAAAAACATTTCCTCAAGAGATAGTCTTTTTGGTTTCAAGTGTAAGATACTTAAAACTGAATACATGATAATCCATATTCTTATTTTCATTTTCTGTTTTTTATTATTAGTTGTCGGAAAAATATCTTTCCCTAGGTTGATTTAAATTTCAGCTTCCTTTCATCAGCAGGAAAGGCTGCCCCTGGTTTTGGCATTGGAGCACTTGAGGAACTTGATGCCGAGGATGAGGATGTCTATGCCAATAGTTAGTAGCTTCACTCTTTCATGTTAGGATTGAATATGATTTTAAGTTGGGGCCCTTTTGGTAAGCATGATAGGATATGACCTGATAGTTTAAAACTTAACGCTATAGGTTCTCTAAATGAAGATACATTGCAAACATTTTTTTATTTTTAAATTTTAAAACCATTGTACCAAATAAACATATTAAAAGAGAACAGAACATGGATTTAAATTTCAACATAAAAGAAGACATACTATCAGAGAGATTAGAACAGCCTCCTACTCTGACTTTTGATTCACATGAATGTTTGTCTTGAGGATGAGAATACAACTACAAGGCATCCAGTGTAGTTTTGGCTGAGAATGAGAAGATAAACATATTGGCAAGTTGCGGTAAAGTTTTGGGTAAGCTGCCAAGCATTGAAAGTGTAAAAGCTGTTTAAGTTAAACTTATTGGTGGCAAAAGGAGAAGGTACTAAGGTGTTGTGCACATGATTATCATATAGGGAATCACCAATTTTTGAATCATGAATTGTTAATTTATCAGATCATAAGATTCAGAGGCACAAGTTACCTAAAACAACATAACCATAAGTTTCATAAAACAAAATCATCAGTGAGTTCAACTATCAAAATCATAAGTAACCAAGTAACTACTAAATGGTAGTACATCCCACGTGTACTAAACCTCATTGTTTTTGGACAATGATAATACTTACATTTGATGTGTAATCTCTTGTCAAAAATAGTACGATATTCTCAACTCTCAAGTAACAACTTTCTTCCCTTTTTTTTTAACTCAAAGATCACAAAATGTTGTTAAACGAAGCCTTTGTTTTGAAAAAATGAAAACAGAACAATGTTAACCAAATAAGATGCATACAGAGTGAACTAGTGACTATGGGAAGCCTCTGTTTCAGAAGAATGAAAACAGAGTTATGGAATGATCAAATAGTGCAAAGAGTGAGTATCGAAACCCCTGAGAACAATAAAAACAAAATAATCAAATAATCAAATAGGATGCATTTAGCAGTGCTGATTTAGTTCTTTTTCGTTTACTGATTATTTAGGGTTTCATGGAGAACTTCAGCAGCTCATATATAAAATTACAATCAAGCCTAATCTAATATGAAGGCCTGAATAAGTAATTCATTGTCTTAATGTATAAGAGGGGTAAGCTTATGCAATATAATGCCCAACACTAAACAACTAACAAAGTCAGTATTTTATTAATTAATCCTACCATACTTTATATAACTTGTCAAATGGGCTCTTATTAATGAAACTTTGGTCTGTGGAATTAGTGCTTCCTTCTGAGAAGCCACTTTCAGCTTTAATGTTTTAGATAATGATTTTTTGCCACTTGTGTGTTTTAATCTTTTAATCAGAGAATACATTTATTTGAAGTAAGTATGAGGAGTGTAATTTTTTCCTATGAAAATGTGAATAAACAGGCATAATTTTTTCTTTTACATTTTCTAAGGTTATGAATTTGAAGATGCTGTTCAAGAAACTGAGGAACCTTCAATGTTGAGCATAGAAAATCAGAGAAAGAAAGAGCAGAAGGACAAGGGCGATCTGCCTGGTTTTAGAGTTGCATCAAATTCTGACTATAAAATGGAAAGGTTACTGAAGCAATTTATTGCCAAACAATCAAACTGATATGGTTTTTTATTTTTGAAATTCTATATTATAACTCTTTCACATTCCTGATGGTGCTGATTTTGGTTAATAGTAATTCTGAGGGCCTAGGGATCTTATATCATGAAAATATTTTTACACCGTTTGGGTTATGAAGTCTATATATCTTATCTTCTTTAGATTTTGTATTTATATGATTTCACTTTAAACCATAATTGCATAAACTGATTTTCAGATTTGAGGCTCCTCAGATTCCCAAGGATTTTGTGCCCCGCCATGCCTTTTCTGGACCTCTTGACATTAACCGCAAGAACTATGAACTCCCTCCACCAGATGTTTCTCCTCCCGAGGATAGCAATTTAAAACTATTAATTGAGGGTGTTGCTAATCTGGTAGCTAAATGTGGTAAACTATATGAGGATTTATCTAGAGAAAAAAATCAATCAAATCCATTGTTTAATTTTCTGTCTGGAGGAACTGGCCATGATTATTATGCAAGGAAATTGTGGGAGGCACAACAGAAATGCAGTAATCAAACTAAGCAGCAGTTGGATGGAAAAATGCCTCACAGTGGGCAGAGGTTGTCAGCTGAGAGTCGGGGCCAGATCTTAGGAGAAAAACCTCTAGAAAGAAGCTCCCAAGATGCATCCTCATCTGTTGCTTCTACAGATGTTCAGCTCCAATTTAATCTCACAGATACATTTACTAAGTCGGTATCATTTGTAAGTAGCATAATCTTTCTGCATTCAACTCCCAATTAAATAACTAGAGAATATATCTTTTTTATTGCTTCTAGTAGTTTGGTTGGCTGTCTAATCTGTGGCTTCGACTCAAATAATTCCGTTGATGTGATTTTTAGATTTCTTTCTGTGGAATCTTAACAACAGGGGTAGAACTGAACCTTTAATGGCCAGACTTTTGGCACAATGGTCACTGCCCTTTCCATTGGGCAGGGGTATTATGCTGGTTTTTTGTATAAATCCTACATGAAGCGATAATGTGATTTTATCCTCCCCCTTTAGGAGATACCCCTGTTCCTTCCCTAGACTGTAAAGCTTTTTATTTTAATCCAAAAAAAAAAGGATCTTTACTAATCTTTATTTCCTTGTTTTTGAACCAGAGTGAGTTAATGAATGTTGAAAAGCCTTTCAAAGATGATCCTGCAAAGCAAGAAAGATTTGAGCAGTTTCTTAAGGAGAAGTATAAAGGGGGATTACGCACTGCAAGTGCTAGTTTAGCTAGTGATATGTCAGAAGCTGCTCGTGCTCAAGAGAGACTAAGTTTTGAGGCTGCAGCGGAGGCAATAGAAAAGGGGAAACAGAGCAGGGGAAGCAAGCCTTTAGTTCCATCTTCCATGGATTTCATCCCAGGTGGTGTTATGCAGTTCACTTCTGGTGAAGTCGAGGTATGACTACGGTGATGTTCCTTTTGTTTCTTTCCTGTTGCTTTGGCTTAAGTTATTTGACACATCTTGTATTCCTGTGCAAACAGTCAAAGAAAGACCTGCAAGCTGAAGATTTATTGGGGAAGAAAATGTACCCTAAGAGGGAAGAGTTTCAATGGCGTCCTTCACCTCTTTTGTGCAAACGCTTTGATCTTATTGATCCTTATATGGGAAAGGTACTTAAAGTAGCCTGCTACACTTAAAAAGTTATTCTTATATTGATTTTCTTGCTTGATTTGGAGAACATTTTTCACCTTTTATGCTCGGTATTGAATTTTTGTTCTGGACTTTCCCAGAATGTTCCAAGCTTAAACATATTCTTTGCTCTTTGCAGCCACCACCTGCTCCACGGATTAGGAGTAAGATGGATTCCTTGATTTTTACATCAGATTCAGTCAAAGGCACCAAATTGGACGTGCCTGTTACTTCAAAGAAAGACACCCCACCTTTGCAACAATCTACTCATAAAGACGTAACCAAAAGTATTACTGAAAATGAAACTGAAGGGGATGTGGAAGTTGAAAATATTGAAAGGCCAATTGACCTATACAAGGTAACACCGTATTTCTAACTCGTTCCAATCATTATGGTTAATTCCTTCATGTCAAACCATTTCTCTGATTTGTCCTTGCCAAAGCATATTTTATACATGTTTCTGATTTCTTGTTTTTTGTCTGTGACCATAAATCTTGGGGGTACCTTTTCATGACAATATTATATTTAATTTGGTTCAAGTCTCAGATCTTTCTAATGCTTATTTATCACATGCATATCTTAGATGATATCTCTCCCTAGCAAGCCACGAGCACCTATAAAATAAATTCATATATTGCAGGCTATTTTCTCTGATGATTCTGATGATGAAGGGGAAGACTCTAGTATTAGGATGGTGGATAATCAAGAAAAGAAAGCTGAAGTAGCTAATACAGCATTGAGCCGTCTGATTGCTGGTGATTTTCTGGAATCATTGGGCAAGGAACTAGGCCTTGAGGTTCCTCCTGATATGCCTTACCCAACACAGAATTCCAGGAATGTTGTACCTCAGAAAGAAATTGCCAATGAAGATGGAAGAACTGACATCCTGAAGAGTGAAAATAACAGTGTGACGTCATTAAATCATGATTTGCCAAATTATCAGGACATTGCTCATGAGGGGGATCCATCAAAAGGTGACACCATTCATGGAAATATGCATGATAGTATTAATATCAAAACCAAGGCAACCAGTATTTCAGACAGCAAACGCGGCAAGTCTGATGGTGAGAGTATTGAAGATGACAGGAAAATTAAATCACCTTTAATCGACAGCAGAGGCTATAGCAGCAACTCGGAAGAGGAAAGGAGCAGAAAGCGATCTAACAGGGAAAAATATGAAGAAAGGAAAAGTAGAACACCTTCAACACATCGCCAAGATTATAGCAGCAGTTCTTCATTAGAAGTGGAAAGGAGCAGAAAAAGTTCCAGGCATCGTCGACACAAAAGGCATGATGCAGGAAGTGATTTATCTAATGATGAAAGGGATAGACACCGTTCGAGGTCAAAAGGGAGAAGGAAAGGTTCTTCTCAAGAAAAAAACAGTGGAAGTAAAAAACACTCAAAACATCACAAGCAAAGAAAGCATGACTCTCCAAATAGATCGTCTTATTATAGCACAGAGAAGGACAATGCACATTCCAAAAAAGAGAAAAGGCGGAGGGAATAAGCGAGAGAATTGTTTCCTTTGTTAAAGAACTTGGAATTATGCTGGAGGATCGTTGCTGTATTAAAAGATGTTACTACGTTTCGAGGTTTTGATGCTGAGGTGCACCTTATGGATTTAATTTCTTAAGAGCGAAACTCAGGCCTCTTATTGTAATAGGTTGCTTTGTTCACTGCCTCGAAGTAACGCTGCTTAATTCAATTCCCCTACCCTATCGTTTCTTGGATGTGAGGAAATGGAATTGTTACCTGATTATTTGGACTAAAAGTTAGGGAGTCCTGTACCAAAACTAAAAACTAGTTGGGGGTTTAGGTAATGCTTGGTTCTAAGGTTACCCGTTAGGACTCGTTTGGACGTCGGAACTAGAATTGGAATTGACTCAGAATTTTAAATTTTATGTTTCACTTTTACAAAGAATTTGGATATAAAATTAAAATTTTAAATTCAATTCCATTGTGAGTGTACGATCTATAACTTTAAAATATTGACACTATACACACACACATATATATAACTAAAATATATTCATGACTATCAAATGAATTACTATCATTTAATATAAATTATTCAATTATTTTTATTTTTTGCTTCTCTTGTATTTTTATTGGTTGATGAATTAATTTTTAATATTTGTTAAGTTTCTTTTGACATCTAAAATTTTAGTCATGTTTTTTTAAAACAAAAAATTTACAGAAATAAAAAATATTAGATATCACATTATATACGAAAAGTACAAAAATGATAACAAAGATTAATAACTATAATAAATACTCAAATAACTAAAAACAATACATGCAATAAAATATATAGTAAAAGCTATGAATTTGTGATAAATAAAATAAAAATGAAAGAAAATCAGATCCAAATGTCATTTGAGAAGAGTCAAGCCAAAACTACATAACAATCGTCGATAAATGTAATATAAAAAATATTCAAAAATTGTAAAACTGAAAAATTGCATTATTACATCATCAACTAGTGTAATAAAAAAATTACAAAAATATAGTATTTAAAAGCATTCAAAAACATTTTTTTTAATGTAATATCAAAATCATTAACCCAAAAGGGCAACATTTTTCTTCACGTGAAATAAATTTTTGTTGGACGTTAATACAATGTTATTACATAAATAGTATAATGTCCTGTTGTACGACTATAGAATTTTTTTTTTAATATCATAATTATTTCTGCAGAGAGATAAGAGGCTAAATAAAAATGAAAACATCATATGTTAATTAAATATAAAGAGATGAGAAAGAAAAAATGTATTTTTAAACTTTTTAACAGAGTAAGAAATGGTAAGTTGTAATTTTAGAGAGCGATACGTGAAATTAACAATTTAAAAACGGATATCAAACATAAAATTTGGAACTAATAAGCTCAATTATAATTCTAAACATTAATTTGAAACTTAATTCTATGCGTCAAAGGACACTTATGTTAATACTTCTAATAAATTAAAATGTGATACTCCAAGTTATTATTATTTTTTATTTCAGTTATTTTAGGTAGCGTGATCCAAAAGTTCAAGAGACGAGATGGATTTCGATCTCTTCAAGCTAATAATCCAATAGGGAGTTCACCTTGTTAGAGGATTGTGAATGGTGCAACTCCAAATATTAATCAGTAAATCATTTATTCATCTATTCACATGAACGTGACGATTCCATATACCTTTTTCTCCCTCCCTCCAATTCAAACCTTTATGAAGGCTTCGTCATAAAGGTTAGAAAATTTATTGAATTGGACAGATAGTCTTGTGGGGGAGAATTGTACTTTATCAATGTAATTTTGTTGGGGATGATGTTAAGAATCGTAGTTAATACACGCCGCTTAAATATTAGAAGTTTTAACTAATTTTAAAATGATAAGTGTTTCTTTCTTCTTTTTTTTCTTATAAATTTAACCATATAAAAGATAGGGTATGTTTAGTTTGTGAAAAAAATAAATAATAAAGAAATAGATAATGTTAAAATTTGTTATTTTTTAAGGTGATAATAAATAATACTAATAATAAAATAAAGTAATTATTAAGATGTCCCACATTAGTTAAGAATAGAGACATAATATTATTTATAAGAGTTATATCTTCTTTTATGAGCTAACTTTTAAAAGTGAATTAGACTTAAATTTTTTAACATAGTATTAGAGCTTATTCAATTATGCTATCCACGTATGCTTAGTCCTACACATGAGAGGGTATGTTACCATTCTTGAAATAGTAATTGGTAATTAAAGACTCTCAAGTGTAGTAGAAGAAAATATTATAAAACTTTTATAATATTTTAATTTGTAAATAAGAAAAAATAATTTTTTAATTGATAGTTACTAAAATTTCTCGTAATAATTGATTTTTTTTAGAATAAAATATTATCTGTTGTAATTACTATCGACTAAAGACAAAAATATTCAAATCTCTGTTATATGTCAAAACTGTAATATTGGTATAATTTAATTAGACATATAATCATAGAAGCATGACTTGTGGGCTGTGATTCCTGAAAGTGAGTGTCGTGGGCTACAAGTACTTGAAGTTTAAGTGGGCCTTAGTTGAGGCATTTGACCCAATAACGTCTTGGGTTGTTATTCGGTGTTGACATAAACAACTTTTAGTTTTCAGCCATCTTAAACTGACTCAGAATAATATTATTAAGTTGACCCCAAAAAAAATATTGTTAATTTCTACTACCAAAAACTACTTTTTTTTAATATAATTATCAGTAATAATTAATTTCAAAAATTAATTTAATACTTTGATTTTGAAATTTTTTAACTAAATTTCAATGTGAATAGTATTAAGTTTTATTTTAAATATTTAAATTTAAACTGATAGTTTTCTTTAACATTTCATTAGTTCTTTGATACTAGTTTTATGTTTCTCTGTAATTCCTTTTGAGATTTTTTTAATATATCATTTTTAAAATTCTAAAAATAAAATTTCCAAATAAAGAAAAGAAACACTTTTCTCTTTAGTTCTTTGATATAATATTTCTCTTTAATTGCTTTTTACATCCTTCTTTTAATATACCATTTTTTGTATATTTTAAAAATAAATATCGGAATATATTAATCACTTTAATTCACGTGCTAACACTTGATAAAATTTCTGAACTTTTTGTTCTTTCACAAACTTTGGTTAATTATACTCATATCACCATAACAATCGCATTGAAAGGCAGTGACACCTCATTCTTTGCGAATCATAAGATCTTGAATGCACCACAACTTCCAAATATTGCACGTGCGTTCCGTGGGAGGGACTCTAGAATCTTCACAAACTCTATTGAATAATACAAATTTTAATAAACGTTAACTGATAATTAAAAATAACTTCAAGAATGTATTACTAATTTTTCATAAAATATGAGCATTAAGAGTACGTAAAAAACAAATTCATGCATTTATTGATATTATAGTATCTTATAATTTAACATTTTTTCTTACTTAACTCTCCAACAATAACATCAAAGAATATTAGTCATGATAAAAAAAAAGTCAATAATGATACTAATGATCAATGTAAGAATATCATATAAAGATAATAGTAACACTAGATAAGTTTTAATAGAGAGCTAAGTAATACTAGTTTAGAATTGAAATATTAAATTATATAAATATAAATATAAATATAAATATAAATGAATAAGAAATAATTTTGTTATATATTTAATTTAAATCTAATAGTCAATGAAGTAATAAATTATAATCCGTTAAATTTAAATTAAATAAAAAGTTTAAATTGAATATAAAAATTTTTAAACTTTTACTAATATAAGAAGATTTTTGGGTGAGGAGCACGAACAATAAAGAGATTAATTGTTAAAAAAGATATTATTTTTTTTATTAAATATTACTTTTATTATCTTTAATTAGCTCTTCTCTTCTTTTTAATTTTTATTAACTAGTAAATTTTTTCATTAACGGAGTGAGAGCGAAGTGAAGAGAGGGAGCACCCCTACCTCATCGGCTTGAGGTGAATATATATATATATATATATACTTTTATTAAAAATAAAAAATACTTTCAAATCATAAAACAAAAATAAATGTAAATAAATAAATCCTTGAAACAAATTAGGAAAAAAATGGATAGTGGGTATGATTAGTATTGGGTGAGGGTAGGTGGCAATGTGTATATTGATGGCATGGAATTGAATAATAAATAGGGTTAGGAGTTATATGTGTCGTTAGTGTATTTGTGAGTCTGTTTCTTTGGAAGCAGTTTCGTGAAAGCGAGCAAATGCTACCCAATCGCCATCAACATCAAATGCTACCCAATTCAATTCGCTCAGCCAAATCTCATATAAGTTTGTTTTTTTAAAATATAAAATTAAAATAATATTATTATTCAAACATACACTGAATCTGTGAGCATAGTACAAATTTCTTAAATGGCAGACAACCAGATTTTCTCAGTCCGTAACTTTACAATCACCTTAATAAGGTTTTTCACCAGAAAATCGCACCATATTTTAATTTAATTGTTTATAATTATTTTTCTTTTTTCATATAATCTCCCTGTTACTAATTCATTATTTTGTTAATATTTACTTATGTATCATCTAATTTAACATATAATATAATATAAATAATGATGTGACATTTATACTTTTAGTCTCTTCATGTTTTTATATCTTAGTTTCAAAAATTAAATTTTATATCATAAAAATTTATTAAAAATAAAAAATAATATTATCAATGACATATCTCATTTATTAGTCAAATTCTATAACAGACAACTCAAACATTATATAAGAATTAATAAAATAAGTTAATAAATTACTGATAAAAATATAAAATAATTTTTTGAGATTCTAAATTTTAAAATATAAAAAGTAGTTATATATGATATTTTATCATACATATTATTAAAATGAAATAGAACTTTGATTCTAATTAAGATCACACAAATAGTATGTTAAGCATTTAAGTTTTTTTTTTTTAAACTACATAAATCTCGATGCAGCTTTAAAAATTTGTGCAGTTTAAGATGACAACAAATTCGTCATTAATGCTTGGTCAAAGAATAGCCGAAATTTAATATTTCGTTTAAAATAAGTATTGTTTTAATGATTTTTTTAATACAATACAAATTTATGATTTTTAATAGTATTATTATATTAGATTTAATAATTTTTTATTGTATATTCTTAAATATATATTAAAAATTAGTACTGCTTTAAAGTTATGTAATTCATAAGTTAAAATATATAGGAGACACACTAGACGACAAAAAAAAAAAGGCTTTTAGTAGCAGATGATCCAATAATAATAATCATAACATTTTTTATGAGTTCCACAAATATCTCTTTGAACCACAACTTTTCAAAAAACTTATCCAAAAAATTACTCAAAATTTTGTCACCAAGGACATAAAAGAAAATTTTAATTAAAAATATCTATTTCGACTTCAATTAAGACTTATTTCAATTCAATATTTTTAACAAAAATAAATTTAACACTTAAGAGTTACTTTTTGAACAAACATAACTAACAAAACTTAGTCAAGATAAAAAAAATTATTATTTAAAAAAAAAACTCTATACCTTAGAGAATTTTATTTTTCCTAAATAAGAATATATTAAAATTAAATTCACATACACATATATAAGAATAGTGATATTAATATAATAAAATCTTACGACAAAATTTGTAATAAAAAACGAAGAAGAAAAAGTGTAAAATAAGATAACTGATATAGTAAAAATAAATTATAAGTCACTCTAATCACGAAGAATTAATATGTGGTTTAAAGAACTGACCATAATTAATCATACTCAAATCACAACGACTTTGACTTTGCCAAACAATTAATGAAAACTGAAGTCACAGCTGACATAAGCTTACTATGACATTTCATTTTAAATTCATCCCATCAAATAGTTTTTGGAGTTTTTTAATATAAATTTCAGCTTAATCTCTCTCTCATGTTTTTTCCCCCAAAATGTCTGCAACTTGTTGCATGGATTAGAATGTGTGGTTTTTAAAGAATGAATTTTTCTATGTGAACCCAAAAGTTATTACTGACCCAATCATATTTAAAGTTATGCATAATTTTATATTAGAGCAACAAAATTATAAAATTTAATATTTACATATTCTAAAATTTAACTTACCTTTTAACTTTTTAAAAATAAAATTTATTTCAATATTAAATCAAACAAACACTAATTATATTCACAACTTATTCATGTAAGATTCTAAACATTTCAATTCGACTCTTCAAAATAGGTTTATGAACAGAAGAAAAATGTTTTTTTTTTCCATCAATATATAAACGATGATAATAAAAATAAATTAATACAAACATGTTTTGATAAAATAAAATAGATGATTGTTGATTAAAATAGTAATAAGAGCACGTGAAGAGTCTCTTTGACCCTTTCCCCACGCATCCTTAACCAATTTCTCGAGCTGCGTCATATCTTAGACTTTTGTTATCTTTGGAATTACACCTTCCTCTTCTCTCATGCCACCTTACCCCATTTCCATCAATTTTCTTATTCTTTCATCACCATATTTCCTTCACTTTATTCAACTCTCATTCGAATCTTCCTACGTACACATCAATGAAAAATGTTTTTAATCAAAATATATTTTTCATATAATAATAAAAAATAAAATTGAGTTATATAATCATATATTGATATTAAGATTGAAGTCCTACAATAACTTAAAAAATATAAATAAATTTAAAATAAATTTTGTTAAACTTAATTCATAAAATAAAAAATAAGCAACTAATAACAGTAAAAGTTTATTAAAATAAAAAGTATTTTTTTTCATTTAAATTAAACTAAATTTGACTTGAGTCGTACATCTATACAGTAATATTGAAATGTTTGTTATTCAAACCAAGTAAAAAAAGTATTTATTGTATTTTATAATTTTAATATAATACATTTACATTTTTTTATAAAAATTTTATATTTATAAATATTTAAACTCAACTTTAAAGGTTGAAATTAACAAAATTTATTTAAAAAAAGTCTCATTATTTATGTATTTTTTATTTTAATTATTTACTAGTATAAACTAAAAAAATATTCAAATAAAAATATTTAATTATTATAAAAGTAAAAATAAAAAATAATATATTTCTTTTTAAATAATCGCATAATCGTCAATACACTTTTAATTTTGACAGCTTGATTCAGATTTGCAATTTTCGTCTTAAAATCTCACAGCAACACACACCTATAATGATGAATGAAATTGCAGAAAATTCTATCTATGCATTCTAAAGAAAAACAATTTTAAAATCAAATAAGTCATCGTTACAATTAATTTGACTTGTTAATTAGATCAAAATTTGAAAAATATTTATTCTAAGTCTAAATAAGGGACTTTCTAGAAGCCTTGGTCCGTACTCCGTAGTTTTAGCCTCACATATTTTAAGTTACAGTTGGCATTTAGCTTGACTTTCATAAATTGGACTCGTACGCAGATTTAGCGCATGCTTTTATTAACTATTATTGACAAGAAGAAAACAATCATTCTTAAACATTTTTTGCCAAAAATATTTTGATTAGCTTTTAAAATATAAAACGAATTAATCATAACGTTGAATTGCAACTCCTATAGAAGCAGTCTTGTTAAGAATAGTTCCCATGATTTCTCATTTTTTTTCATACTTGTCGTTATTCCAGATTATAAAAACAAAGCCTTAGATAAATATTATTAGTTTAGTTGAGTCATTGGAACGAGTTTGGAAGAGAGAGATCCATTCTCATGTGCACGTTGAAAAGTCTAATGTTGTTGGCTATGAAGAGTCAAACTGGGATGGCAGTTTTATTTATCTTCCAATTCAATCAAACACATAATAGCTTACCCTCTTTCCCATCACTTTCTTTCCAAAGTTATACCTTTCAGCTTTGTTAAAGGAACCTTTCTTTTATTCGTTTCTGGGTCTACCATTTTTGTACACATATAAAAACGCCATTTTTTGGTTTTGGTTTTAAGTGTTGGAATATTTCTCACCCTGTACAAATCACTTCATTCCATTGGTTCAATATCTTTCTTTGATTCTTTGTGTGAGGCCGAGTTTTTCAAGATTGGATTTTGAGGATCATTAAGCTTAGTTTGAAACTTGAAGGTTGAATCTCACAAGTTGGTAAGCCTTTGCTTTAGTTGGAAAAATGGGTGGGGGGAGAAGGAGGAGGCACCACTTCAGCAGAATCCATGCATTCTCATGTGGGAAAGCTTCTATGAAGGATGAACATTCACTTATAGGAGGTCCTGGCTTCTCAAGGAAGGTTTATTGCAATGACCCCGAACATGCCATGACGAGTCTTCAGAATTATGGAGACAATTATGTCAGAACTACTAAGTATACATTGGCCACGTTCCTACCCAAGTCCTTGTTTGAGCAATTTAGAAGGGTTGCAAATTTCTACTTCCTTGTTTGTGCAGTTTTGTCTTTCTTGCCTGTTTCTCCTTACTCAGCCATCAGTAATGTTGTTCCTCTTCTGGTTGTGGTCGCTGCCACAATGGCCAAAGAGTTCATCGAGGATTTTAGGAGGAAACAACAGGTAATGTTTTTATATCATTATACCTGCTTCTGCCGCAAATTTCTGGTTGATATGTTGCTCTGCTCCCTGATGTTATGCTTTTTTGCAAATTGCTTATCTGGACTAAACAGTTATGGATGATGGGCATTTTTTGTTTGACATGTCACTATGGTCGTTGCATTTTTACTAGACTAGAACATAGGTGATTTGTTGCTTTGCGGAGGTATTGAGTTTAACCTGTGTTAATTGGTTTGGAAATTTCTAATGAGGGTTGTTATGGAAAGAGACTGAGAGGCAAAGTGATTTCTGTGCTAAATTCATGCCTTAATTTATGTTAAGATTAATGATCACATTTCTCTGATACCTTTTTCCTAGCATGTGCAAAAAACCTTTTGACAAATAGGTAATACTGTTCTTTAGTTTTAGTAAACTTTATTCTTTCAGAAAAAGCAAAAGGGTTACTTTTTCTAGTGCTCTTGATTAATGATATTGTTTTGTAATCTTATCAGGATATAGAGATGAATAACAGGAAAGTTAAAGTACATCGTGGAGATGGTGGTTTTGACTATTCTAAATGGAGGGATTTGAAAGTTGGAGACGTAGTGAAGGTGGAAAAAGATGAATTTTTTCCTGCTGATCTCATCTTACTTTCATCAAATTATGATGATGCAATATGCTACGTTGAGACCATGAATCTTGATGGAGAGACAAATCTTAAACTGAAACAAGCACTGGAAGGAACCTCAAAGTTGCAAGAGGACTCAGCCTTTCAAAATTTCAAGGCTGTCATCAAATGTGAAGATCCAAATGCAAATTTGTACACATTTGTTGGCAGTTTGGAGCTTGAGGATCAACAGTATCCTCTTGCACCTCAGCAGCTTTTGCTTAGGGACTCTAAGCTGAGGAACACTGATTTTGTTTTTGGTGTGGTAATCTTTACTGGTCATGATACAAAGGTTATGCAGAATTCCACAGACCCTCCATCCAAGCGGAGCAAAGTTGAGAGAAGAATGGATAAGATCATCTATTGTCTCTTCTTTGTCCTTATTTTGATTTCTTTCATTGGATCCATATTATTTGGAGTTGCCACAAAGGATGACCTTAAAAATGGAAGGATGAAGAGATGGTACCTTAGACCTGATGATACCAAAATTTACTATGACCCGAATAAAGCTGCAGTTGCAGCGATTCTGCACTTCTTGACAGCGCTTATGTTGTATAGTTACTTGATTCCAATTTCCTTATATGTCTCCATTGAAATTGTAAAAGTTCTTCAAAGCATTTTCATCAACCAGGATGGAAACATGTATTATGAGGAAACTGATAAGCCAGCACGTGCTCGTACATCAAATTTGAATGAAGAACTTGGTCAAGTTGATACCATACTTTCAGATAAAACAGGGACTTTGACTTGCAATTCCATGGAATTTATCAAGTGTTCTATTGCTGGAGTTGCTTATGGACGAGGAGTTACAGAAGTTGAGAGAGCTCTATCTAGGAGACATGAATCACCTTTAGGTCTGGAGTTGAAAGAAAAGAAGAATACTACAAAGATTGGTGAGTCAAAGTCATCTGTTAAAGGGTTTAACTTTAAGGATGAAAGGATCATGAATGGAAATTGGGTCAAAGAACCCAACGCCAATGTAATCCAAAACTTCCTACGTTTGCTGGCTGTATGCCATACTGCAATACCTGAAGTTGATGAAGAAACTGGTAAGGTTTCATATGAAGCCGAATCACCAGATGAGGCAGCTTTTGTGATTGCAGCCAGAGAACTTGGGTTTGAATTTTATGAAAGGACACATACAACTATTTCACTAAATGAATATGACCATGCATCGGGCATGAAAATTAAAAGGTCAGTTTGCTGTTCTTGTGTATGAAAGCTTAACTGTCTATCATCTTTTATGTGTATGTGTGTGCATGTGCACAATTGAAAATTGAGTAATGTATTAAACACAACATATAATTCCACTTTTTCAGGTCATACAAACTTTTGAATATATTAGAGTTTAGTAGTGCAAGAAAGCGGATGTCAGCAATTGTAAGAGATGAAGAGGGGAAACTACTACTACTTAGCAAAGGCGCTGATAGGTTTGTAGTCTCATGCTTTAATTTTCAATCTTACTAATTATGGATAAATGTGGTTTCATGCAAACATATATTTCTTAGGAGAAATCTAATCTCATTAGTTAATTGCAAACTTAAACAATAAGAGTTGTATTAAATTTGATCCTTTTAGGAGTGAACTAAAAGAATGGAGACACAACTTCCTTGATATTTATTTCTTTGCCCATAACCTAGTATCCTATATGTTGATATGGAAATACTAGTTTCCTTTATGAACTAAACAGCCTGCGTTTTTAACTGTCTTTTGAAATTCCTTCCCAACCATAATTAGAGTTGTCAGTATTTCTCAATTTCTGACTATGTTCTACCAAGTCCCTTGCTGACTTGTTATCCTATGTAAATTTAAAAGTGGTTCTTTGCTATTCTAGATGCACTATGTGAACATCATTAAATTTGTTTTAAAACTTCATAACATTAGAAATTACTTTTCTTTTCTGGCATCAGTGTCATGTTTGAACGAATTGCAAAGAATGGAAGGGAGTTTGAAGAGAAGACCAAGCAGCACATAAGTGAATATGCTGATTCTGGTTTGAGGACCTTGATACTTGCATATCGTGAACTTGATGAAGAAGAATACAATCAATTTAATAAAGAGTTGACACAGGCCAAGAACTTAGTGAGTGCATATCAGGAACAGATTGTCGAGGAAATAGTACAAAATATTGAGAAGGATTTAATTCTTCTTGGTGCTACTGCAGTTGAAGACAAACTACAAGATGGGGTATGTTATAAATACTGTTTTACTTTTGAAAAGTAGAGGAAAACAAGGACTTTGCTTTCTTTTTATGTCGGCGTGTTCAATGTACCTGACTCCCTATTACAATTTTGTATCACATAATTGAAATTACTTTACTAATCAACAGTTCCTTTTCACTTTTTTCAAGCCATTATTTGTGTTTTTTTGTTAAATTAGCCGTTTCCTATCCTATGATAAGTACTTGGTTATAATAGTTCTATAGGTTATGTTCTTATGAATCAGCTTGTGTTGGACAGGTTCCTGAATGCATTGACAAGCTTGCACAGGCTGGGATTAAACTGTGGGTTTTGACTGGTGATAAAATGGAGACAGCAATTAATATTGGGTAAGTTCAAAGATTATCTATAAATTTTGGAATTGTATATGCAAATAATTTGGTGTCACTGATATGGTAACTTTTCTATGGCTGCAGATTTGCTTGTAGTTTACTCAGATCAGGAATGAAACAAATTATAATTACCTCAGATACTCCTGAAATCAAATCAATGGAAAAAATGGAGGACAAGTCTGCCTCTGAGGCGGTAAGCTACTCTGATCCTTAATTTCTATCAACAGACATTAGAGTTGATGTTGGTGTCCCTTTAGCATGTCATGAGATGATTGAAAATCTTTAGGTTGTTATTTCACTTAAGTACAACAAGGAGATCCCAGGTACAACATATGAATTAGAATGGATGAGAAAGGATATGCAAAATTGAATATATAGCAGTTACAACACCATGTATGACAACACGTATCAATTAGATTGCATGTTGCATGGGAGAAAGAGGTGTTCAGAGACTTTTTATAGCATAATATGTGTTCATGTGCTTGCTTCCAGTTTACCTGAGTTTGATGGAATCTTACTTATTCTTCAGGCAATCAAGTCAAATGTTCTTCGTCAAATAAAGGACGCAAAGGAATTACTTTCTAAATCAGATAAAAACTTTGAGGCCTTAGCCCTGATCATTGATGGGAAGTCTCTTACTTATGCACTAGAAGATGATGTAAAGGACCTCTTTCTTGAACTTGCCATTGGCTGTGCATCTGTTATCTGCTGTCGTTCATCTCCCAAGCAGAAAGCACTTGTAAGTTTTTGTTGTTACTTTGTCATCCATCAATGTATTTGCCTTTTCTTTTTTTATGTATAAAAGCTCAGGTTGCACAAGTTTTACTCTTGTTATTATTATTATTATTTTGATAAAGTTAGACCTAGCATCTTTCTTGAAATAAAATGGAGCAAACTCTTTTATCTTAAAATTTAGGATGGTCAATGTGCCAAAGTGAAAATCATAGTCTCCTCCTTTGATGATTATCACTTGCTTAGTTTCTAAATGATCTATATAATGATGCAGGTTACAAGACTGGTGAAGATTAGAACTGGAAGTACTACTCTAGCTATTGGAGATGGGGCAAATGATGTTGGAATGCTCCAAGAAGCTGACATTGGGATTGGTATCAGTGGTGTTGAAGGAATGCAGGTAAATCTGCAATATTTTTTTTTTTGCTTTACCTTTCTATTACCACGACCCTAATATTGTATACCATTTGTCTCTTAGGTTCTTACTTTTTTACTTCATTAAAATTTTCAGGCAGTTATGTCAAGTGATATTGCAATTGCCCAATTTCGGTTTCTAGAGCGCTTACTTCTTGTGCATGGACATTGGTGTTATAGAAGGATCTCATCAATGGTAACAATCTTGTCTCGTCTTCACATATATTATATAGTATTTATACTGATCCATGACCTACTGCAGAGTTTTATTCAACTAATATTAATAAAACTGTTCTTGTTGATGTATTTCATTTTCTATTTGGCAGATCTGCTACTTCTTTTACAAGAATATTGCCTTTGGCTTCACTCTGTTCTTCTTTGAGATGTATGCCTCATTCTCAGGGCAAGCTGCGTACAATGATTGGTTCTTGTCACTATACAACGTGTTCTTCACTTCCCTTCCTGTAATTGCTTTGGGAGTGTTTGACCAGGATGTTTCTGCTAAATTATGTCTCAGGGTAGGCATTTAAACTTAACACCTTCATGATGGCAAACAGATTGAAATTTAATTTCCTCAGCAATATAAATGTAAACTACATGATTATTTTCTTCTCATGAAACACTTCATTTGTGTTCACTTTTCAGTTCCCATTATTATATCAAGAAGGTGTGCAAAACATCCTATTTAGCTGGAAACGAATAATTGGTTGGGCACTGAATGGAGTTGTGAGTGCTGCCATCATATTCTTCTTTTGCATTCGTGCCATGGAACATCAAGCATTCCGTAAAGGTGGTGAAGTTGTGGGGCTAGAAGTTCTTGGTGCCACAATGTACACTTGTGTTGTGTGGGTGGTGAATTGTCAAATGGCATTATCTATCAGTTACTTCACATACATACAACACGTATTCATATGGGGAGGCATTCTGTTTTGGTACATATTCCTCCTAGCATATGGAGCCATTGATCCTTCCCTCTCAACCACTGCTTATAAGGTCTTTGTTGAAGCTCTTGCACCAGCTCCATCTTACTGGGTCATCACTTTCCTTATTGTTATTTCTTCACTCCTTCCATATTTTGCCTATGCTTCCATCCAAATGCGGTTCTTTCCTATGTATCATCAAATGATACAATGGATACGAAATGATGGCCAAACAAATGATCCAGAATACTGTAACGTGGTGAGGCAGAGATCAATAACACACACAACAGTTGGATTCACAGCGCGTTTGGAAGCATCCAAGCGATTTGAAGCATCCAAGCGTTCTGAAGCATCCAAACATTTTGAAGGGAAGTCTGAGAATCAATAACCAAATTTCTTTATTTTATTTAATTTTTTGTTGGATGCCAAATTCATAGTCAAAACAAGGTGTAAATGTTTTCATAGGTCACAAACCTTGTACATAATTTTGGTGAAGAGGCATCTTCCATACGCTGCGTTACATGAATCCTTAAAGAGAGCAAATTAAAGCAATCTATCCGTTTGGATTTTTTGTTCAGAAGATTATGATAGACTTTGGCTATTTCAAGATCCGAAAGAAGGTTATGATCAAACAATAATGTACATCGTATATGATTTGTTGTAGGATAGAAGAATAATCCGTTTAATTTGATTCATTCTTTGATGAACACGTTTTGTAGCTTTTGAGTCTGGCTTGGTTTTTTGTGCATGTTTTGAAACTATTATTCCCTTCCTTCTTTTTTTTATATTGAATAAATAAATAAATAATTTATCAAAATTAATAAAAAACAATTATGTCATAATTTATAGTGTATTTTAAAAATATTTATAATAATAAATAGTCAAATTAATAACTTATATATTAAATAAATAAATATATCTACTTATATGCATGAATGAATAAAAGTTAAAATAATTTTTAATTAATGTATCGAAAAACAAGTTTTTATTTCTTATAATAATAATAGTAATAATAATTTATCAAAAGAATTAATATTATGAATTTGTTGTGACTATATAATAATAACAATGAACAGTAAGATTAGTTCCAATTATGAATGCAGAAGCACGTTCTCAACCCATATGATGTGGGATGGGATTCAGGACAAACCCTGATTGAGATCGAACATTAACATAAGCTATTAAGGTGTGGCACTGATGTCCATTGCTAAATACGCTTTTCTTTTTTCTTGGCAATCTTATTCAATACAGCCGATCTGGACTAAAACTAGAATTTCTTTATGTGTTGATTTTTTTCAAATGCTTTATTGGAACATGTATGTAAATAATTGATAAAGGTACGCAGTGCTCCATGTTCATTGCTTCGGAGAGTTTACATTCTTCTAAGTCTCTATATATAGACTCTTAATCAAAAGACAATTTAGATTCTAGGGAAAAGGAGGTAACATAAGTTATAATCCTTAGAAATTCTTCCTCCATTAACCACAGGTCCATCAACAAAGGAAAAAAGAATACATCAGATTAGTTGAATTCAACATATTTATTCGGAGGAGTGCCTTTTATAGGCTAAAGTACTGAATTTGTGATAAAATAAAATGTTGAAAATTTGTGTCTGAACTTTTAAAGTGCACTCCAAATATCCAACAATGCAAGCTACACATTATTTATTTGATTCAATCGTTCAAATAGAAACTACCCAACAAAATAATTATGGTACAAGCTACACATCCAACAAAAAGGAAAACTTGAAAGATTCAATAATCTTCTAGTTAGATGAAATGAATAACATTTTGTAGACTCAGCCTCTGGTCACCACAATGCAAGGCCTAAGAAATCAGAGGCAGAGCGAGCCATGATAGTGGCAAACTCATTGAAGCTAATCACTCCATCACCATCTGTGTCAGCCTCTTTGATCATCTCTGTGAGCTCTCTATAAGTGAGGGGTTGACCCATTTTTGCCATTGCCCCAGCCAACTCTGCAGCTGATATATAACCATTCCTATCACGATCAAAGCACTTGAACACCCCTAGAAGTTGTTCTTGATTCAACAATACTTGTGCATTCATTTCAGGCAATATGGTCTTGACCAATTCATCAAACTCCACAGTGCCATTACCATTTGAGTCCATGTTGGCTAGTAGAACTTGGACTTGGTCACCTGAAGGCTTGAGCCCCAATGACCTAAGAAGTGCTGCTAGCTCTAACATAGTTAGGCTACCATCTGAGTCCATATCAAATCGAGCAAAAATCTCCCTTAGTTGATTAATTTGATGAACTTGAAGCTTTGACATGTTAATATCAATATAATAATGAACAAAATAATAAAGAACCACAAAAGGAAAAAAAAAGTGTAACTGCAAAAGCTAATAATGCATCAAATTCTCAATGCAAAGAAAGAAACTACATATGTGTTGGGAGGAGAATTGGGGGAAGGAGTATGAGACGTGGGTTATTTTAGTATCACGGGATGTGGTGTGGGAATGGAAAACGCGTCGGTGACTTCACTTATAACGACAGGCTATATAAGAGTATATAATAATTAATCAGCAATTAGAGCAAAATAAATATTCTCAACTAGATCGGTCCAAACAAGTTTGAAATAAAATATATAACTTGAACTTTACATTTTGAATTTGGTCTTTTTAGTAATTATAATCTGGATGCGAGTTAATAATTTTTTTTAAAAAATTAAACATTACCCGTTTTAAGTATTATTTTTACTAACTTAAATTAGATATATGTTTTCTTTAATTCAGTCCACTAAAGTTTATTACTTGTCGTGGGCATTCCTAACCCATTTTGTCAACTCTCTCAATAAGGTTGCTAATTAAGCTTTTCATCATGTGCGCCTTCAAGGAAACTCGTAGGCACTGTCGTCTTAGATTCTTAGTAAATTCTTATCTGCAATTTAACCCCCGATAAGTGGTGTCCTCGTAATTTGGGATCATTTTACAATTTTAAAAGGGTAATGATTAATGTTAATCATGGTATTGGTATACCTTGTTTTTTTAATCAGAAATGATTTTGTCAAAAATAAAGATTTCTTATATGTTGTATAATAATTACGTAAAACTGCAGACAATTATAAAAGTATTTTTTGACGCTTTGTATAGGAGACTTCCACCGCCCTTCTGATCTAATAAGAAATTTGAATGTGTTAGTAGGAAGAATGTACTAAATATACAGAGGTCAACTTTATGAAAATTGGCTAAGTGAATTTCGTGTCAGATTGTTCTATAATCTAGATGAGATGTATATGGACTTGATTGGTTTCTCAAATTACATTTTAGTGCTGTGCTATTGAAATATTTTTATAATCTCTGGAGATAATTTTGTTCTTTGAGTGAGTAAGATTATTCATTTGAGTGTTTATACATCTCATACAACTATAACATAATTGTTTTTTAATTTATATAAAGTGTATAAATACTCAAGTTAAGTGTTAAAATAATATTACTTATTTAAAACAATTTTATCAATTGAGATTTGAACTTAATATCATAAATTAAGCTGAAATAACTTTTGTAAATTTAGCTTCATATTGTGCAGCTCTTATATAATGAAAAGAAAAAATGAATCAAATAAATAAGTAATATTTCTAATGTATATATAATAAATTTGTTTATTAAAAATGATAAAATATCACAAAAATTAAAACATTCATATCATTTTATTATTTATTAATCTTTTTATATGTATCCTTTGTACAATTTAAAAATTAATAAATAGATAACAATAATGTTTATGGGGTACATGGAATTGTAACCATCCGTATAATAAAAGTGTTTTGTCTTCCGGTTAATTGGATTTTTGTTTCGTTTTAGGGTTGACCGAGTAATAAATACTAACTAAATACGTTTATTACATTGTATGAAAGGGACACAGCTGATGACATATCCTCAATCACCATCCATGTGATGCCCCCTCTCTACGCACTGTAGTCTACAGCTAGGTTGAGGTGGCTTTGTCTTCATAATTCACACTCTCTTTTTTTGTTAGAAACAGATCGTTCATTATTGTAGGAAGGTACATCATGTACAAAGACAGAGATGTATCTGATAGCATTAATGTTGTTTTGGCAAATCACCAACTAGTCCAGATAACAGCATATTGCTATTCTTAATTTCATCTTATTTTATTTTTTGCGAGAAAGCGATGATTATGTCTTGTTCTGCAATCACCTTCAAAAGCCAGGGAAGACATTAACCAAAATAAAATTTTCGGACTATTTATTGGAAGTATCTGTAGACGTTATTGTTTTTATCTAAATGAATTAGTCCTTATTGTATTTAAAAATTCTTCACAATAAAAAGCGCACAAATTCAATTGGAGTTGAGTAACCAAATTTAAATACCTCCACCTAACAGCTAGCCAAGTGTTAATGACATTTTCCAAGAAAACATTGATTTGAACTATTACCTTATAATATACAATAATTAATATAGCAGACACATAAATGGTCAAATCAAATTAAATTGCCAAGAATGTGGACTAACTAGGTAGGTTACCACAAGTATTAAACACATAATCAAACTTGGGTTATGTTTTGGTGAGCAACCTCACCATCTTTGACCATACAATGAATGTCCTCTTGGTCACAAACCATCACCTTCGCTCCAACGCCACCAACTTCAACATCTTTGGCAAAACGTTCTCTGCACACACGCTTTAGCCACCCAAAAAAGCCTCTACCTCTGATACTTTCTAACGGGGTTGTAGCCCTTGGATTCCACCTTCGACCCAAATAACAAGAAAGGAGAGCAACAATTATAAGCACAGTCATCACAACAAAAAATGGGCCAACAGATCCTGAGGATTGCCATGCACTAGAACTTGGAACAGCTTCTGGGCCTGCTTGTTGTTGCTCTGGCTGTACTGTTGAAGATGCTTCTGCTGTTGCCATGGTGTATTAATTATCATTAGTATAATTAAGATGACAAGGTTTAAGTATAAGTAACCTATGCTAAGCATCAATGTGGGAGTTAAGTATAAAGGGAAGTAGTGTGATGGTTAATATAAGGTGTTTAGGTAGTTTCCTTAGCGGGGTGTGAAAACTTGAAACAAGTGGAAAACAACGTGGAAAGGAATAAAGGAAGTAGAGTCCTTTTTTTTTTCATTTGGTTTACTTTTCACTTTTGCTGATGGTTTACATGCATGCATGTCTTCCTTCATCGTGTATTGTGCACTGGCTTAAGGAAAAGGAGGGTTTTCATTTTATCATAAATGGTTTTCGTTCAAAGCATGCATGTGTGAATGAGTGATGTGGTCTTTTTCCCTTTATCTCTTTATCTCATTCACAACAATAAAGTGTTGACTGCATGTAGTACTTTGAAGTTGATCTTGTCGTTTGCTTGTTTTGTGGTTTTTTATGACCTCTTACGATTAGATTCCTTAACCAAGACCGAAAGAATAACACAATGCCATGTAGTTCGAGTGTGGCTACACATAGTGCAGTGTTAACTTTCTCCGAGGAATTTATATCATTTGTTCACTCTCCATATGACGAAAATCTAACATCCGATATGTTTTTGATAAGTCAAACTAACAAAGTAACAAATTAAATGATCAACTTAATTAATTCTTACATTAATCCATATAATTTTGAATTTCGTCAAATACGAATATGAGATTAGTCAATGATATCATAGAATTAGTCAATTTTTTTTAATGAAATTGATTAATGATTCAGCGAGATTAGTTTACTTACTTTTCGGATGGGTCATTTATTTTTCCCAGAGAGGACTTGGAGAGAGAGCTACTTAAAGATTTGACTTGTTCTACAAGTAATTTTCTACATGTAGAATGGTTAATTATTTTAATTTATACTAGTACTTCCATGCGTGTTTTGTAAGTTTATGGAGTTTTAAATTATTTTTTTATAATTAATGCTTTCAAATTTGATTAATAAAGATAATTTAATCCTTAATTAAAATACTCCCTTACGAAAAATCGTCTGATTAAATAATTGGTGAGACCCTTTGCATGAGATCCATTTTAAAAAGTTCAGCTGTAACTATTTTGTCTGTTATGGGGATAATGGACAAGTGTCTTGATTCCTTCATTCATCAAGCTGCGTGTTGCATGTAAGCTGTTTGTTTTGGAGCTTTTGTTAACCATAAAGGGCCAAGAATTATATGCTATGCAAAATTTACATTTTTTTTTTTTTTAGGCTAATTATAATGGGTGCCATTATTTGAATATCTTTTTTTTTTTTTAACATCTACATCGTACATTTTACCAAATATCTATTTATTTTCTTTCTTTTTATATCATATCAAAACTTTAAAAAGTAATAATACCGTGTAGTGTTTCCTACGAGTGTCTGTCTTTCAAAGTAATAATACTTTCTCAAATTTGTTAATTGGAAAAAGGCTTTTAAAACAGTAAAAAAAAAAAGCTAAAAACATCGATATCTAATTTTAAAAAAAACAGTGTTCCAAATATATAACTTTTTTAAGATTAACTTTTATTTGACTTAATCAAATAAAAAAAATCTAATTATAATTTAAATTTCAATTTTTTTATTTTATCAAATAAATTCGAGTCAGTTTAATTAAACATGTTTATTTTGTCAACTCTATCATATCATACTTAGCATCTCTGAGTAATATATAAATGCCCTATACATCGATATCTAATTTTAAAAAATTTATTTATTTTTGTTTTTAAATTTAATGTAAAAGTTCGTAGTATTTTTTCATTCCTTCAACGATAACGATGTAATAATATTTATGTTGTAAAGGTTTTTTGTATTGAGTTTTTTCAGTTAAATTACTAAATTTAAGTATCAAATGTATTAGTGAAAAATTAATTGTCATCGATTCGGTGAAGGGTCTTAAAATTGTTACTTCAAGACTTTTTTATTCTCCCGATATTCTAAAAGTTGCTACTTGTAAAATTTTCATATTTTTTTTTTATAATTATTCATTTGTAATTTAGAATTTTTTTAAGAGTAATAAAGGAGGGATTGTTGTAATTTCTTTAAAATATGTTAAAAATATTAATTTTATAGTTTCAACCTCCATTACAATAGTGATTAGACGAAGGAAGAAGACTTTGTAGAAAATAATGAGACTTTATTATTTAAAAATATTAAAAAAATAAAGATGAAAATAAACTATTTTAAAAATATTTTAAAACAATATTATTTTGTGTGAAGAATAGATTATGTCGTTTAATGTGATGAATTATTAAATTTATTATCTAATTTTAATGTCTTTTAATTGTAAAAGTAAAGACCAATGTAATTGATAATTATTAATTTAAGAAATTAAAATTTTAAATTTTGAAAATAATTTTTAATCAAATTGCATATTTTACTGTTCAAGTTGTGTTTAATATTTGTCTTTTTATTTTAAAAATAGTATTTTTGATGTATGAATTGTTGATATTTAATACTACATAATAAAAATCATAAATAATATATATGCTTTTTTATATTTTTTAATTACCTATACATACGACTCACTTTTTCTTTTTAAAATCAAAGTATAAAAACGTAGCTATCTTGTATGTTTTGAATATTAATGATTGTTATATTAAGATAAGAAAAGATAATTCCTATATGACAGTGACTGACTCAATATATTTATACATCCATGTATTGTTTTGGGTATATATAGTTTTGGATTAAGCCAAATACTTGTTTGCATATATGTGCTAAAAATTAAGTTGGATCCATGTTATTTATTTTTGCTGCTTGAAAATTGAGTAAAAATAAAAAGGCTGTATGAGGGTCTAAAATTAATAATCAACGCCTCTAGATTCTCGTAAATAGTTATTAGTTGGGTATTTAATTTCAGGCTTACTCAAATTTTAGTATTGATAATCCATTATGTTTATGTGTACTTATCTCGAAGGATTATAGTTTACAGGTCATGTTTTCTACTTTAAGGTGTATAAAAATTTATAATTACGTTAAGTTGGATTGTATCATGTATTGATATTAGAGTAATACGTCTTAATCTTATGTAATAATTCAACATTATCTCATCAGATAAAAGTATTATTCTACTACTATTATCATTATGATGATTATAGTATAAATATCTACTTGGAACATTAAAATTCTTTTACAGGTGCATTTCACTGTCACGTATATCATCAACATTGAAGTAATTACTCTCACTTAGACTTGCTAGGGTAAAAACCTAGTTTTAGGCCCACCAGAGTTCAACAGCACCCCATCCCCCTTATTTATATAACTTTTTTCTTTGTTGATAGATAAATGTAATATATTTTAAATGCGAGGATTTTTATGATACAGGAGTGAGAAAAAAAAACTGATTATTTAATATTATTATAAATAATTCAAATTAAATATATAAATTATATAATTAAAAATATTTTTTATATATGCTTAAAAATATATAATAAAAATTTTATATGATAAATTTTTATTAAATTTTATAAAATAAATTATTTATATTTTCATCAAATCATGGATAATATTGGTATGAATTATTTTTTTTAATAATTATATAAAAATTATAGTTATGATGTGTTATAATTAGTTAATAATATAAAAAATTATATTAACAGTGAATTAAAATTAAACTCTTCCTAATTCAAAAAATTGATAATATTAAATATTACAATTTTTAATAAAAAATTATTTATTATTTTTATTGTGAACTTTGAAATACATGTTAAAATATTTTTAAAATTACATAATTTTTTATCCTTAACTACATAAATTTTTTAGAAGTGCAAGAGAATGATATCTTTTAATAAAAAATAATTTTAATAAGTCGTAAATATTAAATACAATTTTTTTTGCTGCAATATTAAATACAACTTGAACCCATATATCTCGTATTTGAAAAATTCAACTTGTTTTTATTTAATAAAAAAAATGAAAAGTTGCATTAATTTAATAATAATATTAGAATAAGAAAAGAATTGAATTTGGAAACAGGGGCACAACAGTAATTCACTTGCTACTATAAAACAAACAAAAAATGCAGAATGATTGGCCTTTGAAAAGTCGCTGTGGATCTGTGACTCACAACAAAGAGAGAGAGAGAGAGAGAGAGAAAACGATACACACTTGCCGCAATGGTGCAACGGTGACTCCACAGATTCCTGGTTCATATCACATATATTGCCCTTTCTCTCTCTCTTTACCATATTATTTTTGTTTTCTTTATTACTATTTATTGCTTAGTTTCATATTATTGAGAGTTTTAGCCCCTGAATGTGCATATTATGATGGAAGAGAAACCGCCTCTGCGTTTCTGTTTACGTTCAGATCTATGATTTCCACATCGTGCCATCGTATTCGCAGTTTTTAGCTACCATTTTTCTGTGTTCAATTTCTCAATAGATAACGCGAAAACGAAGGAAAGAAAAAAATTACAAAAACGTGTTTCTGTTTTAATCTTTATTCTGCGGAATTTATTGTTTATTTTCGGTGTGTATTGAGATGAGGTGAAGTCACTGGAGGCAGCGGTTCATCGATCTCTTCCTGAATTTGGTTGTGGAAGAACACAAAGCAAGAATGGGTCGATAAACCTCTGCATCCAGCGCTCACTTTGCCTCTCTTAACCTATGTGAAATCAACGATTTTATTTTCTTTTTGAATATGTGAAGATTATATGTTTTTCTTGTGGCAAGATGAGTTCTATGGATTTTGTGTGTTGGCGTCTTTGGTATCAGCATTTCTTTGGAAGTGTTCTTAATCCTAGCTAGAAATTAAATCTAGATGATTCTGGTTGTTATGGTTTATTTTTGTGTGATTTTGTAATAATTTTCTGATACTTCGGTTGCTCTTTTTTCCAAGAGAATGCAAAAGTGTTGCAAGCTTCGATTAAATTTGATATCAATTGTGTTAGGCAGAATGCAATATTGTCTGTTGCTGATATCTTGTTAAATTTTGAGGAATACTTTGCCATGGCCTTTTATTTTTCCTTTCTGTATAAATTAGGCGTATAATTGGTTTTGAATAAATAGTCGTTTATTTTTACTATTTTTTTAGGAAATCTTTTAGAAATTAATGGTTATTTCTTAAAAAAATATATTCCCAAACAAGCGTTAGGTCTTAGCGAGATTGAAGTGTCCTTGAAGGAACAGATTATTCTTTTATGGTTGTGTTCCTTTTTTTATCTCCTATACCAACCAGTTGTTCCTAATCGGAATACTGCCCCTTTCCCCGAAGGCTTAAATCTTCACCTCTGTTTTAGATAATGATATTCTTGCCTGTTGGTGTGGTCTTCTTTTTCAAATTACCAAAAAAGGGTCTCTTCGTTTTCACAACCAGCTAATATGCTCGATTACATGTTTTCATTTTGTTTTTGTGAAGAAGTGATATAATTTTTCATTGTAGTGTTCATCCATCATTTTGGTGATATTGCAATTGAAAGGGATGTATTTTAGTCTAGTAGTGAAAATTTTCATCGTAGTGTTGATGGCATGATTTATGGGGATAAACTGTGACTCTAGTTTGTTCTCACAGTCACTAATTGACATGATTGAACTGTTCACTCTTGAAAGAACTTTTGATTTGGTTGGTTGGAGTTTGTGGATCAGATACTTAAAATGGTTATGCAGTCTCCTTACCGTTTATTCTGATGCCCCCAAATACTGGTTCCACATGTTATTATGTATCAAAACGGAAGAAATGGATACATTCATTTTAGAAATTTCTTTATTACAGTTTGGAGCTTTTTGAAGAAGCTCAAGGGACTGCATTACTCTAAATATGTCATTTTCTTCACCATGTGGACTAAAGGTCTCTGCTTGTTTGTTTCCTGTAACGGAAAAGGTATCTTTGGAATGTAGGTTTCCAAGTGGTAGGCAGCACACTGCACTCTACCTAATTGTACTGTATCTAGGTCTTGGCTGCATGAAAGTCAATAAAGGTACTCACTCTTTAAGGCAGTCCAGCTTGCAAGAGAATCATCTAGCTGATGTTTAAAGGAATCGGGTATCAAATTCCTGTATAAATGTTTGAATGAAATCAAAGTAATAAAGCAGGATCGGATAAGGCTATTTGGGTATTGTGCGGAGCACAATTTTTTATTCTAGGAACGGTGTGTACATATTGAGTAAGTAGAGTAATAATGTAGGGAACCGTCATCAGTCCAAGGATATTCTGACATTTCATCCCATGTTCGTATTCCCTGATTCACAATTTTGAGATTTCTCATTCTCTATTTAACATTCTATGTTCGTATTCAGTTATCTCTAGCGACTGTGTTACTCTATCCTGAGTAGTGGAGTCGTGTTACGCTTTAAACTTATAAGAATAGTGCCATATAGTAAACAAATATTGACATAATTATGCTGAATTCTTCAATATTTAAGAATATTCGCATATCCGAGGATTAATTGTAGTAAATTTGTTTTGACAAAAGAAAAAAGTTTGGGGGAGGGGGAGTTAGTATTTTACATCTAGTCTTGAGTTGGTATGGATTCCTTTTTTGGTACATTCATATGGATTATCTATGGAGATTTAAAGGGGTATGGATCCTCTCAAGTGTATAATTTTACTGCACCCACTCCACTCGAAGATCGTATCATTCTTTATATGAAAAGCTATATTTATAAATGTTTTTTTTTCATAAAATAATTTAAATATTTTAAGGCTCAATTTGTTATTCAATGATGAAGCTACTTGAGAGGATGTCATCTCAGACTTCAAATGTCGAGAATGTACAATTAATGAAGGCTACCGATGAAAATTGCAAATATTAAGAAGACTGATTTTATTTTTTATTTCTTACTTTTACCTTAATCACAAAGTTATTTTATTTTGAAATGATTATACAATAAAATAATAATAAAATATTTTTATTTAGTACGAATTTCTAAAATAATAAAGAATAAGAATATGAAAGCGTTAAATTAAAAATAAAAAAAGTGAAATCAAATAGTTCCGTAAGTGCTGTACTTGATTTTAGAAAAGACGGCCTCAGGGTTCAAATAAAAAAGAATTGTTTCTGCGAGGATGGATTAAATTTAACATTAACATCGGTTCGAACGGGAATAAGTTTTCTTCTATATTTAGTATCAGCATTTAATCCAAATGCATTAATAACAACATTTTATACTGTTATTCAATAATATCATATTATTAATAATTATTGGCAGGATTTTAAATATGAATTTAATTTTTTTATAAAATTCAATTTTTGTATACCGTTGACCTATTTTTAATAGCATTTAAACTATTCAAATCCCTCGTTGCCAGCCTATACCAAGTGACTTGCCTAGCCTATTCTTTTACATACCTAATTTATTGAAATAATAGTGGTGATTTAGGCCTTTATATATATTATGACGGCCAAGACTAGGCGAATGCTAATCGTTTTAATGCTTTGTCGGGGTAATAAGTCCAAGGCAGTGATCATTGTGAGGATGAAAATAAGAAGGTTTTCAATTTTTAAGGCGATGAGGATTTGCGGTCGCGGTGGCTGCTAAAGGTATAGCGTGGCTACCAAAGAAAATGGCCATTATCAGATTATGCCAAATTCCATGATAATGGCCTTTTGTCGTTTGTTATAGGTGGTAATAATGAGGAAAACCTGTAACTCGTACAGTGTTATCCAAAGAAATTTTTTAAAAGATTAATTATGTGAATAAGTGTTATAAACAACTTATGTATTTATGTCTTTTCTGTTGAGTTTAGTGGGAATCAAGATAAAGCATGCATTAAAAGGAAAGGTGAATGTCGTTTTGACCGAAACGCCTTCGGCTCATTTATGCCAATCTTGTCCACCCACAAAAATAAAAATAAAAATAAAATTTGTATCAGTGTTCAAATAAGTGCCTTTTGCATGTCACTCTAAACGAAATTATAAGAAATTTAAAAACTTACTTTGAAAAAAAAATAAATTTTCTAATATAATTTTTTGCCTTAATAAATGTGAAAAAAAAAAAAGAACAAGTGAAGACTGCTGATCGTACTTTTTATGGAAATTCTGTTTCATTGGTGTTGCGGATCTAGAATTACGGAAATATTTCATTCACACTTGTTAAATGGGTGTTAAATTGATGGAAAGATGAAAGAGATAAGTGAGTGTGTGTGTGTGTGTGTGTGTGTTAGAGAGAGAGAGAGAGAGAGAGAGATGTCATGACGATGGAATTAAAAAAAAAAAAAGAGGAATAAAAGATGGATGTAAAAAAAAATGAGTGCAAAGTATAACATTTTCTAAAATTATGATGGAACAAATTGGTGCATTTTCTTAGGATCAGATTCCACATATCAACTTTCATAAAATTTAAGCCTCTCGAAGATTTCGTGAATTTTTTTAAATTTATTAGATTGTGAGGACGTTTAAAAGAATCAATAAAAAATTATAAACTATTTTGACTTTATAATTTTTTAAAATGTATTTTAATAAAAATTTATATACTTTATTAAAATATTTATTCGATTTATTTTAATAATTTTATAATTAAATTTCTATCATAAATCTGCATATAACAAGAGTTTGTTTAATAAATATTTAATTTAGTTGTTTATATCCATATCTCTAACAAAAGTTATCGTACTACAAAATGAAAATACAGTTGTTTTCCCATTAATAACTTGTTTGAAGCACTAAAATTAAAATCCATGGAAACATTTTTTTTTATTCTTCGTTAAAATGCAAAGAAAATGTTCAATGCTAATATATTGACAATAATTATCAACAAAAATTTAACTTTGGGTCCCCATTTTCAATTAATTATATATTAAATGATTATATAATTTGTTTCGACTTCCTTGAATTGTAAAATGTGTGATATACAAAGGTTGTAGTGATATCCCCACTCAACCTAATGTTTGGTTCATGGAATGTGTGGTATCACCATAACTATTTACTTCAAATAAAATTGTTTAATTAATTAAATTGTTTATGCTAATCCATTAAAAATAGTAGTAACTCAAATTATTTATAAGTGGTTCAAGGAATAATTGTATTTTATTAAGTAGGCATACGGTGAGAGATTCAAATCCTAGGCATACCAATTATTGCTAACTTTGAAGCAATAGCCAAAATGGGTTCAAATTAATCCAGATTCATAATTTTGATTGAAGTACAGGATCATACGAAGATAATCTTAATTATAGAATGCTATAATGCCACCAACTGCAAATTCTACTGCACATGATTTATGTTCTTGGGCTTCTTTATATAGTCAATCTTTTATTTTTTTAAATTTCTGCATCTCATTCCCTCTTTTTTGTTTCTGGAAAGAGCAAACTGATAGCCAAATGTGTTCTCATGATTCTTCAATCGGGTATTAGGCAATCCAGAAAATAAGAGTTAGTTACATATGTAAAGGAACACAAGATAAGCATGCTACATCTATTCCAAAGGTAATTCGAAATATGACAAATCTTATGATAAATAATTACATATACAGGGCATTAGATCAAGAAATGAAAGTGTAGTTGTAAGGTGACATGGGGAGTGGATCTTCATGTGATGATAGCATGCATGTAGCAGATATATAATGAATATAACTTAAGTTTGATATCTTAACTTAAGTTTGATATCTTTTTGTCAATCTTGCAAACAACTTTTTGTGAGGCAAATAGGGTTGAATCAAGACATTGACAAGCAATAGCTACAATAAGACACATACATGCTTAGTGGGTTTCTTCATTATCTTGACAGTGAGAAGCACTGAAAGAAGGAGCAACAACAACAGAAGAATAAACCTTAGAACTTCCAAATGAAATTCCACAACACCCGGAACCTTGTTCAGGAATGGAGCAAACTATGGTTTCCTCAACAAGAGTGTCAAACTCATTTCTCATGATCTGGTTTTTCCAAGGCATGACTGTTGAATAAACAGATGAGGAAAGTGCATGGTTTTTCATCAGTACTGCATGCTTGAGAAGCTGGTAAGCCCTAGGATTCTTTCCCAAAATAGTGCAGTCTTCTTCATGAGTGTTGATGACTCCAGGGTTTGGAAAGTTTGTTTTTGCATTTCTTCCTCTAAGAAGCCTTGCAGCAAAGTCATAAGCCAAAGCAGCATCTTCTGCTCTATCAAAAGTTCCTAACCAAAGCCTTAGTTTCTGTGAAGAGTCCTTGATCTCTGCAATCCATCTTCCTGAAGGTCTTTGTCTCACCCCAAGAAACTTTTTCTCACTCTTGTTTACTCTTTTTGGATTCTTCATAACTCTCTTCCCGTAACACTCGTCTATTTCAATCGGCATCAGAGAAAGATTCTTGTTTTGGTTTTGAGTTTGGTGGGGAAGTTTTGAGGTTTCTATGTTTTCCATGAGAGTAGGAGAAAGGGTTAATTGGTTTTTGGCGTAGATATGAAAAGGGTTGATCCCTGATCACCAATAAAGTCTTTGACGTAACAATAAGGTTTATGATAATTAAGGTAATAGCACGCCCGTTTGTCAGATTTGGGTTTGTTTGCTTCTTCAAAGGTTATTTATTATTATCTTATGGCAACATAATTAAAGATGAATAAAAAGGAAGAATTTTAGAATCTTATCAGAAAGAAATCTTTTTCAAAAGGCATCTGATTCAGAGTGGAAACATTTAAGAGTGTGAAAGACGTTGATAAACACTGCAGCAGCAATACCCCTTTAAATTGTGATGTATCTAAAATGTGGTTTTAATAAATTAGCATGTATGAATAGCATGCATATATATTTTATCAATTTATCAGCTTATGGAGTATGGGTATCCCTTGCTTGGTACTTATCAAATATTCTGATTGAAGGCGAATATTAGAAGAGACAAAATTGGTAACATATTGATATTTCAAGTGTACTATGAATGATTCTGAAAAACATAGCTACTGTAATTCCATTTTCCGAATTTATTTTGACGTAATAATCTGTAACTTCAAATGGGATTTTTGCTTATTCTCGCTAAAGTAAATATTACAATGATTACATTGAACTTTACAATCCAACTATAGTGTTTCACCCATGCTTCAACCCAAAAAAAAAATGTAAACTTCAACGGTTTATTATTTTCTTCTTTGCAAAGGAAACCAAAAATAAGAAGACAAGTCTTTCTATATACTCCTCCCACCTACTCCGCACAACAAAACACATACACAGCTTAAGGAGAATTTTTAAGGTATTTTTAAAGTACCCATTTAATTTTTTTAAATAATAATTTAAATCTAATCCAATGATATAACCATTCATTGGTCACATTGCACTTATACTTTTGTGTATTAACCCCTATTTTTTTTATGAAATTCCATACAAGGGTAGTTTACACCCATTAGAAAAGCAGGGCAAAATGGTACTTTGACACCTGTTATTAGAAGGCGATCTCTTCCTTTGGAGCTCTATGGTTCAAGTTGCTGAAGAAAAATCCAAAGGAATGAGCTGATATAATCTGCTTTTATTCTGATTAATATAATCGAAAATCAACTCTTTGGTTAACTAGTACCGTTAGAAGCAAAACTCCAACAGCCTACAAACAAATTTTACACCTCAAAAGCCCGAAAACAAACAGAACTCACATGTTTCTTTTAACTTCATACTCAAATTAAAAACTAATATTGAACATTTGTCACATAATGGATGTCTTCGTTGTCATTGTGGGTTGCTCCAAGTATACCCTCATCAATTATAAAAATAACCTCTCAATTCTGGTGCACTGCAAAGTTTCAGATGAATCAGTAGGTAGCTTTCTTGTTGGATTAAGTTCTGTTTATATTCTTTTAAAATCCCTTTTCAATCTTGTTTTATAGGTGAGAATTGTAACTTTTTGTTTAGACTGTAGTTGAATGACCGACAAGAATTATATTGCAATTTCTAGCATATCCTTAGTATGCTTAGTCTTTATATGATGTATATCACGCTATGTTGTCGAGTTTTACTTACATAATACAACACTAAAGAACAAATTTGATAATACAGACGCGAGAAAGGATACCAACTGGGACATAAATGATATGCGTTGGTGCCTAGCTTCAATCTAAACCTTGTGTTGTAAGCAAAGGTGCTTTTCAATATAAACCTTTTGCTGTAAGCAAAGCTGCTTTGTTTTGTTTCCTTAAGGCTGTGATTTTTGCTAGGGTAGTGACTTCATCTGATGTGTAACAAGTGCATAACTTTATAGTATACATTATCCAAAGTGGCTTATACCAAAACCTCAAATTTCCTTTAGTCAAACTCTGTTTATGTATTGAATAAGGAAATTGTTTAGTAAAAAAAGCTTCAAGTATAGAGACACCAGAAAAGATAAAAAGAGAAAAATAATAAATGTGATGTGACCCCCCCCCCCCCCAAAGAAAAAAGAAAAAAGAAAAAAGAAAAAAGAGAAGTATCACATAAATACTGATACTAAGAAAGATCAAGATAGTTGGTCAACCGGGTAACATAATATTAAGGTGTCTATAAATCAAAATTTATTGAATACACATTTATTGTAATAATTGTTTGGCACACAAGAGGAATAAATACTAGTGAAATATCTATTAATAAACATAAGCAAATCGTTAAGATAAACAATATTATGTTTAACTCAAAATCTTAAAGCATTAAATTATGAGTTTTTGTCATTTTTAATTTCTTTATACTTTCTCACGCATTCTTGGTAACTAAACGTCAATTCTTTGTGCTGTCACTGTACATTGAGATGAAGAGTCTTGATCAAGCACTGTTTAGCAATTCGCTTAGATTGAACAACGTTTTTATTCATAGTTGATATTTCTTCATGTTTGATGATTATCAATTTGTCACTAATTAAAAATTGTTTGAAGATGTCATGCACCATATCCATGCGTGAGAGAACGTCCAACACAAAACGTTGCATAGAACTATAAGAATATGCTGTTTTGAGTGTTGACAGATAAAGCTATGTAGTCTAAGCCCCTAGCTTTTGCCAGTTGTCACAAGAGTAGTCGTGGACCACTAGACATTAATGCAAGCACTAACCACTCTTAAATCTTCGTTAATTACATGTTCTTGTGCCATACAAATGTATACATAAGGAATAGAGCACGAAATTTTAATCATATAATTAAAATTAATAACTAATTTTCATTATTTATGCATAATTATATAACTATAAGAATAAATATTTTTACTTTTTGCACTCTTATTCAATATATCCCTTATATGTACGTGCGTGAAAAAATTGGAGTATTGTAAGAAAAAAAATCTTTTAACTATTTTTTTCATTAAAAAAAATATCTTGTTGGTAAAGAATATTGTCTTTGGTTTGGTAAATAATTATTATATTTATACACTTATTTAATATGTTTCTCTCTTTAACAATTTTTTTTATTATATAAATTATTTATCATTTTTCCCCTTCTCATATACAAAAATTAAGGTGCATCTGTAACATTATTCTTAGGGGAAAGCATAGCAGTGAAGGGAACTCCTGGAGTCCCAAGGAAGGCATAAAAAAGTTCTGGACTGTATTAATGTATATTCTAAGGCCAAACACTGTCGTTGTGCTCTGTTTATGTTAAGGAAGATGGACGATTGTGGGCATAATGACATTGCTGATCAGCTAGAAATCCTTCATTGTTCATTGAACTTATGACTGCCATTCTTATTCCTGCTGGTATGACTGCTCTCTTTTTGAAAAATGTTTTGTCTGGAATACAATTGTAAAAGGTAATTTTTAGTTATAAGATGTATTTTTGAGACATGATATTATTTATAACATTAATTTATGAGTTTAATTCGTAAATAGAAGTTTTATGCTCCTTCTAACTCTTTTTATAAGAAACAAAATAGAATATTTTTTTGGTTTTTATTATAAAAAATAAATGATAAAGTCAAGATGCATTAATTACTAAATTTCTTTTATATATTTTTTTATTAGGATCATTAAATATACAAATTATTAACTACATTATTTAATATCATAAGTATTTTTAGAATAAAATTTATATTTATAAAAAATATAACATACTTAATTGCTTTTTTTATTCTGATAATTTAGTTTTTTGTTTCTTATGAAAAGAACCTAAAGGAATATTAATTACTACAAAAATTTATAATTCTTACAAGTATTGCAATTGGATGATAGTGTAAAAATATTTTTCTATCAATGTATTTAAATTAAATTCTTAACTTTTTTATGTTAGAAAATAAAATTATGTTTTTTCTACTTTTTGTAAGGATATTTTCACTTTTCATGTGCACATTGACAGACTTTAGAGCTGACAAAATAGATAATAAGCTCAAATTTTATATTAAAAATTTTAAATTAAAATTAAATTTGAGTCTTTTTTTTTCTTTCTATTTTATAAAAAAAAAAGTTGAGCTTTACTTATCTTATGTACTATTTTTAAATTTAATTTCTTTTTTTTACCGAAAAAACCTTAGTTGTTACTCCATTTCAAAGGAGCTTTTTATCTCCTTTCTCTCCTCCATCTCCTCTCTTCTTAGGAGGATTCTCTTTTTTATAGAAGTTTTTATATAATTTTTTTTCTTTTTCTATGTTCTTTAACTCAATTTCTCTTTGCCTAAGTGTATTTGTCTCTCGTTTTTTCTTCTCCATCAACTTATCAAAATTTCTTTAATTATGTTAGTTTTATTTAAGGTTTGTTAAGATCATTGTTAAATCTAACTCATGACAAAGATATCTCTATTAATATATATTTTTTAATGTCTTTTCTCACTATTTTAATAAGATAAAGCTGAAAAAAGAATGACAACAACGGAGATGTAAAAAAATTTCTAACTTTAAATGAATGGTTTGATTATGATAATAAAGATGACATGTTAAAACATTTCTTAATTGTTATTGTTATTTACTTATTTTAAATGAATATACTTTCATACGTAATGTTTAAACATATAATATTGTTGCATCACTTTTTGAGAATTATAATTTATTTTGTTGTGTAAATGTTATTAGATTATTTATAAATGGATGATCTTATTATTTAAAAAAAAAAAACTCCACCATACCTAGATATATTTTAAGTTATGCAATTACATCTTTTGAATATATTTATCTGATATATTTTGAGTTCCTCTTTATCCTTCCTTATTTTTATATTTTTGGACACACTAAATGTAAATTTCAACTTATTTTTTTCCCTTATCCCAAAAATTTAAAATGCATAAAAGTTCAAACTCAAATCTACCCATTTTTAATTTTTTTTTCTCAATCTCTCTTGCAAACCCACACTCAGTTGCTTTTTTTTTTCTCACAAACAACACAGTATTCCAAGATTATTATTATTATTATTATTATTATTTAAGTGAATAGGGATTACCTTTTTCCCAACATGTCTACATTAAAGACAAAAGAAGCTTTCCACTCCTTCCTACCAAGAAGTACGAGTCTTAGTCCTCTTGTATACATGGATAATATATTTATATTCGTGTAATAATAATTAGTATCAATTTTTAGTTTTACATATGTAAATTGCTCTCACTAACCTAGAGAGTGTTGGATCTGCCAATGCTTGTAGTTCCGATAATAATCTATCTATATTTATATAAAAAGCATGAGTTATGAATGTGTCACATTAGTTTTTTTTTTTTTAAGTTACATAAATAAAAATAATATTTTTCTTATATTTTTAATTCTTTTCATTTTCACCTCATCACATGTTAATATTATTAAAATTTTATTATTACAATTACTGCCTCTTTAAGTCTCTTTCTTATTTTTCTGTTAGCCTCCTCTAATAATGTAATAATTTAGGGGTTACTTGATTTATTAAATGATTTTTATTTTTAGTTATAAAAATAACATATTACTTTTATATTTTTTTAGTTTTTGTCAATTTTTATTTTTATTTTCAAAGATTAGTATAGGGTATGGTGAAAATAACTTTTCACTAAGTGGGAAGCCCAATGTGTAGCAATCCAGATGAAAAGTAACTAGTGAATATCATGGACTGAAAAAAGGTCCACGTGCTAGACTTGGTATTGGACTTGATCCATACCACATCTCATACAAAAAAAAAAAAAAACTCTTGCTACTGGAGGTGCGAAAATGAATAAAATCAGTTTATCAATAATAATAATAATAATAATAATAATTGCTCTTACTAGACCGAGAGTGTTGCACAATTGAGTGCATCAGTGACTTCATGTCTTACGCAAGTAACTACGAGATGAATTATTCATATAGAAGACTCAAAAACTTAGATGACTAATGACAAAGTAAATGTTTTAATATACTTTTTCATATTTAAAATTGAACATTTAGTATGTAAAATTAAGTTAAACATTTGTGGATTACCTACTATGAAGGCTAAATAAATTTTGATATTATATTATAAATGAATTGGACCTAACTCATTTAGGTTAAGAAAAGAGGATTATCTAAGGTTTCTAAAGAGTATATTTATTATACTTGTAAATAATATGGATATTTTAACATACTCCTTACACTTATATATAGGGCTAAATATCTAGTATATGAAATTTGTAAAACTAAATATTCATGTTATTAGAAATAATAAAAATATCTAGAATATAAAATTTACAAGATAAACCTTAGTATCATATTAGAAATATAGTAGACCCAGAGCTTAGTATTTTAGCTTGTATCCACAAGTCAATCTGTTTAATTGGTGATATATATATATATATAAATAAGTTAGAGCATGTTTAATTTACTTTTTAAAAATAATTTTTAGTTTTTAAAAATAAATTAAACATAGTCTATTCAATTCATTGATATCAAAGTGAATTACATGAAAACTATGTAAGCCAACTTGCTTAATAATATTATCTTAAATCGCGCTTATGCAAATTGAATTGACCCGTATATCCAACTTAAGTAATACTGACTCACTTTCAGAGTTAATTCATATAAAAAAATTGTTCAAATTTCATAAAAAAAATTATTATATTTTTAATAAACTTGATAAACATAGGTAGAGGTTGAAGTTAGATCCTCTTTGACACATCTCTGTTGTTGTTTTCTTTTAGCTAAAAATTGACCAGTAGACCAATTTCTAAATGTCATCGATCAATCTAATCGAATATTAAACTAAATTAATGTTGTAAATAATCAAACTCGTAATTATATTGTCCAGAAACAACAACTAATTTGAGTATTTATTATTTTATTAACTAATGTGATTTGAAAAAGAGGAATCCATCACATTGGTTGGATTTAAGCATTTCTGTTCTCTACCAAAGAGAATGCCACGTAGAGGGGTGATAGTGTTGGAGCCTCAAACAGAGATGGTGCATAGGTGGACACAAAAAGCACTTAAACATGCCAATCTCTTCGGATTTCAGCCACACATCTCTGATCACACAACTCTACTTTGTCGACCTACATCGTTCATCGGCCAACCACTCTCTCTCGCAGCAACTAGCAATGGAGATTACTGCGATGGCTTCAGCTACTCCAAGACCTTCTCTTCCAACTCCTCCTTCCACTTCTCCTCATACAGTCACCACCTTTTGCAAGCCTCAACTGAGACGCCCCAACATAGCACTACCAACCTCAACCACCATTTCACTTATCGCTCTCTTCTCACCTCCCAACGAAGCCAAAGCCGCTGTAACCATTGCCAAGGACCAAATTGTCTCTTCCATCACCCAAGTAAATTCCTCTTTTGCTTTGAATTTTCACCTTATCAAGTTTAAGACTTTCATCAAGCTCTTGCAATTTGCACCCATACCCAGTTACTGAAATTGCATTTTTGTTTTTTTAACTTACGAGTTTATTTATAGGTGGAGAAAACGCTCGATCAGGTTGAGGAGGTGGGTTCGAATGTTCTGGACACGGCTCAACGCGTTGCTGAAGTTATAGGGAATGCTTTGAAGCCTGCGTTGCCAATTGTGCAGCAAGCTGGGGAAGAGGCCATCAAAATCGCTTCCCCAGCCATCTCAGAGGCTTCTAAGAAGGCCCAAGAAGCACTTCAAAGCTCTGGTGTTGATACCGAACCTGTTCTCACTGCTGCTAAGGTTCTTTCTATGTTACTCGAGGCCAATTTTCTGCGGTTTTGTTTTGTTTTATAGCTACATTTCGCACTATGTCGTAGAACATGTTGAATTGAACTTGCATAACCTAAGTACCCAATAAACAAACTTCCACTTTGGTAATTTAATTGATATTTGAAGAACCAAGTTTATCAACGTGATCTGGATACTCTCTCTTCGATTTCAGACAGTGGCAGATGCTGCACAACAAACGACCAAGGTGATTGAAGTTGCCAAGCCAATAGCTTTATCAACTGTAGAAACCATATCTTCTTCAGACCCTACTGTGATTGCCGGAACAGCTGGAGCACTATTTATTGCATACCTCTTGTTTCCTCCTATCTGGTCCGCCATCTCCTCTAGTCTTCGTGGTTACAAAGGTACCTTAGACATGTCTGATGCAAGTTACCTTGTTTTGTTTGGTTCCACAAAATTGACACCTTGTTTTCATTTTGTTTCCGGTTTCAAAGATTTGTACAGGAAACATTAACTTTTTTTTTTTCTGTTTTCATTGTTTTGTGTATAAATCTTTAAAAACAGAAAATAAAATGAAAATAAGGGGACAATTTTATAACTAAAAGTGAAAAAAGGAAATAAATTTAGAAAATGATTTCTAAACCAAACAGCCCCTAATGTGTTTTTTTTCCCGTTTAACCGAGGCTAATACTTCTCTGCTTCTATTCCTTTGTAGGAGACCTGACTCCTGCTCAAACCCTTGATTTAATATCTACACAAAACTACCTTTTGATTGATATTAGGTCAGAAAAGGATAAGGACAAGGCTGGTATCCCTCGCCTTCCCTCTAGTTCTAAAAGCAGAATGGTTGCCATACCGTAAGTGATACTGTGATACTCACAATAGAACTATTTTCTTAACTATAGTGCAGTTACTAGAGGAAAAAAGCATCAAAACTCTATCATGATTAAACTTTGTCAATTAGTCAAGTACCTATTATCACTAGTTGTGGCCTTTCAGATTGGAAGAACTGCCAAGCAAGCTCAGAGGGATGGTCAAGAATGTAAAGAAATTGGAAGCTGAAATTGTAGCTTTGAAGATTTCATATCTCAAGAAAATCAACAAAGGCACCAATGTTGTGATCTTGGACTCGTGGGTTTCCTTCCAAGTCCATCTTTATTTAACCATTTAACTTTATCATTTCCACTCTATTGGTCAACTTATTTTGTAGAAATAATCGTTTGTTTTGTTAGCTATATAAGACAGCTTTTAAAAATAAACAATTATTTCTTAAAAATAATCAATTACAAACATTCACTAACTTCTGCATTTTTTATAATACTAGATACTCGGACGTAGCAAAAAAAGTTGGAAGAACACTAACCAGCCTTGGTTTTAAGAACACATGGGTTGTTGTTGATGGATTTTCTGGAAACAAAGGGTGGTTACAGAGTAGATTAGGAACAGATTCATATAACTTTTCGTTCGCAGAAGTGCTGTCACCATCCAGAGTCATCCCTGCAGCTGTGAGAAGTTTAGGCACAACAAGCCAATCTAGCCCCAAGCTTCTTCCTGGGGCTGACTAATTACTATTTTTGGTTTTTGCACTGAACTCGTGTGCAAATAGAAATCCCTTTTGTGTGTATGCTTTAGTGTTGAGTCCTCCAAATTATTATTTGATTATTTTCATATAATTATTTCATCAATGCCAACTATATTCAACCTTCTCCCTTTGTGCATGTTTTGAGTTGCAATGATGAGGAGAATGCCACAGTTGTAGTTGTTGCATTAGATGCATTGGTCCAAGAATGGATAATGTTCTCTCTGTTCTTATGAATGAAGAGGGGGAAGGATTTGCATACAAATATCATCATGTCAAGTTTAGTGTTTTTTCTTAATCATGGATTAATTAGAAATAGACCTTAACTAAATAAATGAATGCGCATCAACCTAAGGTGTAATAGGTTAAAAACAAATGGATCAACTATCACTTATTTTACCCTATGTATAAACTGAATAATATTTAAATTTATCAATTTTAGCCGATATTGTGAAATAAACGTTCATCTTAGTTTTAGTGTTGTAGTTTTCATAGAAACTATACATATTCAAATCGTGCGGAGGCAATGGAATTTGCAAGAAAAAAAAATGATCTCATTTTGAAACCTAAATACTTATTTATGCCTAAAAAGTCAAATAAAATGATGCGGTTATGAGCATGAAGCTTTTTATGTTTAAATTTAACGCAATAAAATCAAGTATAGGTTTTATATTTGCTCTTTCTTAATAAACGAGTATGATCTTATAAAAAATATATAAAAAATTAATTAAAATACATTGATATTGTAACATTTTTTATATTGTCATTTAATCATAAAATGTTATATTAAAAAATCTTTAACTTTTGTAATGATACAAAAGTCATATCTATCATGTATTTTAATTTAATAGTGTATAAATTTTTATATTACTACTAGATTAAAATTAAATTTAAAATATAATATAAAACGTACATAACCCATCATATCATGTCACATGAAACGATCATGAAGTTCAACTTGAAGAAGTGATAAAAATCATATATAAAAAAGCTAGGTCCATTTGGTACGTTAATGGAATTGGATATAAGTGACAAGCTATAGTATTTTTTTTTTATTTTTTATAACATTTCTTAATGAAGAGTAGGATGGAGATTGATAGAATAAGACTTTTCTCTTTTATATTAGTCTATTACTCATCTAGTTGTTTATAATTTTGAATATTTATTATATTTTTATAATTTTAATGTAGTACATATTTTTTAAATATTTTTTTATTAAAAGATCTTAATTTTAACTTTAATAATAGAAGTTAACAAATATATTTTATAATAATTGTTTTAGGACTTATTACTTTATCATGTCGTATTTTTTTTTTACATCATTCACTATCATTATTATTCCTTCAATTATCTTCTTACTATTTTGGTATTTAGTTAGTTGCGAAGTTTTGATATAGTTTCTTCAAAAAACTTAAGTTTATTTTTTAAATTTTTTTATAAATTTCATAATTTAGGATACAAAAAAATTTAGATGAAATTTAAATTAGAGACTTAAAGTACCAACCTATTTAAGTAAATGACTTTAAAAAAAAATTATTTCAAACTAGAAATAATGAATATTATTAACTTATTTTTTTACCTAGCCTTTTTGACAAATAAAATAAACTTTGTTTTTTTTAAAAAAAAAATCCTATTAGGTTTAACATAAGCCCTGAAAAAATCTCTCTAACCTATTTTGAGTTACATATTTTGTTGTTATTTATATATAATATAACATAAATATCTTATTATTATCTAATTTAATAATCAATGTTAATATGCATTTTATATATAAAAAATTAATAAATTTGCTAAAGTTTTGGGTATTTGAAAACTAAAACAGTTATGAGGCCTTTTTCTATTTGCTTTGTTTTTGTTGTGCTTTTTGAATAATTATGAAACATCAAGTTGTATCTTCATTCGAAACTTCTTATTACTAGAAGCATAATCAACCATTTTTAAAACAATGCTAAATCCTCTAAATACACATTCCTCTTGAAAATAAAAAATAAAATAAAATAAATTGCCATCTCATTCTAAAATACTTTCGTATTACTTGATAAAAATATATTTCACAATCAAATAATTATTAAGAAGATTAAATTGAAAATCTTTATTGAAAAATGTTGTAGTTTGCGCACTGTGTGCGTACCCTAGCAGGAAGGGGTTTCACTAAAAAATACAGAAGTAATCGTTATCGCTGTTCTTCTTTCTCTTCCTATTGCTCCACCCAAACGAAGACGACGCTCCATTTTGCCTTTGCTTTTCAATTTTTCCACTGACTCCACCATGTCTTTCAATTAGGGTTCGGGCATTCTCGTCGTTTTCGGCGCCGTTAATTACAACAACGGTCAACATGGTTGCTCTTTCGCTTTCGACTCCCAATTTCTCCACTGCTTTCCTCGCCAAGAAACTGTACTCTCTCTGTTTTCCCATTGACGATTGATTAATTTTTTTTAATTCTCAAGTTAATCAGGATTTATTTCATTTAATTTTAATGGTTTTGGATTCGTCATTAATTTATCCTCGTGAATTTGGGTTTCTTCAGCCCCCTCCGAGAACATGCGAGGAAGCTTTCGACCTTTTGCGGCAATTCATTTCGCACTAGATGCGCGGTGGACACGCCCTATGGAGGTATCACCCAAAGCCTCTCAAATTTATGCATTTAATTAAGCGAGCAATTAGCCAACCCTATCTATTGCTTATGAGAGTTAAGCCAAAGCTCTATGTAAATATTTCATTATTAAGATGGTTATGAGGTGGTGAAGTTGATTTCTTGGTTTATATTTGTTTAATTCCATGTCTCCTTGTGGCTTATAGTCAGGTTTCAAGTATTTCATCAAGCACCAATGCCTTTCATCTATAATTTTGTATTTAATTTGTGTTTGAGACCTCTGTTTCTTTAGTCTATTATGCAAAAAGCATCACGCTTTAGCCATTATACATCATTATGCATGCTTATTTAGGCTCTACCTCAGTTGTCCAATCTAAATTTTCTAGTCCATGCTTAAGCTTCTGATTTTTATAGCTAATGCCCAAGGTAGACTTTGCTTGGCCTTAGTTGGGACTTGGGAATTTGAGATGGATTGTATTCCTAATTAAAGGACCTCATATGACAAGTCACCTCTGTTCAACCGTCTGCTCTCTCTCCCTTAAGATGTAACTGTTATCCGTCAAACTTTGATATGTAATATGAATTAGTAGACATTTTTCCATTTTCAATATATTAATTATGAAAATATATTGACAGTTCAGTTGCCTAGAAGCCATCTTTATAGAACACTCAGCAGTATTACTGAATCATTTCTGAATTCAGATGTATTTTCTGATAAAATGCATGCTGACAAACAAAGAAAAGTAATGAGTATCCCTGTAGTTTTTTTTCTTTTAAATGTTTTTTGGGTTGGGGTACTTGAGATGGCAAACCCCAAAGTTAAGGAACAATCACCAGAAATATCATCTTTAAAGGTTGAGATGAGACGCAAGGGAGGGGGATTAAAAAGGTGGCATCCAATAGGGAGGCTGTGTTCATGATTGGGGAAAATAAGCATTCCAGCTTCATTTTCTATGAGTTTTTGTGGGAGTCAACTGCCACTCTGTTGAAAAGGAGCTCGATCTTCTTGATTAGATAGGCTCAAGGATGAGAGTGAGAGCAGTCACACTCAGTAAATTGGCAGCATTAAATATTTCTGTTTCAAGAGATATCTTTGGCACCTAGGTCATGAAACTTTGGCTCCACAATTTGATCCAATGTACAACATTGCCTTTAGTTTACTAGTTTTATTTCCTCTTGTGGTGGCTAGTTGAATGATTTCAAAAAGCCTGATACCTTTGAGATCATTGGCTATTGCCTGACAGCTGAAGTGTCAACTGAATTGGATTGTGATTTGTATTAGTTCATTAAGTCTACAGTTGTGCTACTTAGTTGCATTTCTCTCTATTATTGACCACCTTATGCATTAAGCTATTTGATATATGTATTTCTTCTCCACAGGTAATGTCCAAAAGTTCCCTCGAATGAATGTTTGGGATCCTTACCGACGCCTTGGTGTTAGCTCTGATGCTTCTGAAGAAGAAATCTGGGGATCAAGAAATTTTCTGCTGCAACAATATGCTGGACATGAGAGGAGTGAAGAATCAATAGAAGCAGCATTTGAAAAAATATTGATGGCAAGTTTCATACAGAGGAAGAAAACAAAAATTAATTTGAAAAGCAAGTTGAAAAAGAAAGTAGAGGAGTCTCCACCATGGGTCAAGAACTTGCTAAACTTTGTTGAACTTCCACCAACAGATATAATCCTCAGAAGATTGTTTCTCTTTGCCTTCATGGGTGGTTGGAGTATTATGAATTCAGCTGAAACTGGACCTGCTTTTCAGGTTTGCTTTGAATTTCTTATATTATTTACTTATGCGTGGAATATAACCAAATGCATAATTTGTTAGAATAAAATTGTATTTTGTTTTTCAGCAAGAACAAAAAATTGCTGATGTCATTTTCTGCAAGTATTTGGACTGTGACAACCCCCACCCCCTAATTTCTCAAAAATAAAATTATATATTCATTTGGTCCTTAACTTCTCTAGCCACGTGTATCAGAGTTGTTTTACATGATTAAGTTAACTCCCAATCTCTAGAAATGCCCTTGCTTGGAAGGCTATAGGATGCCTGATATACTTGAGTTATGCTACACCTCGTTAACTAGATTTTAGTGATTGATTGCTTTCTTTGACTACCACTGAAGGTTGTATAGAAATTTTGGATTATCAACTGTGCTGACCATGGGACTACTAGACCTTCACGTTATGATGATTAACACCCATCAAGCATAGTTTTATTCTTGATTTGCAGCTTGGGCACTCACTTTTTAAGGCATTCAGGCTTTTCAATAGAATGTCAATGACTCAATATCACCTTTTTTGGTCTTAGACCCTTCCTATCTGGGGGCCATTGACTAATTTGAATTGAGTGGTATTGAAGGGAAGAAAGCTCTGCTTGCATGTATCCTCCCCGTCTCCCTTCACTGGATTGGAATCTAAGATATTTTTTAAAGGGAACCGAGTCCTTACTATTTGGATCAATAGATGATGGTGTGATATTACCTACGCTAATACATGTCTACTGATCCCTTCATTTGTTCACAAGTGTATTATGGCATGTTAAGGTGATTGTGTTCTAAACTATTTGATCGAAGGTTCATGTTTTGTTGGAGTTACATCAGGGAACGTTTTTAAAATAGTATCTATGCTCTGTCTCTCCATTTCCTGCTTCCTCGGTGTGCCTGAAAAATTGCTTGTTGACGAACCGTTGTTTTGCTACAGGTGGCAATCTCTTTGGCTGCTTGCATATATTTTCTTAACGAAAAGACCAAAAGCTTAGCTAGAGCGTTCATTATTGGGTAAGTGGTATAATTTGATTGAGCTTGTGTTTTTCTTCTGATTGTTGTTTATTTGTCATCTCCGTTGTTTTATTTTGCACTGTTATAGGTTTGGAGCACTAGTCGCTGGATGGGTCTCTGGTTCATTGCTGGTACCCAATATTCCATCTATGTTGCTTCGCCCAACTTGGACACTTGAACTCTTAACATCACTGGTAGTATATTTGTTCTTGTTCCTTGCATGTACTTTTCTCAAATGAAATGGTAACTATTCTTTCATAGTTTTATTCGGTATACTGTATTCTTGATGAGTTTACAGGTGATCAAATTCAACCTTTTATCTTAGCGAGCTAAATTGGCTACTTTTGTGCTTGCTATGAATACAACTGTTGGGTAGGCAATGTTTAGCGTAGATATTAATTACTAAGATTCCTTGCCTAAATTTCGGGTTGGTTATGGGTAAAGTTCTTTTGCCGCGGTGGTATCTTCACATCTGTCATGTAACTCATCACATTCTTCTGTCGACTTAGGACTAACTTCCTGTACTCTTTATTGAATAACGGGCTCTTAACGTTGCCAATCACCCGATACTTCTCTGCCAACAATTCTTGGTTAAATTTGTAATTTTGATATATATCGCATAATAACTCTTTACAAAATGCGACATTAATCAATTTAACAACCGTAAAAAGTTTTTATCGAGGTGATTAATTTTATACAAATTTATATAAAGTAAAATTAATAGGTATTTTATTATATTATATTATTTTAATGTATAGTATATATTTATAATATAAATATATATATTTATGAAGTTTGGTACATGGTATCTTAACTCATTAATTAAATGACATAAAAAAAATTACTATACATGTTTGAATGACAACTAATTTTTTTTTACACTATTGGAGTATTATTAAATTAAGTTTTTTTTAATGCAATAAAGATTTTTAAATTTTAAATATTTAATTAATATTTCAATAATAATTAATACGTTCGGTTTTATTGTGTTAGAATGAACTAATTTAACACCAGTTAAATTGTTATAATTATTAGACTATAATTTATCTTGAAAATAATTTTATTTAAGTTTGGAACATATGTAGCATAATGAAGTTATTGTTACCAGCGACGCAGCGAGACTTATTTTTTTTCTTAAATAAAGTTCAAATATGAGACATTATTTGAAAAAAGAATCAAATATGTTATCCTAAATCAATCACCGTCCAACCCTACTTAAATACTCAAGTTAATAACAAGAATATCAACTTTTATGTATTTATAAATGAAAGATGAATATGATCGGGAGTCTACCATAGGAAATATATGATTTTAAAGTTGAAAAACTAACACCAATGCTATCTTAACCAAAGTGTCGCTGAACAATAAATCAAGAAACACAACACAAATTTTACAGATCCAACACACATAAAAGCACACAGCAGCCATACAACACCATACGTGAATCCTAAAGAAGATTACACTTGAAACATAACTGACTACAAATTTAAGACAAGTTAGTTTTTTATGCCATCAACAACTATTAATCAAGGGCATGCTCTTCGATGCTTGCATCTATAGTCCGATCTATTGTTCCTAATGGCATAGCAGCCCAAGACATATATGGCGGTGACAAGTATAAGCACACATGCATTAAATATGGTGAGATGTCTCCACTGGTTCCTTATGTTGGCAAGCACTCCTCCTTTGCATGAATTACAATCGTAGCACAGTTTTTCTTCCTTATTATTCCAAGTGCTGCAGTCTGAATTATTCTTTGCTGGACCCGTCTTTGGCACTTCCCAAAATGTAGCATTTTTCATTATGAATCCACAATACACCGGTGGCTTACAGCACCCAGACTGAAAAATGCAAAAAACAAAATGATCAACTATTTGCTGCATTACCATTAATCATCAGTTTTCCTATATGACGCACCTGTTATTCCACTTCAAAAATTTGTATAATTTCTTCAAGAAAAACAAACTAACATCAACCACTAATATTACTAATACATATTAGTAAAAAACATTAGTGAAAATAAATTTTCGAAATTTTTATAATGCATCCTCCATTAGGTATTAACACTTTTAAATTGTCAGTTCTTTATTTAATTTATCCTAGTTTTTTTTTAATACAGAACAAATATTCGTACTCTGACGTGCCATGATTTTCATGAAAAAAGTCATATTCGCAATCAAATTTTATTCCCAATACCTTTTTATATTCTACTTAAAAAAAGAATGTATAAAAAGCAATTAAAAAATGGTAGATCTCATCCGTTCTTTTAAAGAGAAACCTATATTTAGAGAAACAACCGGTTCACGTCACGGTCACATTTTAGAAGAAATGGGATAACCCCTTACATATATGCTATTAAAACACTAAAAAATTATCAGTCAAGTTGATAAGGTATCTATTTTTAGTATATAAAATCGTGCTTTATACTAAATATTTTTCGCCTCATCAAATACTAAACATTATGAGAAATGAATTAAAACAGAACCTGCGTGGAAGACAAGTGTTTGAAAATGAGTGAGTCGTTGTTGTGACCACCATTGAAAGAGAGGTTCTCACAAACATGAGCATCCATCAAACAACTCTTGACCTCGTCCCAGTTCTTGTTGTTCACAACATAACGCTGCAACCAATGAGAGAAATCCGCAACCCTGTACTCGCCGTAGCCTTTGCCCGATATATGCTGCCCCACCTTCTTGTTCGTGACGAAGAGAGCGAAAACGGTGAAGAAAGCGAGCCCCAATATGAGCAAGAACGTGACGAAGAGGTAAGCATAGAGTGCCACGTTGACGCGCCACAGCGACCCCGCGATTCCCAACGAAGAAACGATCACAACGAAGACGCCACCGATGAGGAGAGGATAACGCAACACTCTCTGGCAATCGGAGGCGCCGTGGCCACCGCTGATGTGGATGTAGACGGAGGTGCCCACGGCGGCGAGGCCGAGGAGTAATGAGAGTATGTTAAGGGCACCAACTACGGTGTTGCTTATGCGGAACATAATCGCTAACGACAAGACACGACACGGTGTTTAAGAATGAAGAGGGAAACCTAGGATTTGGTGTTGTGTGAAAAATGAAGAATTTGGAGAGTAACTGTTTTATAAGTGGGAACAAAAGCGGTTTTGTGTGGAGTTTGAATGTTTGTGAGTATGGGTTTGCATGAGCTATTTACGAAGATGCCATTCATGGTGACTAAGCCACGTCAGTGATGACCGGTTATCCTCGATGATGACTGTTCCTTCTTCTTAGTCCACTACAGCCATTCAGATTTGGGACAGTTACCCTTTTCCCTCACAACCGGTTTTCTTCTTTGTTTGAATTTGTTGTTAATTATTTTTATTTTATCTTAATTTATCTTGTAAAATAAATAAAGGATCTTAAGATATTTTAAAATTAAATTAAATAAAAGATTCAGATTAAGTTTAACTTACACCGTTGTAACATCCGTTCTTATATAGTCTAGAATTTTCTCCATGTAAGTATTTGACATAAGTGGATCACCCCATTTTATAATCTATTTTCATGTTATTTTTAACCAAGTTCACTAGTTATTAAAAACTAACAAACATTCATCTAATTATTAAGCTGATTCTAATTCGAAGTATTATCCATTCGTCAATTAAATTTAAAATAAACATTCTAATGTATTGAAATAAGTGAATTGGGCACTTCTTTCAAACTCATACTTCTTTAGTATTTCTTGATGGCTTCAATCAACGATGTCATAGAAATGACCTGTTAAAACATGTTGCTAATAATAAGAAAAAGTTTAAAATAATTTTGAAACTAAAGTGTAATTGAAGAGAAGGTGGGAAGAATACGTATAACGGATAAAAGGGCAATAAAATAGTAGCCATGGATGTTGGATCGAAAAGCAGGGAAGACACCGATCACAACTCCTACTGTGTAAAATTTCTCTATTAACAAATTGTTCTTAGGCTTGACCGGATGCAAAGGGAGAGAAGCTCTTTTTAATAATAATAATAATTTAATTCATTAAAATTAATTATCTATTTGATATTTCAATAAAATGTAATCAAGCAAATTCATTAGTACAACTGTACCTTTTTATTATATGCATTTGATGTATATGTGTTAAATGACATGAAATACATACTTTTAAAGTATTAAACAAATTTTATTTTAAATATAATAAATATTTAAATTTTTAATACACGTAATATATATATATATATATATAATTAGAAGAAGAATACGTCTTGATTAATTATTAAGATGATTTTATAATTTATTAAAAATAATATATTATAAATTAATATTGTATAAAGCCTCGATAACACATAAATATATGTAAGTTTTATCAATTTATAATATATGACGATACAGAAATTATACGTTAATATCATAAATTGTTGTAATTATTTTATTTATTTATTTATTATGTTTATTTATAATTTTTTTAAATATAATTTAATAATCAAATCATATCAACTTTATTTAAAAATAAAATATAATAAAGATGACAATATCAATAAATAAATAAATAATAATAACAACATTAAAGTTATAAAAATAAAATTAAATATTTATAATATTGTCAATATCATAAATTTTTAAATAAATATAAAATGAGACTAGTTGAATAATATTTTTTTATTATTAATATTAGATTCTAAAAAAATAAAATAAAAAATAAATAAACATAGTGTTTGAACTAACACTAATAAAGAAGAGTTGAATATATATAATTACTAATATATGTACGACAATAAACAAAACTCTAACACATAAGCATAAAGCATGTTAACATTTAATAATTTAAAGTATTAAGTATGTGACTATTATATACCATAAAGGAAGAACAAATAAAAGATAAGACAACCAATCAATATATATATATGAATAAAAAAAAGATGAAACTTAATAACCTAAGATGCAGAAAAGCAAGAAAAGAGTCTGTAACTTTGAATTTTCAATGTGAATAGTAAATAAACACTCTTTGTAATATAAAAGTTCAAAAAAATTGGATTGAAGAACACCTCTACCTAAACTTTCTTCATAAACGGTTGCGAATAAGATCTCATCCACCAAAACTCATATATAATTTTTTTATCTCCTCTTCTCTTTAGACTAGATTATCTTTTTATCTAGCTTCTCGACCTCTAATTTTAGAAACAAAAAAAAAAAAAATATCCTCTTTTATTCTAAGATCCCCTTAATATCCGTGAGAATCCCCTTTTCTTTTTATATTTTTTTATTTACAATATTAGAACAAAATCTATATTAGATATGTTTTTCCTTTCATGTATAAAAGAGTAGTTTTTAATGGTGTATTCTAATAAAGTAATATTTAATTTCTTTATTAGAGGTCAAATTTGTTTTATTTCAATTTTGTAAAGATGTCACAGTATAACTTTTTCATTAAATGTCAGTTCCGAATAATATAGTTAGATCACAGTATAACTTTTTCATTAAATGACGTGAATGCTAAAATGAGGATGTGATGATGTGCTATCAAAAAATTAGAGAAGTTGTAAAGTGTATAAATGGATCAACGTACAGTTCCTTTATTTTATAGTTTTGATAGCCATACAAAGGCAGGAGAAAGTGAAAGACTATAATATAGTTGAAACGGTAACATAGGGAGCACGCAAGGAGCCACAAAATAGTGTTCCGTTAAACTCATGAACCTCACTAACCTCCTCACTACCCAACTCCTGAGAGAGAGATACAATCTGTAAAATTATACCATTCTCATTGATTCTGAGCCCCGAAGGCACAATGGTAGGCCTTGGAGGAGGAAGTGGTCCTATTATCGTGTTCATTGACACCCAAAATTGGCCATTGCGATTCCTCCAAATGTTATCTGGGCTACCCCTAAGTTGCAAGAATATTTCAGATGAATTTGCTCTTGGCCCTTTCAGCCAGAATCTCTGAATTCTATTTGCCAAGAATTCACTAACTAGGACAAACGACCCATCTGCACTAACTGCTACCCCACCTGGAAAAGCAAGACCCTCGATCAATGATCTCGTTTGGTTGGTGCTTGGATCAAATGAATATAGGCTTCCAGAACTATCCCTGCTGCCTATCAATTCTAGGAAATCTCTGCAAAAAATCCAAGTGTCACATCTATTAATTTTAATGCACTAGACTAGAAAAAATGTGCTAAAAAGCGTCCATGATTTTTCCATACGAGACTCAAATCCTAAATATTTTGTAAGAGCAGTAATTACTTGAACTTGTAATTAGCACTAGCTTCCGTAAAATAAATGACTCCGGTGTTGACGTCTACATCCAAGCCATCAAGAAAGTTAAAAGTAGCACTTTCTTGCGGCGGCGGTGATGGCTGCGGGGATGCAGGCGGAGGTGGCGGCGGCGGCGGCGGCGTTGGAGCTCTAATGCATTGGGTTGGGGGCCCTCCATTAGGCCCAATCTTGATGAGCCCAAAATAAGCATCGGCTGCATACAACTCGCCCGTCTGGTGATTGAAACGCAATCCTAAAGGCCTCCCACATGATGCTTGGAGTGTTGAGAAGTCAGCAAGCCCATCACAAATTGTCTTGTTTCTACCATTCACCAACAAAATAACATCAATTAATTAAGGAACATTATGGGTTAGTTATATAATAAATAAAACAACTTTCCTTAACACCTACGTGCTTTAAAGTTGTTCAATTTATGTATAGTATTTTTTTTTTATTGAAAATGATATCATTAAATTTCATAAATAACCAGCAAAAAAGAAAATCATAAATAAAATGTGTTTGACTCAGTCTTGCACTTCAGTCTCCACATTTAGTTACCTGTTTGGCGAAGTGTAACCGTATTCCTGGAAGCCTTGGTTTGGACCTACATATTTGAGAACTCTCCCATCAGAAACACCAACATAAGGCCCTCCACCGTTTCTGTCAAACGCGATTGACTCAGGGCCTGTCAGTGGTGACGGTAGTTTAATCCTGTCCGTTAGTATAGCCACTGATGGGTAACACAAGAGGAACATCATTAGTGTTGCAAACATAGCATCCATCGTCATCGAAATTTTCGACATGATTGCCAATAATGTTTGATGTAAGACATGAAAAACATAAGAACTGTGGGTGATAATATTTATAGGCACACATGCTGTGTATGGATGAAGTATAATGTTGTAGGCAATGAGAGGAAACGTGAAGGAGCCCAGCCCCAATCCTGTAACTGTAACAACCTCGTGATAAAGCACACCACAGAGCGAGGCCTACCTGGTAACGTTCATAGTTTTGTTTCCAATATATGGATTAATTAATGAACAAAGTAGAATATTTGCAGATTTTGCAATGCATGAAAATGTGAAGCGCTGATTATAGGGAGTAGAGATAATTGGTTTTGCTGTTTGGTTCCAGATTAAAACTAAACCTTGAAACTTACTCCACAACCAGTTTTTTCTCGTGCTGTGACATGTGATAACTCCTCTTCTACCTTTTGCTGCAACTTGCACGCCAAGCCATGACTTTTAGTTCTTCTTCTTCCAGATACCTCAAAAGAAGATGCGCAAAATCTCCTCCAGTCTTTGTTTACTTTATTTTTTTTTGGTTTCTCTGAAGCAACAAAGTGTATAATAAAAAATTTTCCCTCACGTTTTAGTAACTTTTTTAATCATTTTTAACTATTTTTTTAGTATTTACTTTTTTTCATAATTTTTTTAATTCTATTACTGATTTGATCCAGAAATATTGTTAGGTGTCAATTTGGACTGAAATAGAAAGACTAAAAATAATTCATAAAACAAAACGAATTCACGTGAAAGAACTAAATCAAACAAATAAAAAATATATAAATTAAAAACATATTTAAACTTAATAAATATTTATGAAAAATATAACATTTAATAGTATAAATAAATTGAATTATAGTAAATATTATAATTTTTAACAAAAATTTATTACGTATTAATTTTTATTGATTTTATTACTCAAACTTTAAAAATCGTATCTTATTTTATTGAAATAATTATGTTTTTACCAACTTCAGTATTTTCATTTTAAAAAAACCTCTGTTTTGACAAAACAAGCGTAAGGAAACATGCACTTGCAACAATATATTGATTTAATTTATAAAAATATTCGTCTGAAAAAATACACAAATGTGATTAAATTTACTTTTAAGTAAAAATAATAACATAACAATAACAAAAGTCTTACCTTATTAAATAATTAAGGTCAGCTATATAAACTAAATTATAATATAAGAACTAAATTATTTTTTAAAATATAATATTTCTATTTATAAATTTGTAAAATAAGAATTGATCTAATTTTACAATTCATTTTATTTTCATTACATGCATATGAAAATTTGCTTTAAACTTTAAGGTTTATGAAACGGCTGGCCATAGGTGTCTGTAAAATATTATGTATTGCTTTCAATACATATGAAAACTGTAGAGGAACTAGTCCGTGGAGTATATGTTAGATGGAAAATAAAAAGATTTTTTTAGCATAAATTTTTAGAGTTGATTTTAAGTATTTAAAAGTAATTTTTTAAAAGAGTAGTTATTATTTTATATTTTTAATAATAAATATTTGTTAAAAGAAAAAATTATTAGTTTAATTAATTAATTAATTTTAAGAATTAATATTAATATTTTAAAAATAATTTACATATGAATTCAAAATAAATAAAGGGGAAAAAGCAAATATGTTATTTTTGTCTTGGTGAAAAGTACTAAAGAGAAGACTGCAGACAAAATAACGGTGATTGATAAAGTAGAAAATGCCAATATTCATTGTATCCAAAATTTTGATAGGATTTTTTAAAATTCGAATCTCATCCGATCAAGACTCAATAATTTTTTAATTAAATTTATAAATAAAATATATCAATCTTAATATTATGTACAACTATATTAGGAATGAACTTTATAATTTATATTTTAAAATAAATAATATCAACATATAAAATATTATCTAAGAAATCTTCCTCTCTTCCTCTTCCTCTGTCTTCAACTCACAACACAATAATCGTTCACTCTCCTCTTCATCCCTCAAATCATCATCTCCAATGTAAATGATACCTTTAGTCCTAACTCTCCCATCTAATTTTCTTTTCCTATCATATTTTGTAAATATGATGTTTTGATCACCGTTTAAAGAGTAAGAAGAAGAGAAAAATATGTAAAAGAAGATAAACAATATATAATTAAAACAATAATTTTTTAATGAATTTAGCGTAATGAATAGAAAAATATTTATTTAAAATGCATTCAAAAATCAAAGAATAAAATTAAAACTTTTAAAAATTAGAAGATAAAACAAAAAACAATAAGTTAAAGAAAAATAATTATTTATTATTTTACTTAAAGGTGTTTTTGTTAAAAAAAATGCAATTAATAAATAAATAATTTAATTTATAAAGTGAACAGAGATAAGTTCTCCTAAATTTCTTAAATAGTATAATATCACTAAATATGGTTTTGTTTAACAAAGATTTTATTTTGGCCTCTTAGAATATTTTTTAGTTTTCTACTGATGTAATTCTATTAAAAATTAATACGTCACAATTTTTAAATGAACCACTAATGATGATAACAACTGAAATAAAATAAATAAATAAAATATTTTAAAATTTTAAAATTATATAGGAAAATATTAAAATATAAAAATTAAAACCTTATTTAAATCTATGAATATTTCCTGTTGAAGTAACATGCGCAAGTCCCACAAGTACCGCCAAAGTATAGATATATATTATGTGTAGTTTATATTTTTTAAATTAATCACGTGAGATTAGATAAAAAAATTAATCTTTGATATATATATGTATATAATCAATTTATTAAGAGAAAAAAATATTTATTTGACATTTCAATAAAATTTAATTTATTGATGTATTTGATGATAAGTTAAACATATTAGACACACATTTTTAACACTTTTAATAATTAAAAACAAATATTAAAAAATTATATATTATATAAATTTTTTATTTAAATAAAATATATTTTTATGATCATATATAATATAAAATTTTTATTAAACTTTAGATGTAAAAATCACTTGAAATTTGTTTCTAACAATATGTTAACAATCAGTTATGTATAATTTTCATGTTAAAGCATGATATGAAATACTCATTTTAAGGTAATTAATAGTTATAAATTTTTTATTATATAATAACTAATAAAACACTTATATTTTACTTTAATAATTTATATTTTATAATTAAATTATTTATATTTTATTTTGTTCGACATTTATAATAGTATTTTTTATTTAACATATTTTATATTTTTTAGTTATTATATATATATATATATATATATATATATATATATATATACTGATTTAATAATATAGGAGTAGAATACTTTTGGGTTTAATAATAATGTTTCTAAAGTATTTTTAATAAAAAATTAATTTTAATACATTATAGTTATATGATTTAAAATTAATTATTCTTACTAATAAGACAATGCATGATTGGATGAACATGTAAAATCTTTTTACTCGATTAATTTATTTAAATTAAAATATTCTTTTAATAATGCAAAAAAAAAATCCCTTGCAAATAGATAATACTGCAAATCCCTAGATCTTGATTTCTTTTGAATTTGGTTCTTACGTATAGGATTTCTTCACCGCCACCAAAAAAGATTTAGCACCGCCATTCTCCACATTCAAAGAAAAGCAAATAGCCCCTCCAATATATATATAACATCATACCCTTAGCTTTGAAAACATAGTTTCCATTCCTAAATTTCCGCAGCCTCAAACTCAATCCCATATCAACCATATGGCCCTATCAAGATTGATGAAAAAGAAAAAACACAAGAGACAACCCACTTTCAAGAATGCGTCCTCTCCTACAACCGCCATACAATCACTTCCAAAAGACATGTTGGAAAAGGTGGTTGCAAGGGTAGCTTCTCATTCTTTCACTGACCTTCACAACATGAAAATGTGTTGTCGGGATTTTCTTGATGCTTCCGAAGATAGTTACGTTTGGCAAAACGTTTCTTTGGACAAGTTCCCGCTAATCCAATGGTTTCCTAATGACACTTCATTTTTCTTTTTAAAACGTTGCAAGCAAAATGGAAATATAGAGAGTGTGTGGAGAGATGGATTTCTAGAATTCTTCTGTCATCCAAACGGAAATATTGGTGGTCTTGAGATCTTGAAGGTTGCTTCTGAAAAGGGTCACATGGAAGCAAAATATATGTATGGTATGATACTATTATGCTCTGAAGATGATGAATTAAGAAAAGAAGGCCTTGAACATATGCGTTTTTTGAGGAAGTCAATGTGTGTCATTGCATGTAGAAAAAAAGTAGCACAATTTGCAAAACATCTGTGGATAAATAGAGCACTAGTACGTAATCAGTCTCCTCTATGTCGTCATACGAGCACATGCAATGGATGGGGATTGAAGAAAGGTCGATGGATATTACTAGACAAAGATGATGATAATTTTGACTCGTGCGAATATTGTAGATGGGATCATGAGTTAAAATTCTTTTACAAATTATTCAATGTTACTCAGTACACTTTCTATGAATAATTTTATTTCAAAGCAAATTTCTGTAATTTTTCTTCTTTGCATTTTGATTCTGGAGACACCATTAGAGTGGCACATGTACCTGCTTTCTCTTTATTTTGATTGCAAAATATCGGCAAATTAATTTTTTTTCCAATACTGTTATGTTTTATGTGTTTTAAAGTTTTGATAAACGCTTCAATTTCGTCAATATATTATAAATACTCCAGTACCATGCTTGCTTTAACCATTATGATCGCTAATACTGAACTCTTACTTGTAGAGGCAGAGGTACCGTTATTCTTCAGCAAGATTTGAATTAAAATTAGATGATTGGTGAAAACTTGGCCATGGATATCAGCGCATGATAATGCATATACTTTCATCTTTATCAAGGATATATATATCATATCTTCTTTTTTTCTAGCCGAAAGTAGATAACTAAAGCTTTTAAATTTAAATCAATAAGATAGGTTGAGAAATACCGTTTTAATTTTTTTTATGGCTTTGAAACCCACAGACATTTGACCCTTCTAAAGAAGTGCTCTCTCTCTCTTTTATATATATATATAAATTAAACTCTTAATATAATAAAAGCTAATTGTCTAGATGATGATTAAATAAACAATTGATTATTCTTTAATTTTTAAGATTTTACTTTCTCAATTTATTTTTTTATTTTTTTTAAATCATTGAATTCTTCTAAAATTTTTATCAAAGTGAAAAAATAAGTTTATTTTTAGTACATTATCAGTGTCAAATTTTTTATACTGTGAACTGAAGAGAATAAATCATGAATACAATTTTTATATTAATTATTAAAGAAATTAATTTTTTTTTGTTAATATGATAATTCATGATTTAGTGACAACATAAAAAAATTATACTGTTAATATATAGATGAAATTCATAAAAATAATTATAACAGCAATTAAACTACATATAGGCATAAAATATAGTTAAATCAAGAAATATTAATGATATATATAAAAATACATTAGACATAAATTAAAAAATATTGTTTCAATAAAAGATCTTTAAAGTTAAGCATTACTTTTTTTTTTCCTGGTATGACAAATTTTATTAATTTGAAATATCAGGGTACTTGACTCATATACATAACTTTTCACAACTATAAAATCTATCTCTACATCATAGATTAATACTCTGCATTTGAAAATTAGGAATTACCACATACATTTTTTTTTTATAAAAGACAGAATATATATAATCTTTTCAATCAGATCTTCAAAGAATGGTCAAGGAATTAATAAATAACAGATAAAGTGATAAAGCACAATCAATCTCCTCTGTACGTAACGGGTGGAGAGTGAAGAAAGGATAGCTATTGTTGGATGATTGTGACAATGATCTTAATTAACTCATACCGAATTTCTGTAGCTTAAAATACCATTAAATAAGAATTAAATAATGAATTTAAAATATAATTTAGAGTTAAGTAAACTTTCTCAAAATAAATATATTAAATTTATTTTTTATTAAATTAACTTTATTAAGAGACTCATAATATTATTCTTATTACGTAAAAGACACAAATTTTATTCAAATTACTTTTATTATTTTTATATGATTTATTTTATGTTTAATATTTAAATTTATATTTACATTATTATAAGAAATAATTATATTCACCTCTAACTTTATTGAAATTATTTATATTTTTTAAATTATTTAGTTTATATTTTAACTTCTAATTTATAATCACGTTATTAAAATTTTTATTTTATCTTTTGTTTGTTATACGCCTTAGAAACTCATTATCTTATATTTATAACTTTTTAGATTTAATCAATTCATGGATATAATACTCGACTAGTAACATTTTAATAATAAATACTAATATCTTACAATTAAGTTAATGATATTATTATATTATTTAAAAATAAATAAATTTAAAATGTCTCAATTTGTTAACTTTACTTTCATACATATGCTAATGATTTAGTTTAAAATTGAAAAGTTCACCTGTCTTACTTATTAAGTGGATAAAGGTTTGATTAGGTCAAGATAAAATAATAATTAGTAAGAGAAAATAAGAGAGGAAATCATTTTTGCTTAAATATAGATTAATAACGTATAATATAATCACCTTTAGATATTTGTTCACCATTTAATCAGGCTAATGTTTGAAAAAGAAATTTAAAATGTATGGTTATTCATTTTCAACAGTTGAATTGATAATTAGATATATGTAATGTAAGATATTTTGTTCATACAATAACCCCTATCTTTGGGGTATATTTCCTTTTCTAAGCTTTATTATCTTGTTTTGATAATTGTTACCATTATTTTGTCCATTTAATTGAAATTAATTTTGAGTGTCTTTATTTAATTACAGTGAAATTATTTTTTTAATAATTTTTATTTTTCCCATTGATTTTAGTCTCTCTTACATAGTTGTCACAATTTTGCTGTCTTATATTTATTATTACTCTTTGCAAATTCTTGCAAATGAGGAATTTTATTTTCAATGAGACTGTATTTTCACTGCTAATCCGTACCATAAAACTCTTTCATCAAAGACCCCAACGCCCCTCCACCGTTTCGGTCAAATGAATCTAATTAACATAGCCAATGATGTGTAACACGATTGTGAAGTTGGTAATGTTCAACATGATTGTGAAGCACCAAACCTAAGAGCTCATTAATAATATTTTAGAGCACTTTTAGTGGTGGAATTCAAATAAATTCTTAAATTTATTTTATGTAAATTTCATGCTGGCACATAGATTTGAAGAACTTTTATGTTTTTTTTACTTTAGTGGTAAAACTAAAGTTTGATTTTTTGAATTATTTTTTGTGAGTCTTATCACTGTTGATACCTACCAATTTCAGTTAAAAAATATTTAAAAAAAATTTTTTTTTTTTAAAATAGTGTAGTTCTTCTTAATTTCTAGCTAAACACTATCCTTCCTGCGTGAAGCATTCTTAGTGATAATTCTTGTGAATAACCAATTTTAAGTTAATAATCATTCTCAAAACCACAAATAAAGGTGCTCTTACAAGCATACATGCCAGCACTATGCAAGTGGTGAAAAGTAAAAACGTGAAAAAGCCTCAGAAAAAACACAATGGGGCCCAACTAAACAACCTCGTAAAAGAACACACAACACAGCAACACCTACCTACTGTAAGAAACGTTCATATACTTTATTGCTAGCGTGGATTGATTAATGAACAAGTTATAGTATGTGGCGAATGCTGAACGAAAAATGTGAAGCATTATGGGAAGTATATAGTTGCTTTTGCAGTTTTGTTGGTTGTAGATCCCTAAAAGCTTCAAACATGCTCCTCAGCCAGCTTTCTATTGTGTTAATGAAAACTCCTCTTCTACTTGCTGCAGTTCGCACTCCATGGCATGGACCGATCTACTCTTCATTCCAAGTGCGTGAAAAGGATGTGCACAGTAAAATTTTATTTAATATATACACAATTATTTTAAAAAATATAAAATTATGTTTAGAAAATTGTAAAATAGAAATTTATTTAATTTTAATTTAGTTCATTTGAAGTACATAATATAAAAATTCCATTTAACTTCGAAAATTATAAAATGGATTGCCTTGCCGGTAAAATATTCATGTACAAGATATAATATGCTTTAATTAATGAATGAAGTGAACACGGGTATAATTAGTCTAGATCCATTTATTATCCCTAATTGAGATTAGCTTGTTATTTAAGAATTTTATCTCGATCTAAATGACCTTAGTTCAACTTAAGATATAGCTAGCTTAATTAGTTTGCCTATTATTTGGATTTGGTTAGTTTTATTGAACTGTAGATCTTATTGTATTTGGGTCTGTAAATAAGTCTTTAGTGCAAACATTTAAGATGTTATGATTATTTTATAACATTGAATTTTCTTATTTAGAGAGTATTTGATGAATTATAGATGCTAGCAATTGTAATAGGAATAGTCATAAAGAAATCTTTGTTGGCTCATAAACTTGCAGTGATGAAATTTTGGATTGGGATTGTTTGGTTAAAAGAAAGCGTGAAGAGTTCCGAATCATTTACAACAAATCAAAATCTAACGGGCGAACGTCAGTTCCTATCCGAAAAATATGTTTTAGATCGATGGATATTCCTCTTTCATTTAAATGACGTCAATGCTAAAATAAGGATGTCATGCTGTGCTCTCAAATAAGGGTTAGAAGAGTAGTAAAGAGGATACATGGATCAACAACAGTTCCTTTGTTCCTTTATTTTATACTTTCCATAGAGGCAGCAGAAAATGAAACACTTCTAAACTATAGTTGAAATGGTAACAAAGGGAGCACGCAAGGAGCCACAATAGAGTGTCCCGTTAGACTCATGAACCTCACTAACCTCCTCACTCCCAAACTCCTGAGCAAGAATCACACTTCGTAAAATCATACCATTCTCATTGATTCTGAGCCCTGAAGGCACAATGGTAGGCCTTGCAGGTGGACGTGGTCCTATAAACCTGTTCATTGCCACCCAAAATTGACCATTTGGATTTCTCATAATGTTATCTGGGCTACCCAAAAGTTGCAAGAATATCTCAGATGAATTTGTTTTTGGCCCCCTCAGCCAGAATCTCTGGATTCTATTTGCCAAGAATTCACTGACTAGGACAAATGACCCGTCTCTGCTTACTGCTACCCCACTTGGTAAAGCAAGTCCCCTCATCAACGCTCTCGTTTGGTTGGTGGTTGGATCAAATGAATATAGGCTTCCAGAACTATCTCTGCTGCTTACCAATGCATAGAAATCTCTGCAAAAATTGTTACATTTGTTAATTTAATGGGCTACGGTAGAAAAATATGCTAAAGCGTCCAAGATTTTTTAATATCAGACAAAAAAGCTATATCATCTTACTATTTAAGTGTATAGATTTTCCTATTCCCCAAAAAATAACACGTATCTTGTAAAAAAAATATATTAACTTTTATCTTCTAACTTTTTCTCTCTACAAGAAATGTGTAACTTTTACGTATATAAGAGAATTTGTTAAGAGAATATAGGATTTCCCAATGCTAAATCTTTTACAAGAATCAATGTTTAAGAGAAAAAAAAAAAACAAAGTGCGGAAGGAAGTAGTTACTTGATCTGGTAATTAGCACTAGCTTCAGTAAAATAAATTACTCCATTGTTGATATCTACATCCAAGCCATCAAGAAACTTAAACGCAGGATAGCCTGGTCCTGGTGATAGTGATGGTGATGGAGATGGCGATGGGAAATGTGATGGTGATGGAGATGGAGATTGGGATGGGGGGAATGGTGATGGTGATGGTGATGGCGGCGGCTGTGGTGTTGATGTTGGTAGACCATAAAGGAATTGGGTTGGGGGTCCTCCATTTGGCCCAATCTTGGTGAGCCCAAAATATGCATCGGCTGCATACAACTCGCCTGTCTGATGATTAAACCGCAATCCTAAAGGCCTCCCACAAGATGCTTGAAGTGTTGAGAAGTCAGCAAGCCCATCACAAATTGTCTTGTTCCTACCATAAACCAACCAACGTAACAACATTAATTCATCAATCAAATGTATGGTTTAATTGTATAATAAATAAAATAAGTGAGTGTGACTAAGTCTTGCACTTCATATATTACCTGTTTGGCGAAGTGTAAGCATATTCCTGGAAACCTTGGTTTGGACCTACATATTTGAGAATTCTTCCATCAGAAACACCAACATAAGGCCCTCCGCCGTTTCTGTCAAACGCGATTGACTCTGGGCCTGTCAATGGTGACGGTAGTGGTAGCCTGTTTATTAATATAGCCACTGAAGGGGAACATAAGAGGAATACTATTAGATTTCCAAACATAGCCATTGTCATCATAATTTTCGACATGATTATTGACAATAATGTTTGATGTACGGCACGATGCATAAGAACTCAGTGATCATACTTATAGGCATGCATGCTATATATGCACGTAGTATAAAATAGGCAATAAGAGGAAACGTGAAAGAGCCCAGCCCCAACCCTGTAACTGTTACAACCTCGTGATAAAGCACACCACAAAGCAAGGCCTACCTAGAAACTTTCATAGTTTGTTACAATATTTGGATTTATTAGAATAAAGTACCATATGTGCAGATTGCGCAATGCATGAAAATGTGAATCTTATTATAGGGAGTAGTGATAATCGGTTTTGTGGTTTGGTTGCTGAATAAAAACCTTGAAACCTGCTACTCAACCAGCTTTCTCTCGTGTTCTCACCTGTGAAAACTTCTCTTCCACCTTTTTGCAACTCGCACTCCATGCCATGATTTGTTCTTATTCTACGAGGTGCCTCCAAAAAGATGCGCAAAATCTCCTCCAAGTTTTGTATACATTCAGTTTACTTTTTTCGGTTTTTCTAACTCATAAAAAGCTTGCAGAATAAAAACCTTGAAACCTGCTCCTCAACAAGCTTTCCCTCGTGTTCTCACTCGTGAAAACTTCTCTTCCACCTTTTTGCAACTCGCACTCCATGGCATGATTTGTTCTTATTCTACTAGGTGCCTCCAAAAAGACGCGCAAAATGTCCTCCTAGTTTTGTACACTTTCAGTTTACTTTTTTCGGTTTTTCTAACTCATAAAAGCATACAATAAAAACTTAATAAATAATAAATATTTGTTAAAAATTATAACATAGTAATGCATTAAATTTTATAATTTTCAATAAAAATTTATAATATATAAATTTTAGAAAAAATTAGTATTTTTTGTTCTTTAACTTTACAGTATATTTCAAATTTGTTCTTTTAACTTTTTTTAATTTACTTTAATCTTCTAAATTTTATAAAAGTTTTAAATAAATTCTTTTCTATTAAAATTCTGCATTTTATTAAAAAAATTTATCGTTTGATGTCACTGAGTATGCGATACTATTTATCATCTTTTTCAGATCTTTAGTATCTTTTCGTTTTTCTTATCTCTCTTTATCTTCATCTTCTTATCATCAACATCAAACATTCACTTCCAAATTCTAAATCTTAAATAACTCCACTTTTTAAATATCTATTTTTTATCTATAAAAAATTTGAACGCAAAGTATTCATTAACAAGAATCATATGTTCTAAAAGCTCAAAGCATAGTCTAAAAATAAGTTTGTTTTGATTTTTACATTCAAAAATTTGTCAAATATGAAAAATGAGTATTTAGAAAAGTGATTTGTTTATAATTTGAGATTTGGAGATAAGTGATTATTGTTGATAGCAAGAAGATGTAATTTTGATTAGAAATAAAGAAGAGAAAAAAGTACTTAAGATCAGGTCAGAAATCTAAAAAAGAAGACAATAAACAATAACATACAATACATATAACATAAAATGACAAGTTTTTTTTAATAGAGTTAAAGTTTTAAACAAAAAATGACCTAATTAAAACTTTTGTAAAAGTTAGAAAACTAAAAAAAAAGAAAAAAAGTTAAAAGATGAAATAGAAATGCAACTTAAAATTAAAAGATGAAAATACTAATTTAAATTAAATTTTATTATATATATTTTTACATAAACTAAAAAAATCATCTTATTTTAAGAAAATAATTACAACTAGTATACAAGTTTAAGTTAATAACTATTAGCGGTGTCAAAAAGGGTTAAACAACTTAAAAATAGATTAATTTGAGTCGTTTTTTATTTAAAAGATGGACTATATTTTTTAGCTCAATCCTTTTAAGGATGGACTAGTAAACTAACAGGTCAGCCTGTCAAAATTAAAAATTTTTAAAAAAATTGATTGATTATTAGATTAATAGTTCAGTCTTTAAAAAATTAACAAAAAAAATCACAATAAATTATAAAAATTATTTTTATATTAAAAAAATTAATATTTAATTTAAAAAAGTTAATTTTTAATTTTTAAAAATAAAAAATGAGTCTAAAACTGTCTCAATTCGCTATATTAACAAATTAAAACGAGACAAAGCTGGACAGGGCGACCAGTTTGGCGAAGCACAATTTTACCACCCCATACTCAAGATACAGTAGCATAGAAAAATCTAAGAGCATATCTTTATTGTTAAACTAATATAGTCACTTAACTAAGTTATTAAGTTTAATAACACTGGAGCAAGGCACCTTATAACTGATAAGTGATAAGCTAGTTAAAATTATATAACTTATAGAATTAGAGTTGTTTGTTTAGTAAACAGTTAGGTGAAATGTGTTAAATGGCTCGAAGTATTAAAATTATTAATTATTTTGGATGAATATAAATTGTTTAAATATTAAAGATGAAAATAAAAATATTAAAAATTAACTTTTATTAAACTAAAAGCTACTTAAAGTAAGTCTTCACAAACAAGCTTTTAAAAACTATAAACTCACATTAAAAGCTATAACTATCTAATGATTCTATCAACTTATCGTTTTAAAAAATAATTTATAAATTCTTAAATAAGATATAAATTTATGTTACATGACACAGTTTAAGCCTTAGACAGTAACGTAAAACTAAACTGTAAATCATAACTAGTATAAAAAATAAATATTAGTTGAATTTTTTGTAGTAAAAAAATGATTTGATCATGACTTTGTTACCATTGACATGATTGAAATTGATATTAATTTTAAAGATCTCGGTTGATTGGATTATTATATAATACACCTTTTAGAAAATTTTAGTAATATTTTTATAAGCATTTTATAGCTTTGATTATTTATCGTTTTTTTTATTTGCTCTTGATAAATAAAGTTGATAAAAACTAAAATTAAAACTAAGAAAAGAAAATATTAATAGTGATATTAAGTTAAATGATATTAAAGATAAAATTGTCGTGTTATAATTTTAAAAAATTAAGATATTCAACTAACTTTAAATAGTTTTATTTTAATTTAGTTAAAAATGTTTTATAAAAAGTATCAAAAGAAATACATTACAAAAAGAATCTATAATTAACAAAGATTTTTTCAGTTTAAAATTGGCTTGCATTTGTTTTTTAAAAGAACTATAATTTAACTTATTGAATCAAAGCCACCAATGCTGCTTACGCTGTTTACAACTTCTAGTGTTTGGTTAAAAGAAAGCGTAAAGAGTTCCGAAACCTTTACATAATTCAAAATCCAGCGGGGAATGTCAGTTCCAAATAATATACTAAGATCGATGTTATAATTTTTTCTTTTAAAATGACGTAAATGCTAAAATGAGGATATCATGATGTGTTCTCAAATATGTTTCTAACAGTTCCTTTATTTTATACTTTTCATAGAGGCAATAGAAAGTAAAACACTAGAATATAGTTGAAATGGTAACATAGGAAGCACGCAAGGAGCCACAATAGAGTGTCCCGTTGAACTCATGAACCTCACTTACTTGATCACTACCAAACTCCTGAGCAAGAGACACAATCTGTAAAACTATACCATTTTCATTGATTCTGAGCCCTGAAGGCACAGTGGTAGGCCTCGGAGGTGGAGGTGGTCCTATAAAACTGTTCATTGCCACCCAAAATTGACCATTTGGATTTCTCCTAATATTATCTGGGCTCCCCGTAAGTTGCGAGAATATTTCAGATGAATTTGCTTTTGGCCCTCTCAGCCAGAATCTATGAATTCTATTTGTCAAGAATTCACTAACTAGGACAAATGACCCATCTCTGCTTACTGCTACCCCACTTGGGAAAGCAAGACCCCTCATCAATGCTTTCGTTTGGTTGGTGCTTGGATCAAAGGAAAACAAGCTTCCAGAACTATCTCTGCGGCGTACCAATTCTGGGAAATCTCTGCAAAAATTGTCACTTTTGTTAATTTAATGGGCTACACTAGAAAAATATTTTAAAGCCTCCATGATTTTTCAATACCGAACTCGAGTTTTATCATTCAATTATTTCAGTCTACAAACCAGTATACTTCTTCTCAATGCCAAATCTTTTACAAGAATTAAGATTTAAGTGGAAAAAACAAAGTACGGAAGGAAGTAATTACTTGATCTGGTAATTAGCACTAGCTTCAGTAAAATAAACGACTCCAGTGTTGACGTCTACATCCAAGCCATCAAGAAACTTAAACCTGGCATTGTCTTGGAGTTGTGGTTGAGATTGCAGTTGCCAAGACGGTGGTGGCGGCGGCGGCGGCAGTGTATATTGAATGCATTGAGTTGGGGGGCCTCCGTTAGGCCCAATTTTGAGGATTCCAAAATAAGCATCGGCTGCATACAACTCGCCCGTCTGATGATTGAAACGCAATCCTAAAGGCCTCCCACATGATGCTTGGAGCGTTGAGAAGTCAGCAAGCCCATCACAAATTGTCTTGTTCCTTCCACACACCAACATAACAAAATTAATTAATTAATCAAGTGTATGATTTAACTATATAATAATCAAGATAAGTTAGCGTGACTAAGCTTGCACTTCATATATCTTACCTGTTTGGCGAAGTGTAAGCATACTCCTGGAAACCTTGGTTTGGACCTGCATATTTGAGAATTCTTCCATCAGAAACACCAACATAAGGCCCTCCACCGTTTCTGTCAAATGCGATTGACTCAGGGCCTGTCAGTGGTGACGGTAGTTTAAGCCTGTTTATTAATATAGCCACTGATGGGTAACACAAGAGGAACATCATCAGGGTTGCAAACATAGCATTCATCGTCATCGAAATTTTCGACATGATTGCCAATAATGTTTGATGTAAGACACGAAAAATATAAGAACTCTGGATGATAATATTTATAGGCATAGATGCTACGTATGCATGAAGTATAATGTTGTAGACAATAAGAGGAAACGTGAAGGAGCCCAGCCCCAATCCTGTAACTGTTACAATCTCGTGATAAAGCACACCACAAAGCAAGACCCACCTAGAAACGTTCATAGTTTGTTACCTATATATGGATTTGTTAATAAACAAAGTAGAATATTTGCAGATTACGCAATGCATGAAAATGTGAAGCACTGATTATAGGGAGTAGAGATAATTGGTTTTGCGATTTGGTAGCAGAATAAAACCTTGAAACCTGCTCCTCAATCAGCTTTCTCTCGTGCTCTGACTCATGAAAACTCCCCTTCTGCCTTTTTGCAACTTGCACTCTATGCCATGATTTGATCTTCTTCTTCGAGGTCCCTCATTTGTTTAGTTTATTTTTCGGTTTTTCTAACGCAAAATAGTAGACGATAAAAATTTTACCGTCATATATTCCATATAATTTACCATCACTAGCTCTGAATCTCGAATCACACTTTCACCGTAGAAAATATGATTGTCGTAACGACTTGTGAAGAAAATACCAATCACCCAAAGGAAGAACTTAGCAAAATACCTGTGTGGGCTTCGTATGATCCTTGTTGGGAGCAACAGTTTTCAAAATGGCAAGCATAAGACTAGTCCGTCCGTAGAATAAAAATAAAACGGTTTTTATTATCTTTAAATCTAATGTCAAGCATTTAAGAGACTTGAAAAATAAAATATTTATCACACTTTATATTTTTAATAAAAAATATTTTTATTTTTATTTTTATTTATTTAAAGTTAACTCGGAAGAATAATTTTAATAAATTTTCATAATTAAATTTTATATAAAAATATTATTTAAATATATTTTAATTTTTTATTGCTTTAATCTCTTCTTACAATAATTTTTAAAATTGTATTTAAAAATAAAAAATTACTAAAGCATATTATGATACTCATAAATTTAAAAGAGTATTTTATATTTTTTAAATTAATGAGTATAAATTTTTTATTATTTTAAAAATTAAAAATATAATTTTTTTAATTAAACTATTAACTTCACCATTTAATAATATAAAATTAATAATAAAAATTAATTTTAATAGATGGTAACAAACGATAGATTTTAGCGAAACACCCTGTTGAAGTAAGGGCAGGTGAGAGAAAAGTGCATTTAAAATTTGAAATGCGAACGATCGAACAGAGTGGAATTTGGCGGGAATGGAAGGGAGTGAGAGTGAGTCCGTTTTCGATTCGCTTAATCTGAATCCTCAACTCTTCTGTAACGAAGTTCTCAACAATGTCGACGACGTACTTGACCAAGCTTTCGATTTCTTCTACCAGTATGTAACACCCCCTTTTCCTTTCCATTTTTTCAAAATTATTTTCGTTTTTTTTTTTCTTACAACTTAGTTGAGGAAATTGTATGACTACGCGCTCCTGCGCACGTTGCAGGGACACATCGGCGAAGCTGAACATCGAAGGGACACAAAGGTCGCAAGATCTGAGAAAGGTTGGTATCATCTTTTGCATTCGATGCAATAATTAGGGTTGTTAATTAATTAATTAGGGTAATTATTGATTAATTATAATGACGTGGGAAGTGGTGTATTGTGAAAGGGTGTTGATTGCGTTCGGCAGAGGGTTCAATCTGTTTTGGACAAAAAGCTTAGTGCTTGGGAAAATTACGTTCTCCGTCACTGTTTTGCTCTTCCCCAAGGTTTTCGTATGCCTAACACGGTATGTTCCTCAACTTGTTATTGTTACTGTTTTTTATGCATTGTTGAAAGATTTGGTTATTGACTCTAATTTCTGTACCGCTTGAATTGTTATTTGTTGTGTTGATGATGACATTTTGCAATAACTATGACGAAATTCTTTTCGGGTTTGGATTGGAGAATGTTGATTTGGGTTGATGTTTTTTGACTACTGGCTGCATTGTGACTTTGTTATGTAGTGGTTGGTTGTTAACGAAATATTGTCGGGGATCATGAATGTCTTTCCAAGATTGATGTATGAACTTAATAATATGTGTTCGTAGAGGATGTTGAGAACTAAGCAGTGTGCATGTGCAGCATTGAGTATGGTGGAAGGGCGATGTCTCTTTTGAACCAGACATCTAAAATTTATGTTGTTTTGTTATTGGTTATGATACATGGGAAAAATATCATAATGCATAGCAAACTTGTATTATTTCGTGCTGTCTTGATTTTAATTTTTTTTTCTTTCCTGCTTTGTTCATGCGATTTAATGATACTATACAAATTCGTTAGCTAATTGAGGAATATTGCCTGCTTAGTATAGTTATTTTTTAGCTTGACATCTAACCTTGGAAGAAAGGGTACTTCCAGGATGAATCAAGTGAGAATGGCCTTGATCCAGATGCTCCTTTTGATCGAGATTTAGATGCTCAGTTAGATTCGTTGAGAGAAAAATTAACTAAGGTAATAAGAATGTTGATTGCTAAAATCTTTCTTCTGCTGAATTGGTACTTTTTGCTTCTCATTTAATTTATCTTGATACTACTTATGCTATCAGGTGGGGAAAGAGTCTGAAATGCTTGATCAAGAAATTCAAGCATTAGAAAGGAAATCTTCTATTAATGCTGGGTGTATCATTGAAGCAGTAAAATTATATGAGCAAAATTCTATACATGAGTTGTTTCGGGGTAATTAAAGAACTTCTCACTCTCTTTTTGGTTCACATCTCCTTTAGTATGCCCAATCCTGTTCCTCTGAAAACTATATCTGTATGTGTCAACACATGTTGCTTTTCTTATGCAGTTGGATGAAGCGAAAGAACATTGAATTCTCTGGATACATACAGTTTACTTAGCATTTGAGTTGATTTATTTGGAAATTATTTTCTAAGAATCTTCAGATAGAGATTTTCTTTTTTGTTTTTTCTTGTGTTTTTATTTATTTATTTATTTATTTCATAGCTAGTCATTGTGTCAAATGATGCACATTATGGATATTATCTGTTTTTCAATTTAGTTTTATACTTTTTTATCATTTATTATCTGATGGAGCTTTACATATAGATTAACATCTTTAAACAAGGGTACAACTTTATTTCCTTATAGCTTCTTAATACCACATCAAGGATCAAGCATTTGAGGGTAACCACAATAGGTACTAAGAGTTGTTATGTTAACCACAAAGGGTGATGTTAACCAAATAGAGGCAACTAAACAAAATTTCCTGGTGTCGTGCATTATTTTTATAAAAGTAGGCAGGAAAAATTTTGTATTTTCTGGTTGAAATTATGGTCGAAGACTCGAAATATAGCTGATAATATATGTTGAAGTGTCTAAGTTGACAGATCTTTAAATAATTTTAATACATCTTTGTTTCCTTTAGAGCTTGCGACAACTGCCTCAGAACTCGGAATGAAGATGGGAAAGCTAAAGACCAACATGATTGAAGAGACTGAACAAATGAAAACAAAAAGGATTTACAGCACTGAAACGGATCTATCAGCTATAAATCCTGCTAAAGGTAACCAAAATATCATCCATTGTATTGCAACGTGCATTAACTTTCAAAGGTTGAAATTTGTTTCTGAATTGATCATTCCTGTTTGCAGGCCTCTCAAATGTGAAGTTGGCTGATCTTGAAGAATTTGTAACTTTTATGAAGAGTATGTGAACTTGTCGTTTTCCATCAATCTAGTTGGACTGGACTTATGACTGCTATATCCATTGTCGTATATTCTGTCCTTTTCTGTGCTGATTAGTTGGAATTTGCCCCTATAAGGGTGAAATTATTCTGGGCAATTCCATGAATCTTAAAATTACCTATGTGTGATTTATATAAAGTATATATTGATAATTTTCAGTAGTTCCTAAATGAGTGTATGAAGCAGTTCCACAATGGTTGAAGACAGCATATGTTTGGTTCTCCCTTCGGCCAATGGAACACGATTACCCATATTAAATCAGAAGTTGAGATCTCTCAACATACAAATTACGAGATACTGGTGTTGGAAGGGTTTTTCGCTTTGATTAAAAATTTATATTTTTATATGGAACAGACATTTATTGCAAGTGAGGTACAACTTGCTTGAAATTTAACAAGAAAAATGCAATACTACCATCCGTTCTGCTAGTAACTGTTAATCACTAGATACACGGAAAAAACGAGTAAACCATCAAAATTGTCCATATTATATCTAAAATTCATCAAAATAATCTCTGAAGGAAAATGTGATTTTAGTTCTTAATGAATGCCGTTGTCACTTATTTCCTTATAGTTTTAAAGATTTATCAAAATAATTCATAATCTAAATAAAATATCATTTTAGTTTTTAAGGCATTTAATCATTAAATATAAAATATTTAATGAATAAAATTGTTAATTATTTTACTTCTTATTATTACTTAAACATTAGTTTTTTTAAAAATAAACTAACTTAACACATTTAAGTGTTAGTCAATTATGTAGCACATCTTTTAATGACAATATAATAGAGTGATATGACTTAAAGTTTATTTTTTAAAAAATTCATTAACTTGATTTCTAAATAATATCTATACTCAAAATTTTATAAGAAATAAATTAATTGATTAGCTATTTTTTATGTTATCATGTTATGTATAATGTCTAATAGACATGAACATTTTAAGTTATTTCATTTGTTAAAATAACTAATGTTTAAATTACAATAGAGATAAATGATTGACAATTGTATATTAATAATTACATGTATTAAATGTTAAAATAATATTTTATTTAAATTATGAAATATTTTAATGAATTTTTAAAACTATAAAGACTAAAATGATTAACAATTACAGATATTAAAGACTAAAATATCATTTTATTTAGTTTAAAGACTATTTTAATGTATATTAGAAACAATAAGATTAAATTGATAATTTACTCAAAATATATTCACCTTATTGAAAAAGGAAAAAACTTTTGAGATGTCCGAGCTTTACGTATAAAAGTATACTTCAATCATCCCATACAAGTAGGAAATAAAATATTAAAAATTGCTGGCGCATGCGTAGATTCAAGATAACAACTAGTGATCGCAGTGATATTTCTTCAATAAAACATATAGAATAAACGCTGGTATTTTAGAATAGTACTGTTTGATTAAGAAGGCATGAGAAAACAAAATGAAGATATATGGGCATGGAGTTGGAGACCTTACTCTAATATTGAGATCACAGTTTGTACTTCTGAACCCTTTTTGTACAAGACTAATGGTATTAGAATTTGATCAACAGGTTATTATATTATATTATATATAATGTAATCATTTTTCACCTTATTCTTTGGGGATCTCTATTAGCTGAGCAGTTGGGATGAAATTTCTTTCTTTGGACTTCTGCGTCTTTATTTCATAAAAAGAAATAATAATAATAATAATAACAACTAAGTCCATTTTCAACGAGGGGTGTGTTCAACAACGTAGTTTAGGGTAAATATCTGAAAATAAAACACTGCTCCTGACTCGAGAAAAAAATTATCTATTTACAAGATTATTGATGAGACACTTGAAAGATTATAATTTATCCCTAAAAAATACAACTTAAGTCAAATTCTTCTTATTTGTCATTTGAGTTTGCTAAATCAAAGTTACGTTATTTTTTTCCCAAAATATTATCAAGACCTTTAATGTAAAAAAATTATGTATGTCGAAATATTATTATTTGATTTGTCAATTAGATGGCAAACACCTACGAGAAATGAGAGCTAGAATTTGGACCGAAAAAGCAAAATTCGACATTCAAATCACATTGGACACACCAACCGACACAAAAGGAAACATGATACTACTGCCTTGAGACACCAATATACGTTTTAAAACTACAGATAAAATTACCGTATTGCTAACATATTTTGTGGACAAACCACGTCAATATAAATGGATCAAACAATAAAAACATCCATCAGTCTTAAAAAAAGGGATGCTAAAAAACGCAGACTAAATGGTCGACAAGTAGCTTGTGACTAATCTTCTCTTGTATTAACAAAATTTAAAAGAATAAATATCCTTCCTGTTAGGGTTTTAAGGCCAAAACAACTTTTTCCAAAAATAGCTAGGGGCTCTATAATTCATGGCAGAGATTAACCCAATTAGCGAATTCGTAGCTTCTGATGTTCTCGACACATGAAACGGAGAAACTCAAGTTAGAAAATGATACAGCTATATGATCAATAAAACATGCGTAATCAAGGGCATATTGATAACATTCTGCTCTCCAACTGTGTAGCTCTCAATTCCATAAAAAGTACGAGGCACATAGCATTTGACTTGTCACTCAAGCAGAAGAGTATCTTGATTCCCAGTTTGAAGAATCAATATATTCAAAGGAGCAAAGGGGGCAAATGGCTACCTACACACAAATCAATATCAGCCCAGCCAAAATTACACGAAGAAGGAGATGTTATAGCAGTCAGGGAAAGAGTGAAAGACACAGAAGAACAGCATGGAAAAAAACAAACTGAATCATTACGGGACTGACAACAAGAAATAGTTTCGGATGGATACACTTACAGTAGATAAAAATAATCTTCATAACAAACTTTCGATGTTAAGCTCAACAAAGGAGCAAGGATCAGGAATGTCGAAGTTGTTTAATACCTGAAAGAATACATAACAAGCAGAATTATTAGTATTATGTGTATGACTTAAAAGTATTTAGTTTTGAAATATATGTAAAATGACACGAAGAAAGCAGTGCCAAGTTCGTCTAGAGCAGATGTATTCAATGTCAGTGAGAAACAACTACTAAAAAAAAGGAATTTAAAAATTATGTACTAACAAAAGATGACATAATTTTAGTGCTCACGAATACCTCTGGATGAACAATGCCAAAAGTGCCGATATGCTTTTCTTTATAAATGATTCTAGCTTGCCTACCAGCAAGAAATTCAGGTTCCTTCAATAAGCAAATGAGTTCATACACAACTTATCAGAAGCACAATAAATCTTCCTTATTAGAAAAAAGGGCAAAATAAAAAGCACACAACTCTCTATGTAGAGTTGTTATACACTTACATGTGATCGTTCAATATAATACCCGGATTTATCACCAGGTGAAACAAAGGTAATCCCATTCTTCTCCATGACTCTGTCCACCAAGCCATGAATTATCTGCATATCATTGGATAAAATACAGTACAATCATCGAAGTATTGATAGCAATACATCAAAAACAGAGTACCAAATGAAGTGCCATGAATACCTCAAATCCTGCATTAGCACCACAGTACAAAGCAGCAAGTTGGCGAAGATTCTTTGCACCAACATCATTTTTGTCATCCAAAATTGCTATATCACCAACTTCAAAAATCTGAATCAATTTTGAGAGAGAAATGTAGGTATACTTACAAACTTGCAACAGAGTAGAAGTAAAAACAACAAAAAATAGAAATGTATAAATCAGAGGATGAGTTAATAATCGACATGTTTTACTAATGACAGGTGACAACCATTCCAAATTCCAATATAGAAGTGTCCAAACAACATCATTCTTTGTAATGTGTTCTAGCTTCCCACTATTTTCGATTTACTTTTCCTGTAATTTACAGCTTCTCTTTACACTTCCATCCAATTTATTGCTTAACTTACAGCTTTCCAGTTTATTACAGGTCATTTATGGTTGATTTATTTGACTTAATGACCAAGTCCACGAATCTCATGGATTATTTCTCTAATTCCATAGACACATCATGATTCATGTTAACCTTGGATGCTCAATTTTATCTCTAAGGAATGGTGGCAATGTGAAAATGAAAATAATGATTTGGACAGTAATTTTCAAAGCAGATTCATAAAATATTACATTGGAAACTTAAATAATAGATCCCATAGAATTCACCATCACTAGCAATGAGTTTTCATGCGCAGATCACTCTCATTGTTAAAAGTGATTCCTGCAAAGAGTCATAATTAAAAAAAAAAAAATCAATCACCCAGGGGAAAAACTAAGAAATACCTTTATGGGCTTTGGATGATCCTTGTTGTGAGCAACAGTTTTCAAAATGCCAGGCATAAGACTAGTCCGCACAGCCTGAATATATGTTACATCTAAAAATTAAATTATATAAATTCAGGAAAAAAACAAAAAAATAAAGACAAAATCAATATATCTTGGTGAAAAGTATTAATGAAGATTGCAGAAAAAATAAAGGTGATTGATCAAGTTGGACGTGTAACTTCAGATTGCAATTCAATACTAGGAACATAATCCACGCAGCAGAAAGATAAAAAACGAAAATAAAACAATTTGATGTAGTGAGGAAAGATGAATAAGCTATGTCAAACTGTTTTCTAGATGGGAACCCGCATGCATATGCATTGCTATCCTCTTAAATGCATTCCATGAATTTTTATTATTTTTTATGGCATTATTTTCATTGCAACTAAATAAACCTTTGTCATAAACCTTACTAGACACATTGCCAATGAAAAAGGAAGATAAAATGGGCGGACCTCAAAGTCTGAAGACCTAGGGTTTCCAATGATAACTGCCTTGGATTTATCATCTATGCGATTTAGCATGGCAAAGTTTTCCTTTTTAGAGCAGAGTATAAACGTCAAGACCTCTGTGAACCCAATCATTGCAACCTGAAAAGAAGTTAGGAAAGGAAGTATTCAGATAACAAGGCACTTCAAATAATTAACAACCACCTTCAAAATATGCTATGCTTGGGTAATATATTCTGTTTCACCAGTTTAATCAGAGATAATACAACCATTTCATATTTTACAAAAATTTGAAGCATGAAACCTTAACCTGATTCAATCACAAGAGTCATAATCTGTTATTTTGTTCTATACCTCTTTTCTGATAAGATCACTGAGCTCATTCAGAGGAAGTAGAGTCAAGGAAGCAGCCAACCTCTCTGAGCCCTTATTATCTACAACTGCTTTATCCTTCACAGCATTGAATCCATAAGCTATTGCAACGTCCTATAAGATTTTTTTTTAAAAAGAAAAAAAGGATAGAAAAAGGCATTGCTTGTCAGTAAAATATGTATGCAATAGATCTGATATGCATTCACGAATGATCAAGCATGTCACTGCCAATACCTCCATAACATCACATGGGTGAAGAACATCACTTCTAGTAGGAGGTACAGATACAACAAATTTAGACTCCTTACTGCCAGATGTAGACTGCTGGGCATGCAATTGCATCTGATTTAAGAACTTAGTGACCTGAAGAAAGAAAGGGTTAAAACAATAATGACAAGACAAACAATATTGCTTCAGTTGATGTTTGAAAACATGAGAGCATTGCATCTTGCATTAGAATCAAAACATTGCACATAAAAAGATTAGGTAGATAGAACTTAAGGAAATTATAACATGAAAAAACAAATAACTCAACCACAGAAGTAAAATGCCTTCATAAAAGAAAGTGCAGTCACCTTGTAATAAGTGCTATTTTTTTTGTAATAAATATTGATTGTTTAAACACACACAGAATTTAGTCCTTAAGATAAATTAGTACAGGAAAAAATTCCAATCACAAAATTAAAATCTGGCAAACAACAGGAGCAGAAAACTGTTTTAATCTTCTTTTTCATTTTAACATTAATGTCTTGCATGAAATGCAGAAAGATTAAACTAACATAATAATGTGATGCACCTGCAGAGGCTACCATATATTGAAGAAAAAAAATAAGAGAAAAAATGCTCTAAAGCCATTGGTTAAAAAATAGTTGCACATCTGACAATGCCTAGAACATATATGGAAGTATATTACCAATTATTAAAAAATTGCGAGGAAAAAAAAAGATGGAAGCTTCAAGCTTAATAAGATTGTTGACAAGTTATATCGTTTGTTTTTTATTTGGTAGTACATAATTCCACCCTAAGATCAGGCATCAACCCAAATAACCAACACTGTTGAAAGCACTTCTACTTGAACCCAAAATTAAAATAATTCAGAATCATCACAACAAAATAAGTTTAACTATGTTGATAATAAATGTGTTGATAGTAAGCTTAACTGACTTATCAATAGTTGATGTCCAATTGCACAAACAAGCCATTCTGTGTTAAGCAAATTTCACCTAAAATTTCACATGAGCAAATGATAGGAAACAATTACCTCTTCTGCCTCCAATGATACCCCAATCAATCTGGTAATGTAAGATAGAGAAACTTCCATATTGTAGACAGATAAATCAGGATATATGAGCGACTTTCCATCAGAAGAAATCACTTCAACTGGCTCGATGGTAAATTTATTTTCACAATATTCTGAGAAAGCTGTTACCTAAGAAAACATAAAATAGTCTGTCATCATTAAAAGAATTGTATCCCGTACAAAATACAAATAGAAAAACAAAACAAAATCATTACCATTGTATTTAAAACAATTTTCGCCTTTGTCAGATCAGTAGCAGTACATTCAATAAATACATTCCTTGTCTCCAAAGTGATGGCTGAATGTGCACCATTGATTATTGGGGGTAACGATAAAACAGCTCTGTCAAAATATTATAGTATATTCATAGTTGAATTCAGTAACAGCATTCAAAAAGTAAGAACATTAGAGAAAATTGAAGGCCAAGTGCCAGTAATTTGCTTTCTACCACAAGGCAGAAAATAGACCAGGAGCCTGGAGGTTCTGTTCAGATTATGCATCCATACAATGGCTAGCTAGTGTGCATGTGTGCGTCTGTGTGTCATGATTTAATATTAAAGTTTTATTTAAAAAACTTACAACAACTTTACATTGCATACAAGTGTATTTTATATCCTCTAAATCTGTCATTGTTCAATTTATATAAATTATAATTTTAACCTATAGGCTGTCTAAATATAACTTGAGTCAGCTAATAGATTGATCACATTTAAGAATCTGTCCTTTTTATTACCATGCCAGAATTTTTATCATTATCCTTAACATTCTCTAACTGAATTTTTTCTCCACATAGGATACAATCTTGGAAACAGCTAGCAGAGGTGAGAACCCCCATTTTGGTTTAAGCCAAGTACTTGTTTGCATAAATGTGCATCTATCATTTTATTCTGTGCAAAATATATACAACCCAGAGATTTTTGCAAGACTGTAGCAGCACAATGCAAAATAAGAGATAAAAGATTTCAAATATTTGTAAATTTAAACATCAGGATACTATGAAAATATAATACCTCCTGCTGTCATACAAAACAGGGTAAACAGGGGAATCCTCGATTATATGCAAGAATTTCTTCAGTTTCAAATCTGACTGTCAAACATAAATCAACAAGGAAGTATTTCGGACACATATTAAAGGAAGGACACTCAAACAGAAAAAGATAATCATGGATGAAATGAATTGCATAGTTGGGTTAGGTGAGCTCCAAAAACTTGCAAGCCTACTTGTGCTAGCTTTCTAATTACTTATGATATATATAGCAAGGAAAATATTATAAAAAAACTCACTTTGTAGAATTCCATTAGCTCATCAGCCCTGAAGTTCCTTTCCTATCACGACAAACGCACAGGAGGGGGGAACAAAGATAAGTTTGGCCATTCACATTAAAAATTCAAAGACCAGTTAATAATGTCATCAGAAGAATATTACACTAGAGAGTACAAGTTCAGTCATGTGCTTTAGTATCAAAGGATGTTGTAGTAGCATGTAATTTTTCAAACATATGCTTACCAAGAAATCAAATGTCATAAATAAGATTTTACCTGCTTTAGTGGTGTAAAATTTATACTTGAAGGTGGTAAAGCCTGGAAAATAAAATATGACTGAAGTCACTGATACTGATGAGGTACAGAACTAAAGATAATTAACTTACACAAGAAATTCATTAACTCGTTAATATCTTTTGTTAATTGGTTTGGAAAAAATTCAAAGAGTTTGGGTCAGAAAAACAGTAACATCAACCATTTCAAATGGACAGCAGCCAGAATCAAGGTCTAACAACAGAACACAGTTCCCACTGTCCAATCCTCATGTTAATCAGTAAAACATTTGCATATTCTCTCACATTTATAACTTAAGACAATGTAATTGTAAACTAACAATCACACTTCCAATGCATTGCAAGAAAATAATTTCTTTTAAAAAAATTCCTTATAAAATTACACATGATTTCAAGCAGAGCTGGGTGTCCATCACAATCAACCAAAGTGCCCAGGCAACTACTTTGTTTTCGTAAGGAGCACTAGGGTTCTTGCTCCCTAAAACACAGTAACCAAATATCGATCTAAATCTTAGTTTGAAAGTTTTATATCTACAATTCAAATAATTTTCATAAGAATCTTATACATAGTACCTAAATGTCTATTTAAATCTTACATTTGTAAGTTGTCTATCCACATTTCAAATTTTTATGCCCTACAATTTGATAGAAGAAATTAACCTCATAGGTGAAAGGGCCCTCCAATTTATCCAGATCATGAGTGCCAATGGCAACAAGAGTTCTTCGCCTGAAAATAGGAAAGAAAAATGAGAACAAATAAACCGAAAACCCCCTCAGAAAATTAAGCATGCTGTGACAAGAAATGACCAAAAACAACTAAAGATAACTGATGCATTGAAAAAGGAAACATAATTTAGAAAGAAAACATCATAAAGCAGAAATGAAAATAAAATAAAAGCCACCAGCACAAATGGTTTTGAAAATTTCTATGAAAGCCAGCTGAGAAAGAGATTAAGAAAATAATATACAATATTTAACCAAACTCATCTTAGAACAGATGATATTTTGTATATTCTAAATACCAAAAACTCAGTAATGAGAAAAACATTGATTGCATTCAAAGTCAAAAGGCTATTTTGGTTAGAATTGAGAAATAAGTAGTATGCAGCTCAAAATGAACTAAGCAGTAAGTTGAACCCCATTACCGACAAATGTTTTGGTGAAGCTTGTCCTGGAGATCAATAAAGCTGTTGTATCTAGCTTTATCAAAAGTTACACCTCTTAACACAGCACATACAACATATGGACGAATCAGAGATGTCTACAATTATTAGAAACAAAGGAAACACCTCATTTTTCATTTAACAAAGGCCCATACTAAAAATAATTTTAAAAGAAGTGCATGAATGACTTAACTACCTCTGGCTTCACATGCATTTTGAGCATTGAATCCTTACTAATGTCAGACAATCTGTAAGTGGGGATCTCTTGGAACCCACAGAAAACTCGGAGGGCTTGAGCAAGTCCTTCGAGGCACAGGAGATCATATCTATGCAAAAAGCCAAAAAAAAAAAAAGGTTAGAAGTTAGAACCATAATTTGCATTAAGGAAAATGAATAATTGTAAAAAAAAAGCCTATGAATGAATTAGAATGGTGACAAGGTGTGATGTTGTTTTAATTTCAATTTTTGTAACTTCGGTTTTATACAATACACATCATCGCCCTAGCATTAATTCCTATTGAAAAACAGCACGCTACAATGTTCTTGTCAATCACCTCCCACTACCTTATACAAAGCTGATTCCACAATGGAATAGAGAGTATCAATCCAAAATCCAAGAAGAAATCTAAGATGAAAAATCAAGAAATTTACAAAATTCTCCAGACTGAACGCATGAGTCAAAGAACGAAATAAGTAAAACAAGTGAATTGACGACAAACAGTTGAACATAATTAAAACATTTACTCAATCATATTTCCTTGATTCCCCTATGCAGCAAAAAAGATCAAACATATCATAATAGAACCTGTTGGCGGGAACTTCGATTTTGTAGATAACTTCTTCACCCTCATCAGCTTCTTCTTCTTCCAAATGCTTCTCTTTCCTCACAATTGCCTTCTCTGTGGTCTGAAACAGTCAAACTGTAGTCATCAGATGACAGTGATAATCATTACTAATTACTAATTTAAAAAACACATTGATTGAGGGTCCGAATTTGAAAGAGAAAGACGGTGAAGTACATACGACGTCATCGAGCTCGATTCCAAAACTGAAGCACAAGTCCTCGAATTCCTCTTGCGCTGAACAACCAACAAAGGCAACAACAAAATGCAAGATTCAGTATCAGCGCGTATGAAAATTGATGTATATCATAACAAAGTGTATGAGAAACGAAAGCTCACTGTATGTTTTTCCTAGAGCCGCAAACAGACGATCCCGCCCCACACTTACGGTAGGCATGGCGCCGTTTTGGTTTCGGAGTTCAGTGACCGCAACCAACAACGACGGAGAAACAATCTTTCAAATCCGAATCTGAATCCTTGTCCTAGTCTTAGGTCATTTATATGGGCCGTGGCTTCTTTTTAGGCCCATTAGTTAGCCCATGTTATAAGCCCAATATGAGGCTGGGTCTGACTGATTTAGGGTTTCTTATTATCCCGATTGGCCCAACTAAATAAACACTTCATAAGTCACGTGCGACGCCATAGCGTGTAGCATTCGTGTTAAAACCTCACAAAACCCTAAATTAAACCCTTGTTTCTTTCTTACTTCGCCTGTCCAGACGCGCACACACGGAAATGGGGAGTGACAGCGAAGCAGAAAAGTCGGTGCAGAAGGAGAAGGAGAAGAAGAAGATGCTGGCTCTGGCTCCCATTGCAAAACCCCTTGCTGGGAAGAAGCTTTGCAAGCGGACCCTAAAGCTTGTTCGCAGAGGTATATGCTATATCTATGGCTCTGCGCATTTTGATGATTTATCTGCTATTGAAAAACCCTAAAGCTTGTTAATTTATTTAATGAAACAATTGTATTCAACAGTCATGTTGTGAATAGATAAGCAGTTGAATCCGAGTAAATATTTGCTTTTTGTCCTTAATCTATTGATCATGCTGTGTAATTGTATGTTTTTGTATGAACCTACGTGTTCTGTAACTGTATTCTCCTTCTTTTTTCAGCTTCTGAACACAAATGCTTAAAGAGAGGAGTAAAGGAGGTCGTTAAGAGTATAAGGCGAGGTCATAAAGGGTGGGTGTTCTGTCAAAGGCTCAAAAATTATCTTTTTCAGAAGAGTTAGAATAAATTATTCGGAAAATCGTTGATTTCGTTGATCCTCCTCTGAGAAAACAAACATACACACGCACAGAGACAGGGATTGATTTCTCGTGTTATTTTTTCATTATGCAAAAGAAATGGTTACCCTAAATTTCTGCTTTTGTCAATGCAGATTGTGTGTTATAGCTGGGAACATATCACCAATTGATGTCATCACTCATGTTCCTATCCTGTGTGAAGAGTCTGACATTCCATATATATATGTCACATCTAAAGAAGTGAGCAACCCACTTTACCTTGTATTTATTTTCTTTGATGTTTCTTCCTCACTCATAAGAAATACTGGAGTACCAAGAATGAGACAAACTTTCTGGAGAAAACTAGAGTGTAATTTTGTTACTTGTTCAGCTAACATTTATAGTAACATTGATGTAATTTATCATTAGGATCTAGACACTCTTGACCTGTTCGTTTTTTTTAATTTTAATACATGCCCCTCCTATAATGAATTGAATATTATAGATTTACTGTATGTCTATCATCTATTCTTCAACAAATTAACATTCAACCTAGAAGAATATTCATCTACTATAGCCCATAAAACTGCATGATAAGAAGAAACTATTTTTAGCACGGTTTATGAAACAAAAGGTATCTTATTAGTTGCCATGCACATTTTGACTGATCTGACCCTAGTAGTAAAGTCTTAAATCACATACCTATTGGAAAAGTACTGACTGTACGATTCTTATTTTCTTCTACATCCTACACAATATATTGTTATATTTCACTTTGTTGTGGGAGTAAGAGTAGAAGAAACATGGATTTTTTCTTTCTGAAAATTGTCTATTATTTTTTTATGCTATATGATAGTGTAAAAGGAACTCCAATTACTGTAGTACATGAAAGTTTATATACTTCATTTATATTGTTTTCCAGGACCTTGCAAGTGCAGGGGCAACAAAGAGGCCTACTTGCTGTGTTTTGGTAATGACGAAGCCTGCAAAGGGTGAAATAGAGCAAGGGGAACAAGAGAAACTTAAGTCAGATTATGATCAAGTTGTATCGGATGTTACTGAGCTTACAGCTTCACTTTTTTGAAACATGCACACATATATCCGTACTTTTGTTCCAGCTGGATTAACACATCGGTAGTGTAGCTTTTAATTGATGTATGGATTTCATTATTTTACTACCTTGCCCATCATTGTGTTGTCATGAAGGCTTATCTTTGATCAATCCACTAGAGTCATCGCTTTCCCATGAGAAAGGCAAAGCAATCTTAATTAGAGTCATATTTTGTCAGATAATATTTTAAAACTTGTTGATATATGTTCAAGAATATACTCTTAATCATTGCCTTAAACAAACCGATATAACTCAAGTGCGTTCATTATGTTGTTTTGGATGTGAGTGACCATAAAAAAATATGAACATATCGCATCTCCTAACAAGTCTAGCAAAGGAAAATTTGCTTCCTTCCAGCAAACGCTGATTTCGCCTAAACAATAAGGCAGTTGATCTATTCAACAAAAAGTCAAAATTTTTTTAACGTTTTCAAGGATATATGATCATTTATTTTTTTATATAATAAGTTTTTATTAAAAATTAAATTATTCATTTCATTACTTATGTGTTTTTTAATCTATGTTAGAAAAATTAAATGTCATAAAATGAAAAGAAATACTGTAACACTCTTTTAGATATATTCTATTGGATACTATTAATATTTGGTTTATTTTTTTAAAATAATTAAAATAACTTGTCTTGAAAATTGATTCTTTTTTAAAATCACTTTTGACGTTTTTAAAAGATGGTCAATCATAATAAAAAAGTTTTACCTGTTGCTAGTATTCATTGATGAAATGTCCTCAGAAAATGCTCATGAGAATGAAGAACAGATTATATATATGCTCATGCGAACGATGAACATATTATATGCAAGTTTATTCCTCCATGGGGACGAATTATTTCAGCGAGAACAAAGATATACACGCAGAAGCTTATAATATTGAGTACGTTTACAGTTCTATATTACTACACCTTATGTAAATGCCAAAATATACCATCAGCCCACTAAGGCCGTCCCCTACCACTTGATGTGAAGCAGCCCTCGCATATGGTAAATATTTTCACTTTTCAGAAACCCTTTAGATATACTTACGAGGTTTCTCTCATAACTGGCGATTACAAGAAACAAAACATATACACATTATTTTTGGGATGTCGAACCCCTGAACAAAAACATACCAGCAGCACCAATGACCAGAGTCAGCACCAGGGGGATGGCAACGGATTCAACTTCACGCATTCTAGCTGGCTGATCTCCTCTTCCCTGCCGTGACCTTTCTCCACAGTATTCATGTAAAAGATTGCTCAGAGTGTCCAGCTGATGCATGATTTGACGTTGTCCACGTGAAATAAGTAATACCTATTTGAAAAATAATAAAAACTCAATATGCTTTATTGCCTCAAGTAAAACGAGTTAATTTTGATACACTTATCACTTTAAAAAATTTTACACTATCAACTAAATAGAAATCATTCTAAATATGATTTCTGAAATAATTATTACTAAAGTTAACTATTTTCAATTATATAACAATCTATAATTGAAGGACATCATAAAAGCTTTTACACTATTAACATATTCTAATTATATTCAAATATTATTTATTAAATTTCTTTCTCCAAATGGGAGTAACGGAACATCATCCTCAATGTTGTCTGAAATGCAGTGTGATAGGAGGTACTGAAATGTTTGACCAGGTCATGAATCTAAAAATGGTTTCCCCAACTATCCGGAATCACCGTCCCATATCCTAGTATCCAACTCTAATTTACCAGCGTATGGTTCCCATTCTACAAGAATTTTAAAACGGACCAGATAGCATGCTCAACAGATTATTCAAATGGGTTTCATTATTTACTCCTAATTACTTAAAATAATATTTAATACTTTTTGGATTTTCAAAATTACAGTTTTTTTGTATTTTTTATTTCTTGTCGTGTGTCTCAAGGATACATATTAACATTATGTTTATTTCACACGAAACATGGAATGCATCTCGACACAGTATGCATTACAGCACTACTGCTGTCATATGAATTGCAAAAACTCTGGATATATCACCTACCTCTTCCATCAAGGGAGACTCTTTAGCCAATTGGGAAGATGATGAAGAGTTCGGTAGCAAAGATCCAGTCAACGAACCATTGCCTAATCCAGTTACAAAGAAAGAAGTGGGACCTGAGCCATTGCAGGCCTCAGCCTGCAAAGCCAAGTTTTGTTGACTGGCTGAAACTTTTCTGATAGCAAACTTTGAGTTCAACTCTTCAATACGGGAGGTAAATTCATCCATTCTTTCGTTTAATGTGGAAATTTGATCAGAAAGCTGAGTGATGACTCCCTGGACAACTCAAAAGCATTAGTAAATGAATCATTTAGATGGGTAGGAAAATAAAGAGGAACTTAGAACTCTTGGTCACAAAGGCAGACAGCTATTAACTGTAGTAGTGCCTTCTTTCTATGCTAAAAATGTAATGTTTACAGAAGTATAATATAAACTTGTTATACATCCTCTCTAAATTTTCTTGCCAATATGCAGTATAATTGTTGAATTGCATATCATTATTCTTTGCAACATTTCTGTCTAAGGACTCAACAAGGAGCTTTATCATCAGCTACAAAATGAGATGCAGGAGGTGATACGTTGATAAATGAAGTGGCCAAAATGATAATAATTGAATGACTTTTCAAGGCACACATCTTACTTGGTTAGCAATCGGCACAGGTGATTCTAGCGCTCTCCCATCGAATCTTCTATTATTTATAGCAAGTTTAGTCAGTTTGGGTAGAATCTTATCCCTTTGATTTGAATATGAGTGTGAAATACCACTGCAGAAGACAACATGAAAAAAACATCATGAGACTCTTCAACATATTATCAATTGGATTCAGAAATTCTTATCCCAAATATGAAAAGTGGAAGCCATATCAGCGTTCTTTTTTAAGGCAAGTAAAATAAGTAATGAAAATTAGCTAGTACCGATTCAGATACTTCATTCTCCTATCTGCAGAAGCTCGGGAAAGGGCTTCTTTGGGGCTCGAAACCAAATCATCATCTATGCTGAGTTTTGTCTTAAGATCATCTGGCAGTGCCTGCGGTTTGATCAGATGATGATTCAGTGTACAATTATGTAAAGCACAAGCAAAAGATGGTCTGATGGCTCATACCATGACATCATTCACGAGCTTTTCTAGCTGAATTTGTTCAATGTAAGTGCGAGGAACGTAGGAACCATCCAGCCCCAGTTTTTCTGCCACAAATTTAACGTAGTTTCTATCTTTACCTTGCACCTTCAAAACAAAATGAATAAGTATATGGTTATTGGCAACAAAAGAAACAAATACACAACAGAATAGGTATAGACATTTGTCCCCAGAGCTCCATGGGCCACCCAAGCCCAACTCAAAATTTTAAGTGCTTGGGTACAAATAAGTGGCCACAGGAAAAAGGCCTTAATTTTTAGCCAATTTACAAACAGGGGTATACCTGAGCTTGAGTTTTCAACATCATATGCATCATCCATCACCATGACTCTATCTGTATACGATGTTTTATACATACAAACATGCCTATATATATGTATTCATTTAAAAGGGCTGAGTTGTGCCCAAGATTGGGCCTTACTACACACACAAACCGTGCTAGATATAGGCCAGGCTAGAGCTGTAGCATTAATATAATGTTTAGGCCAAGCCCATGACCACTCTAATATACTACAACCGAAGAGACAAACCAGCAACACACGAGAAAAGAATACAATGTGGCTAGATGAAAGATATTTATAAGTAAACAATAAGATTCACACTTCAACAGAACAACAGATCACAACTGTTGTTAAGCTCAGCTGCTCAATTCAGAGAATGATTTTTCATTTTGAAAAGAGATTAACTTTAAAAATGCATTTTTCAGAGAAATGAGAGCATAACAGCGAATGAAATTGTAATGGTCTCTGATCAATCAAATTTGGTTACTAAAGTAGTAGCTTTTGACAAGGTTTATCAGCAAAGCAAGAATTGAAGAAAAGTGTCAACTATTATGCCTAATATAATATTATTCTAAGATGATAAATAATTTAGTATGGCAGCTTCATATGTAATAATTCTGTAACTACTTTTTCTTAGGGTGGGCAGTTTTGAGCAGTTATTTTTGCAAGTATATTACATAGTTTGCCATATATATATTCTTAGAAAAGTTCAAGTACTCTTTACTCTTCAAGATGATTGGAGACTTGGATTCTCTCTAACAATCCCAAAGTTTGCTAACAAAGCAGGTGACAAAAGGAAGAAAAGTCAGAAATCCAACCATTTACAACTAAATTTTTACTGTTCAAGGTCCTATAACCCAATAGGGACTGGACCATAATAGAAACGCAAAACAAAGAAACCACATTTTTGAAACCTTAAAGTTGTGTTTAGATAGAGTAATTCAAAATTACTGTATTACATGTATTTAAATAGTAAGAAAAAATCTTTTTAAAATACTGTAGAATTTAACTAGATAATTTTAATGTCAAATATAAAGAATTTTAGATGACTTATCTTTAGAAAAAATTTAAAGTATTTCTATTATGCTTAACTTTTTGCATTTATCATTCATAATTCTTTCCTACTTAACTCTTACTTTAAACATTGTTCATTATTGATTTTGTATTTGTCTAGAATTTTAAAATATTCTACCCAAACACAACCTAATATCATGGTAGTTAAAATTGCAATTTTACACATAAGATCATAAAATTTTACAATTTCCTCATGCCTCAGCAATCGCAATTACAATCTCTGACTCGATTTATTACAACTAGTAAGATCGAATGATTTTTCGATCCTACTTGAACCTGTTTCTTTTGGAAAAAAAGCCAACAAATCTGCCCATTTTTAGTTGACCTATTAGATTAAAGACTTGAACTCATTCATTTAGGCACTTTTTTTCTACTTCTGGGTTTGGCATTATTCACTTCAATTCTTATGCTTCTAGGATGAACACTTGGTTCATTTTCTTGCAGTTTTGACTACTCCTTGCTTTGGTTTGGTCGCTAGACTATCCAAGACCTTGGATTCAAGTTTGTGAACTATGCTAGGTTAGACTTCTCTATTATGTTTAGCTATTTATAGATGTCTTTAAGTTGGAAAGGAGCTACTAGAGAGGGTAATGGGAGTTCAGGTGCTGCTAGAGTTGAAAGCAACTAGGATGATGCTGCCAATGAGGGTTCTGAATTTGGAATTGTTGTGAATTATAAGTTTGTGGTTGGTAATAATTTGTTGTTTTGCCAATTTTTATGCATTAATATGAATTCAGATATCATTTTGTATTTTAGGTAAGATCTTCGGATCTATGTTACAATTACATGATTTACATGTTTTCCTAACATTTCTAATCCTAGATAGAATATTGATTTTAACTACCTTGATAACTTATAAGATGAGTAAAAACAAGAAGGCATGTGATGAATTTCATATGTTTCAACTACATTATGAGTGATGTATTTATATTAAACAAAGTAATCACAATCATAGTTACGTTATCAAGAAAAAATGTATGATTACTTAATTACTATAATTACATGAGTACTATTTCACTAAAAAACATATTTAAATATATTTAACACTTTCTCTCAAGTTGAAGCATATAAAACATATGCATCAAGTTTGTCACATATGTACTTAATACGAAAACCTCTTATAGATTTGTGAAATCATTTGAATTAACAAAACTTGTGACAAGAACTCCGGATGAGATCTTTTCATGAAAAAAAGTGATAATCAATCTTAATGTGTTTCATTCGTTCGTGAAAGATTGGATTTTAGATAATGTAAAAGGCTGTCTAGTTATTATAAATGAGTGTCATTTGCATATCTTCTCTAAATCTTAATTCTTTAAGTAGTTTTTCAGCCATATAAGTTCACGTGGCTAAAGTCATAGTTCAATATTTTGCTTCTGCACTAGAAAGAGAAATCACATTTTACTTCTTGCTTTTCCAAGAAATTATATTACCTTCAATCAAAACATAATAGTAAAAAATAGACCTCTTATCACGAAAGCGTGCATAACCTGCATCAGAATATCTGACAATCTTATGACCATTGTCCTCGTACAAACGATCTTTTCTTAAGCTACTTGTGACATACTTTAAGATGCAAATCAATGCACAGGGAGCGTTGTGGAACTAACTATACTATAACACAAGAGATGTCAAGTCGAGTAACTATGAAATAATTTAGTTTTTTAACCAATCTTCTATCCTTTTCTAGGTTAGCAAAAAGCTCCCCTGACAGAGTAAAAATTTAGAATTAGGATAAAAGTATTAATATATTTGTCTCCCATCAAATTTGTTTCTTCTAATATATCCAACGTATATTTTCTTTGAGAAATTACAATATCATGCTTGGATTATGTCACCTTCATTCCTAAGAAACATCAAAGTATAAAGGTTTTTTGTCTAAAAATGTTAACAAAACTAATTCTTCAACTATGTAATGTCATAATGGTCACTACCGGTGATAACAATATCGTCAACATACACAACTGGGTATATGCATTTTGAAGCTGAATGGTGATAAAAGACTAAGTGGTCAGTTTCACTCCAAATTGGGTTTTGTTGTGCATAGTGGGGTGAGTCCAATGGTGATGAGAAGCTGGTAAAAAAAACACAGCAAAAAAGTCGCTAGTGGTGAACGGCAAGTGGAGTAGGCTGCCAAAAAAATTTATCAAAAAAAACCTGAAACTAAGACACACGTGGTTTTTGATAAAAAAAATTGACACTTATATACAATGAGCCCACAGGGAAAGCATGGACTAAGGTTACCTCCTCATTAGACTCTGATACCGTATTAAAATGAGAAAAAACGAGAAAGCATGTGATGAATTATTTGTGTCTCAACTACACCATGAGTTATGTATTTATATTAACAAATGTAATTACAATCATAGTTACATAATAAAAAATAAATATATTGTTACCTAATTACTATGATACACATATATTATTTTTATAAATAACATATTTACATATATTTACCAATAATTATGAATCAATGTATTCAAAAAAAAATAATAATAATAATCAACCACAAAAACTACTAAATATATAGAATTTGAATAAAATTATGTGACTAATCAGTCTACACAAGCTACATTGTTATAATATGTACAACATTGAATACAAAGATAATGCGATGCTTGATCTAAGCCCTAAATGCATACAGTTCACTATAATTACATACAATCAGCTATTATCTTATATGAAATATGTGATAAATGAGCTTAATTCTAATTTCTAACAACACGAAAGCCATAAATTAATATATTCTACACAGAGTCAACTTATGTAAGCAGTATATCAATATCTTTTAGAATAAAAGATACTTACGTTTTTCAGTGAACTAATACAATACTTTATCAACAACTATGTTTGATTGACATTCAGTTCTTTTTCCACATGCATTTTGTTAGAATCACAGGAAAAAGAAGAAAAAATATGAAATCTTTTATTCAAGAATGAAAGAATTGGTGTACAATGAGTACCCCAGAGTAAATTCCTCAGAGGCTAACCTCTGCCAAAGGTTCTGACTAACTTCCCAAAAACTACCCCCCTCACTAATTCGCATCTGCTATATATCATTTAGGTGATTAACAAAAAGTAACAGAACATGTTAGAGAGTAACAGAAAATAACAACTAACTCCTAACCAAACTGTTTCCTTTTTCTAGAATAAACTATCCAAGGTTTATCTTTGGTTGGAACATTATTTACAATAATATTAGTATTAGGATCAGGAGTCACTTGACCCTGAGTCCTATCATTCCTCCCATCTAGAAAAGCAGACTTGTCTCCAAGGCTGAAATGAGGAAACTGGCTCAGCAATACTGTCTCATCTTCCCAAGTGGTATCCTCGACAGGGCAATGTTTCCACTTGGCTAACCACTGTTTGCAAACTTCCCCACTATTGAGAATTTCTCTGGATGCTAGTGTGGACTCAGGTTCAACAAAATCTTCTAATTCAACCTCAAACCCGTTAGGAAGATGAGGAGAAACAATATAATCTCCAATAGCACGCTTTAACTGAGATACATAAAAAATTGGATGAATCCGAGCAAAATTCGGTAGTTGTAATTTGTAGGCCACTCCACCCAACCTCTACAGTATTTTATAAGGTCCATAAAACCTAGCAGCAAGCTTTGGATGAATTCTTCTTGCTAGTGTCTGCTGTATGCAAGGTCTGAGTTTTAAAAAGACATATTCTCCTACTTCAAAGGACACAGGTCTTCTCTTCTTATCAGCAAACTTCTTCATTTGCTGCTGTGCTTTTTGCAGATTAAATCTGAGCTGAGAAAGAGCCTCATCACAATCATGGAGGTCATGAGCCACAGCATAGACCTTAGTTTCTCCTGGGAGAAATCTAGTGAGCTTGGGAGGAGGTCTACCATAAATAACCTCAATAGGGGTGGTAGTTGTAGTTGTGTGAAAAGATGTATTGTACCAAAATTCAGCCTAGTAGACCCAAAGAGACCAATTTCTAGGCTGCTCCGAGGCAAAGCATCGTAGATACGTCTCGAGACATCTATTTAACACTTCCATTTGTCCATTGGTCTCAGGATAGTAGGAAGAACTCATCTTAAGCTTAATACCCTGTAACCGAAAGAGCTCCTGCCAAAATGAGCTAATAAAAAGAAGATCCTTGTCACTAACAACAGAGGAAGGAATGCCATGTAGATGCACAATCTTCTTAGCAAAGAGTTCAGCTATCACTCAGGCTGTATAGGGATGTTTAAAAAGGATAAAATGCCCATACTTGGATAACCTGTCCACAACCACTAGAACTGCCTCAAATCCTTTAGACTTGGGAAGACCCGTGATAAAATCTAAAGAAATGTCATCCCAAATAGAAGGAATAGGTAAGGGCTGAAGTAAACCTCCAAGGGAAGTAGCAACATATTTTTACCTTTGACACGCGTTGAATGAAGTCCTGTACCCTCTTTTTTATGCCAACCCAATACAAATTCCTTGCAATCCTTCTATATGTTTTCAAGAATATCGAATGCCCACCTTCTGCAGAAGAGTGAAATTCCTCTAACAATTGCGAAATATAGGCAGAACTAGAAGGAATGACCAAACTTCCTTTATGCAGTAGAGTACCATTTTGAAGAGAGAAACCAGCCCTGCCACTTGGATTTATTTGCAATTCAGCCTTGATTTTCTGTATAAACTCATCTTTCTGGATTTCTTCTTATAGACCTTCACCCTATAACCATATTGGACAGGAGACAAAGACATTCAATTCCCCATACTCCTGAATTCTTGATAAGGCACCAATTGCTTTATTTTTTGAACCAAGTTTGTAGACTACTGTAAATTAGTATCTCAAGAGCTTAGTCAGCCAACTTTGTTGAGCAAAAGTAGCTACTTTCTGATGTAGAAACTCCTTTAAACTCTTTTGATCTATGAAAACAGTAAATTTTTTTCCAATCAGGTAGTGGCGCCAATGCTGAATGTCATAAGTTCTTTTTTATAGGCTGATTTAGAATGCTGTCCTAATGAAAGAGCTTTACTGAAATAAGCAATAGGTTGCTGTTGCTACATCAAGACAGTCCCTATTCTACTACCGGAAGCATCACATTCAATCTGAAATTCTTTTGTAAAATCTAGTCTCAAACAAGCGCAAAAGTCACTGCCTTTTTCAAGTGCTCAAAGGCTTGCTCAGTTTAGTAGACCACATAAAAACATCTTTTTTTGTCAACTAAGTCAAAGGTTTAGTAATTTTTCCGTACATAGAAATAAATTTCCTATAGTACCCTATAAGCTCCAAAAATCCTCTTATACCTTTGACATTCTTAGGAACTGGCCAATTAAGCACACTATTAATCTTTCCAGGATCCATGTATACACCAGATTCAGAAATGACATGGCCAAGATATTCAATCTGACTTTTACCAAAACTACATTTCTTTAAATTTGCAACAAACTTGCACACTTTTAAGGTTTCCAGAACTTGAGATAAATGAGACATATGATCAGACCAATTCCTAATATACACTAGAATATTGTAAAAAAAAAACAATACAAAGTGACGCAAAAATGGCCTAAAAACCTTATTCATGGTGGACTGAAAGGTAGTTAGAGCATTCATGAGGCCAAAAGACATTACCAAGTACTCATAATGTCCCTCGTGGGTACTAAAAGCAGTCTTCTCAATATCCCTTTCTCTTACACAAATTTGGTGATATCCTAAGCGTAAGTCCAGCTTAGAAAAAAATCTCATCCCATATAACTCATCTAGCAGCTCATCCATAACAGGAATTGGAAATTTATCAGGAACAATAGCTTTGTTCAGCTCTCTATAACATTTTCTAAGAAGAATCCTTTTTTTGAACCAGAATAACTAGGCTGAAATATGGGCTGGTACTCTACCTTATGACACCAGAATCCAACAGCTCCTTCACCTGCCTTTCAATTTCATCCTTGTGGAGATGTGGGTATCTATAAGGCCTCACACTAATGGGACTGGTTCCAAGGTAAAGGATGATTGAGTGTTCAGTAGTTCTTAGAGGAGGCAGTCCTTTTAATTCTCTAAAAAATTTCAACATATTTACCCAATATCATCTGGAATTTTCCATACTAATGCGGGTTCAGATTCTTATTGTTAACAAAAGGACCCAAAACCCTCTTTTTCCAATTGAGACCTTCCACTACACAAATTTGGCCTCCTAACAACTCATTGAAGGCGGAAGTAGTGCTCTTTGTTTTACCAATCCCCCTCAGCTCTATCATTTTTCCATCTTTTTGGAAACTCATAAAAAGGTCTCTTCAATCCACAATAACCTTTCCCAAGGATTGTAGCCAAGCTACCTGTAGGATCATGTCCAAGCCTTCAAGGTCTAACACATGAGCATCAACTCTGATTTGCAGAGTTTCCAAATCTAACAGAATATTAGAACAAATATCCATTGTTTTAACTCTATGACCATCTCCCAACCTTACTCCAAGGCTCTCTTTCCCTTCCATCTCTTCTCCCAAGGCCTGTACTACCTTAGGGGATATGAAATTGTGACTGACTCCACTATCCACTAATAGTATTACAGGCACACCATTCAACCTACCCACCAATCTGAGAGTATGAACACCCTCTTGAAAGTTCTCTGCAATTCCCAACAAATCCATGTTGTAACAATCTAGCTGGTCCTCTTCTGTATCTTCATTGCCTACCTCCATTCTAATAATCTCTCCAGTTTCAGTTACTTCTTCGTCCTCTCCCAAAATCACCAGTCTCAATTGTCATTCTTGATAGTCAGCACAAACATGCAATGGATGAAATTTTTTCCCACATCTAAAACATAACCCCTTATTCCTCCTTTCATGCATTTCTTGATTAGACAATTGCCTAACCCCTTTGTTCTTTGAAACTGTAATTCCAGGCCTTTGCCTTTGATTCACAGAAGCTGAAGATTCCACTAAAACTTCAGACCTCTTTCCTGCAGAAAACACGTTACTAGAAACAGAACCAGAATTTACCACTGACCTTGGCCCCATATGAGAAGTAGTCCTATCTTGTTGAAAAGAACTGATATTTTCCCTAAATCTTCTTGAAAAACCGCTATTGTTCCAAGATTTTCCATGCGCAGACGAAACTTCTAGAGAACCCACAATTTCTGCCTCTACACACCTGGCCAACCGAATCGCGTCTAGTCAATTTCTTGGCCCAAAGGTCCTTACCTATAATATGATTTTTTCTTTGAGTCCTTTCATGAAAAACTCCACAAACTGGTTTTCAGGTAGTCAACCAACCTGCGCTGCCAGAAACTCGAACTCCTCCACATATTCTTCGATCGTCCCCACTTACTTCAAATCTGTAAGCTCCTCCAAGGGATTGTCCAAACGCCCCCTCCGAAACGCATTTCCACAGCAGTCTTGAAAGATTCTCAACTGGGAGAATCTTCTGAATCCAGCCACGTTTGGAACCAATGAATGGTTTCCCTGTCCATACTCAATCTTGCTAGCTTAACCTTGTTGAGATCCGAAATTCCTTGAACCTCAAAATAGATTTTAGCCCTCCTAATCCATCCTCTTGAGTCTGTCCCATTAAACGAAGGCAGCTCCACCTTCTTTGCCATCAATTGAAATTCACCCAACGCAACTGTATTTGCGTTATTCGATGGTCTCTTTTCCTCATTGCCAAACATATTTTGACCCGAATTCTGACCCAACTAATTACTGTGTTTGGCTACGAAGTCACGAATCAAATCTTCGAGGCTTCCCATTCTCCCATTCATTGTCGTCATTAAACCCTCAAAGCGTTCCTCTAAAGAATTCAGACGTTCATGAAAAACGTCACCGCGAGGGTCTGTATTTGTGCCACGTTTCGTCATTTGCTGCTCACTGTTCTCACTTTCCACAATTTCTTCTCCGACAACTGATCCGACAAGTCGGACCAATGTTAGAATCACAGGAGAAAGAAGAAGAAATCTAGAATCTTTTATTCAAGAATGAAAGAATTTGTGTACAATGAGTACCTCAGAGTAAACTCCTCAGAGGCTAACCTCTACCACAGATTCTGACTAACTTCCCAAAAACTGCTCCCCTCACTAATTCCCATCTGCTATATACCATTTAGGTAATTGAAAGAAAGTAACAGAACATGTTAGAGAGTAACAGAAAATAACAACTAACTCCTAACCAGACTGTTTTCTTTTTCTAGAATAGACTATCCAAGGTTTAGCTTTGGTTGGAATATTATTTACAACAATATTAGTATTAGGATCAGGAGTCACTTGACCCTGAGTCCAATCACATTCCATAAGCATCAATTGTTTGAAATTCACTGCATAAATACATTGAAAATGTTTCCCTAACCACCTCTACGGATCAAAGGCATATGACAGAGTAAAGAAAGTCAACAAAAAAAGGAAAATCAAGTGAATGCTAATCATGACATGTCTTATCATGTGGAATAACTTGATAGTAAGACATAAGTAAGGTGCGATTTATCATATCGAAGGTTAAGAAAGAAAATTAAAAAATGGAGGCCCAATGCACAAGGCCTCTCACAATTGTCGGGTCTAAGTTAAGCAGTCTTATCCTAATAAATGGAGATTGTTTCCATGACTAGAACTCATGACCAGCAATCATGAGTTAATAACAACAAAAATTGACAAATAGCTTGTTAACCAGGAAGAAGATGAGCAACAAACAGTTATACTAAACTACTTATCACATAATAAATAAGCATTGAAATAAGTAAGGATGGAAATATATGAATCATATGCTCTTATACCTGAACATATAGGCGATTAAGTTGTTCTAGCCAATCAGTTTTAATGGACACTTTATCATCATAAAAGACATGGCTGCTTCTTTTCAGGATAGCTGCAATTGTGTATCCCAAGGCCATCAGCCCTCCAAGAAGGCGCACACTGACCTCAAAAGTAATTCTAGGTGATATTATGAACGGACTATCTGTAACCCATTCCTGAAAACAAGAAAAAACAATCATTACAGAGGTTTATTCAGTAACTTTGCTTCTAAATGCAGACTTTTCAGCAAATCTCTGACTCAAGAGGGTATGATATTGGAAAACAAGATCTTCAAAGTCCTGAGTTTGAAAACTGCAATTTCAATACTATCCTCAATGTGAAATACAGGTGTTTTAAATATTTGTCAAACCTTTTGAAACAAATTTCACACTTCTTTAAAACCAATGTTTTTCATAAGCACATCATTGCATATGCCTACACACACAATGACACAACCATAGAGATAGAACTAAACAAGAGAAATAAAATAAAAAGAATAACAATTCATTGGGCAGAAGCATCAACGAAAGAAAAATATTTGAGACAAACACCATTCAGAAGGCAGTAAAGGAAGGAAAACAAGTGGAGTACATGTTTCATTAATTACAATGAGTCAATTTGCAAAGTAGAGCAGACATTCTAGGTATGTACACCTAAAAAAATAAAGAAAACTATTTGCAAGCTTTTGAAAATTATATCAGAATTTAGAGGTTTGTTTCCTCTCCAAAGTTCATTCTCATTGAATGTCAAAATAACATAATTAGCTGTAGCTAAACAAGATCAGCAGCATTTAGGCTTATTTTTCCTTACAGAAGGTTTTTAATAAACGTTTGACCAAGTAAACAGTTTCAAAAACCTTAGATAAAAAAAAAAATACAATATACTGAATATAGCAAGTAGCAAAATGGTCAATCAAAGACAGAGGACCAGTTATATTATAACAGAAGAATAAGGACAATATTATGAGTGAACCATTAGCACAAAATAAATGCATATTACCAAATTTGACAAAGGGAATGTTTGGGAAAACAGATTGATTAAATACATAATTAATAAGAGCTTATTTATAAGCTTGGCTGTGAAGCTTACTGAATATGTTAGAAAGAACTTATTTTGATAAGCTTTCCCATGAAGCTTATAGAAATAAGTTAAAAAAAACTTATAGTAAGGTCATACATCACTTTCATAAACTTTGTATAAGCTCTTTCCAAACAGCCCCCAAATTTATCCCTTGCTAGACATTCTCTTAAATGAATATCACCATAACAATCTAAAAGGTAAAATTTTTAATCACCTAACCTCAAACATGAGATTGTATTTTCCATCCCTATTTCTCATCCTCAAATATGATTGACATGCTTCAGGGTCTTCCCCAGGGGGAAGAAGATATATGTCATATGTTTCCTCCCTGGTTTCAGTATGCTCTGCAGCAATAACTGCCTTGATTTGATCAACTGTCACAGCTCTTGCTGACTAAAATAGTAGAAACAATCAACATAGGGGATCATCAAGACTAGAAAATATAAACCACCTTATTATGATAATATAGCTTAGGTCACCTTCAATATGTAAGTGGGATTCTGGAATCCAGAGAATGGATTGAACTTGTTAATAATTTTTATATGTGCTGTTTGGAGATCTGGTTCAATAAAAGCTTTATACATAGGATATACCTACAAAAGGAAACCAAAATATCGCAGATGAATATCTAACATGTGCATATTTTCAAAACTCTTAAAAGGGAATATATATATATATATATATCTTCTTACACCAGTATAAGTCTAAAAACTCTTACACCTAATTTGAACCTTTCATTTAACTTAAATCTAACGGGTTATAATTTATTACTTCACTTGCCGTTAGATTTAAGTTAAATGAAAGGCTCAGATTGAGTGTAAGAGTTTTTAGACTTACACTGGTTTAAAAAGATCTTTTCTCATATATATATATATATATATATATAACATGGGATTAGTGAAAAACCGTTTCAGAGATTTGATGAATTATTTCTTCAGGCTCTTGACCAGCACGTTGAATGTCCCGCAAAACACGCTTGACAAGGTCAAAATGAACTCCACCCGTGACAGACACACGGAGATCAAGCAAAGGTCGTAATTTTGTGCTCAAAGCATAGATGCCTTCTATGATTACGATACGGGAGCGAGGGACTTCAACAGTCCTGTAAGGAAAATAGAACAAATGAAATCAAAAAAATAAGTAAAAAGCAATAACATTCTGGTTTGGAATAACATGATGCGAGTTATAGTGCCAATGCATATTCAAATTTATGCATTTTGTACTGCTGTGTTCTATCTGCACAATAGACATTCCCATTCATGTTTGTGCCTTGTGTGGCTGTGAACTTTCAAAGGCGAATGCACACATAGGGACAAGGACAACACTGTCTGAAAAACCTACATTATGAGCATTTTGCTTATAATCATCTCTCATTTTTAAACTGTACCTCCAACCATCTTATCAAAGTCATCCCATCACCTTAACCCTATTAAAGAACAGGTTATATGTTACGAAATAAATCATTTTATACCATGATTAGTCATACAATCCAAACGAAACATAATATCTTAAAATCACTTTTCAGTAGGTATAACTAAACATGAAACTGATTTTATCATAATCGATTATTGAATAATCTTTTACTAACATATATGAGATAACCCAAAAATTCCTTACATCCAGAAATTACAAGGATTTTCCAATTCAACAGGTGTAGTTAAATATCATTTAGCTTTTGCATTGTTTTTTACAGGTTTCCCTAATTTTTTAGAGTAAACCAAGACAGAACAGCTACAAAATAAACTTTTGTATATTCTAAAAAAGAGAAAACTGAAAGGTACACAACCTGTAACCTATGCGAGAACTAGACTTGAAATCATATATTGGAACTTGAACAGCCTTCCCTGCTTTAAGACCCTGTATATTTTCGAGCAAGGTATCATAATCTGTCAACCGAGGGTCTGTTTCAAATAACAATGTCATTAGAACTCGAGGTTGCATAACATCCCTTCCTATCTCTTCATTATTGACTAATACAATAAAAAACAAAAGTATTTCTTGAAATGAAAGAAGTAAAATAAGATCAGATACAACAGGTAACTCATCCATAGTATCACCAATAGACAACAAGCCTGTTCATACGCTTGTGTGTGTTAGTGGATACAATAAGAATTAGTATTCGAGTAATATTTACAATTGGCCCTGCAAAAATGGCATGGAAATTATGACAATGTATCTAGAGCTTACACAGCTGTCAATAAATCTCAAGATTAGAAAGTTGCCATAGACTGCAGTTGAACTTCTCAAGGGAATGGAGGGAGGGAGAGCTCCCCGCTCCTGAAAAAAACTTATACATGGAAAAGAGGTGAATTGTGGGTGCTTTTAGTGGCATTTTTGTCCCACTGCATCATTTGATTGTACTTCAAAATTGGCTGTATATTTTGTTGTTTACTTTGAACCTTTTTTTACTCTACTTCTTGTGTCAGAATATGTGTGTTCTTCTAAGCTGCATAGCAATTACATAGCAGCAGAAGTCACTTTGGCTAATATAAGTTCAAAGTTGTATACTCACAAGTAACAAGAAGAAACAATCAATCTATTAATGCTCAATCTCAAAACCAAAAAGAAATATAGAAGATCAAGAAAGATTTGCAAAACCCTAAATGAAACAACAACAAATTCAGATTCATGCTTAATACGTATAGATTATGTCGAAGTAAAGTAGTAAACATAGGAAGAAAAGACATACCATCAAAGTTGCCATCTATGATTCGACTGGCGTCATTATAATTGTCCATTGTTATGACAGCTATGCTTGGCATAAAATTGAGAACCTTCTCAGTAAAAACAGTTTTCCCTGCTCCGGAGGGACCAGCAACTCCTACTAATATGATTCCGTCATTCTTTTGAGCCAACAACTGGCATGCACGAATAACTATGAAGAATCCTTTCTCAAAGGACAAAGTATCTTGGATAGAAACAATTTCATAGCGATCAGAGTCCTTTCTTTTAACCAGTTGAACCTGATCTCGTAATAGACCATAACGTCGCCGAGGCGATTCAGCGCCAGAAACAGTATCTTGTGCCATTAGGGAAACAAAAGACTTTCACTTCACTCATATGCTGCAGAAAAGGAAAAGGGCAATGAAAATGCAACAGCAAAGATGGTAACCAGACTGGGACAAATTATTACTCAAAACTGCATAAATTTCACACGAAATCAAGAGATGGTAGCATTTTGACATTTCAAAACATATAATACCGAAACAAAAACTAATGTAATTTAATTTCCACCTCTGCAGCTTACAAGCCTACTGGATGTGTCAAGTGTCAACCATCAATTTATAATTACATTCAAATGGATATGAGCATAAATATATCATACATATTTGTTTGCACCTACCATTCACTATTTCTAACTGAAACTCGGTTACTGACTTTTGTTTTAAAAAAACAGAACTGTTCCATAACTGTTATTCTACCAATTAATCCATAAATATATCATTGACGATCCTAATATTTTGACAGCATTTCTTTACACTCACCAACAGAAGGTGGAAAATATACATTCCCGCTAACAAATAACATGACAATGAACCACGAAATGCGTGTGAAAAGAAAACTAACCGAAGATCATAACCATTTTTTCTCCTTTTTTGGTTTCGGGTTTAAAAAAACTGGAAAAGCATTAGAGGAATTGACTTCAACTAAAAGATGCATTAAATTAGAACTGTAAACTAAAATTGAAACAAATATATATATATATATATATATAGTTTATGAAGCAGAATAATGGACAAATTTAAAATAGATAAAAAAATAAATAGAAGATGGAGGGGAAATAAAAGAAGAAACAGTAAAAAGAAAAAAAAGGAACTGCGAAGTCGAACCTCTTGAAAAGTGAAGGAATAATATAAAAAGATTAGAGAAAGAGAAGCTGTGTTGAAGTCAAGTTGGTGTGACGACAGAGCAGAATTGATCGCAATTTATTTACAGGCTTCTCCAGCTTCACACAAAACAACACGTGGCACGCCGTCATAGGATGACGTACGGACAACACTCCGTTTATCACTAGATTGTGATTATCTACTTTTTATCTTATCATAAATTATGTTTACAATAAGTTTAATTAAAAATTTTGATATATTTTACATTATTTTGTATAATAAAAATATAAATATTATATTATTACATAATTTTTAAAATTAGTAGATGATAAAATTATTTAATATTTTTTTATTAAAATCTGAGTATAATTTATTCTTTAACTTATCATCATTAATAAAAAAAAATTATTTCTCAAATAAATTTAGATTTTGATGAGTATCTTTAAAATAATTTTTAATAGATTAACAAATAAAAATACTTCAAAATGTGTTAAAGAAATATTGTGCGAGTATACTAATAAAATTTTATTTTAAATTAATATTTTAAAAAATTAAATAATGAGCAAAATATTATGTGTAATTAGATAGTAGATCGTAGAGTGTATATGTATTTTATTTTAAAATAAATTATATATAATTTAATAATTAAAATATTTTTTGAAAATAATTATGTATATATAATAATTGTTTTTAAAATGTATTTTAAATTAATTCTATGATTATGAATAACATGAATCAAAATAATAAAATTATAATTAATTTTAAAATAACATTTTTATCATACAGTATAAAAATTAATTAAATGTCAAAAATTAATATATATTAATAACCATCAATTTAATAAATAAGATAAACTCTAAATTTATATATAAAAAATAGCAGTATGTATTTACGATAAAATATATATATGTAAATTTATTTAAGAATAGACTATGACATATAATTTTTGAGAACAATATAAACTTTGAAAAATAAAATAAAATACTTTGTAATTTTTAGCAACTAAAATATTTTTTTTATGAAACTAAAGATGAATGATTACCAAATTTTTTGAACGAGAGTATTGTAAATAAAAAAATTTAATTTTATAAATAAAAATATAGACTTTATTAAAAAAATATATAAAATTTATACAAAACAATAAGAGAAATTTTATAAATGTAAATATAGATATATTTATGGAGAATTTAAAAGTTTATATAAATAATCAGATAAATTTTATAAACATAAATACAAGAATTTAGGCAAAATTTTAAATTTAAAAAAAAAATAAATTTTAACTTTAATATTTAAAATAAAATTAATAGTATAAAAATTATTATAGTAAAAGAAAATACAGTTTAAATATTATTTTTAATCTTAAAAAATATTTAGCTAATTGTGAAAGAGACTAACTAAAGTCAACATTTCATATTTTAAACAATACACTTTCATTTGTAATATAAAAAGAAAACATATAACAATTTTTTATTTGTAATGAAATGTATCATTTGCTGTACAAGTTTAAAAAACTCGTTTATATATTTATCGTGATAACATGGAATAAAATACGGAAAGGCAAGGTTCCGAGAAAGCGAGGCACATTGTTGCAGATTGATAAATGAAGCACTGCCAACAATGTATAACTTACGTAAAACAGGGACGAAAAATAACGGCTGGACGGTGTCTGTGTGAAGAGATGGTTGAGGAATCCTTCGACCATTTATTTCTAAAATGCAGAGTCAGTAAACCTGATAGAATGCAACAATTACGATGGGATAACACTGATTTGGTCAATTTGGAATCCCAGTTCTGTAAAGCAATCCGTGACCTACATAAGGTGGCAGATGATCTAATGGCAGGGTGGGCGGAGCATAATAGCAGAACTTTTAGTAGAGTTAAAAAAAAAAAAAGTAAATATATTTTTTTAATGCATTAGTTAGTAGTATCATTATGTACTTCAGATTAGATTAATAGTAAATAATTTTGTTCTTTTTTTATTTTACAAATATATTCACTTTAAACGAACTTTATTCAGTGTTGCTAGAAAAACCCCTTTAGATGGATACCTAAAACTTAATTTTGATGCAGGGTGGTTAGGAAACAGAGACACTGAATTTGGTCTAGTGCTTAGGAGCAGCTTTTATTAGTTTTTCCCAACTCAATTGGCTTGCCGAAGAATTAATTTCCTTTGAATGGAAAATACCCTTCTCAGATTCGCACGCGTAATCTTTTGTTTTCATAGGAACAAAAAGGATTAATTTGCAATAAAACATTATTTAAAAGGATGAAGAAACGAGTAACTGATAAAGAAGTTAAAAATGACAAATGAGGATAAATATTTAAAAACGTAATTATTGTTTCTTTGTATTTTTCAGTTATTTTTTAATACTTAATTTGCTTGAATTATCTGAAAGGTATATTGCATGTTTAGAGCTATGACTTTGCAAATTTAATTGTGACTTTTGTTAATTCTTTGCGATAAGTTACCGTTATACATACATACATACGATGTAAATCGATTCATTTTGTTTATATTTATAGGATTAAAATATTTTATAAATGTTTTTATTTATTTAGACTTATTTTACATCAAGCATGTTAATATTTAAAATATAAAATAAATATGTTTTCTTATGCATATATAAATTCTATATTGAGTCGTATTTTTTTTTTATAATAATATAAAGTTATATCATTATATAAATTAAATGGATAAATTTTGATATCATTACAAGGTGAAACGCATTCACAATAATGAAATTTTTACATAAAATTACATTGTTGTGCAAAATATACACACATACATATATATATATATATATATATATATATAATTTATTTATAATTTTTTCAACATTCATACCATGATTAATATCTTACCTGGGCAAAAATTTCAAAGGTTAAAACAATTTACTATCATATATGTTATTCTAAATCAATCATATAAATTATAGTACGTTTATAGATAATTTTTAAACATTTAAAATTATTTTTATTAAAATTAAAAAAATTTATTATCTCAAATTTATATAAAAAAAACTAATACTTACTTTAAATCATAAGTTAAAATATTTAATAATTTTTATATATGCTTTAAAGCACACTTTGAAAAACTGTATTTTTATATGAATAGTATTAATATGGTAAAATTAATATTTTTTAATCTTCAACTTAAAATTTAAATTTAATTTAAATTATTTTTATTATTTAAATCTAAAAAATATTTTAAATAAATTATTTCTTTAAAAATATTAAATATTTAAATTATTATTTTTATCTAATAACGTGTCATGCACTGTTCACTCAAAAAATAATAGAGAAAGACATTTTTGTAGCTTAGAAAATAATAAAATAATAAAATTTCATGATGAAATTTAATTTAACGGATAAAAATATTGGGATTTATCTATTAATATTAAAATATTTTTACTTATATAATATTTAAATTATAAAAATTATATATGTTATATTTTAAAATTATATAAAATATAATGGAACTTCATGCCTCACATGGCTACACACTAAAATATATAGCGACTTTTTTGTTTGCTAAGAATCTTGGAAGTGAAGAGATTCTTTTCAACGACCGCCCTGGGCCTCTGGCATTAGGAAGCTGGAAACGTGGAATTGCTAATGCCACGGACGATGGAATCTTTGGGCAGCAAGTTGTGAGGTGTGACGTTTTCACATGCCGTTTGGCGAGTACGGAAGAATCCATGCGTCAACCATATTTTTTTAGTTATATATTCTTATCAATATTGAAAAATAGTATACTGTTTTTTAAAAACATATAATTATGAATAAAAATATTTTTAATATTTTTTATTTTTAAAATTAAAAATCAACAAAGCATTTATTTTATGATTTATAATTTAAAATGCTAGCTAAAATTTGAAAGTATACAATAGTTAAATTTATTTTAAAAACACAATAAGTTGAAACGATGCTATTTTTTTAAAGTTAAAATACTATTTATATCAATATAAAAAAGTAATTTAATCATATTTACTTTATATAATTAATTTATAAATTTTATTAAAGGTTATTTTTTATCCTATACAAATATTAAAATATTTTAAAAATTACTTTATTTTTAAAATTATTAACATATATTAAACTAAAATTAAACAAACTCTTGGTCTATGAATAATAAAAAATATCCTTATACAAAATTTATTTTGAAAAGGTTGAATTTGTATAAGGAAAAATGCTAATAATATCTTCTCTAACATATTCTTTAATTTTTGTTAAAAATTATAAAAATATTAAATTAAGAGTAAAAAAAGTGAAGTTCACATAATTTTTAATAATTTTAGTTAATAAAAAAACGTGTAAGAGAATTTTTTGTTTGTAAATTATTTTATTTTGTAAAATAAAAATTAAACTTACAATATAAAGTTTTTTTAATTATATTTTTTATTTTAAAAATGCTATAAAAACAAGATAATTTATAATTAAACAACAGCGTTACAGTTAACATTTTTCTAAATAATAATAATTTTTATTAATATAATAATTTATGATTAAGTGATTGTATAAAAAAATATTTTATTAAAATATTATAAATTTATCAACACTTACATTTTTATAGATACTATTTTTTTATTACATCATTTATCATATTTTAAAACAATCCATATTTTTCCTTTTTTTATCCATTTTACACCTTAAAATTTATTGTTAACTTTTATTGGCGTAAAATTTGTATTATTCTTTAATATTATTAATGTTTTTTATTAAGTAAAAATTTAAAATATTTAAACAAAATATGTATATAAATAATGTTATAGTTAATAAAACTCTAAATTTTGTAGTGACTGCCAATGACAACATCTAAATAAGAAGAGAGTTTTGCAGGTTTGTCAATTTAGAAATGTTTGTAAAGTTAAAATAAAGACTATTTATGACGTGAAATTTTGAAGAATAAAAAAGGTGGATTCAGCGTTCCTTCCTTGTGTCATTGGTATGTAGTATCTAATATTTTCTCCCTCCTTTCCTCTCCGAGTACCTCAGTTTGTAGGTTTTTCACTCTTCACTTTGGAGGCGGTGAATTACGCGGAACGGTATTAAAGAATCATGCATATGCATCGCTCAAAATCTGTGTTCTCTTATTCGTTAAAACACCCTTCAATCGTCGTGCTGTGCCGTGTCTGCTTCTCAACCTTTCTTTGTTCTGCATTTACAGAGCAAAGCGAAACGAGAACATCGTGATGCATCTACACGAGGCACCGGCTACTCTCGGTTTCCACATGCCAGCAGAGTGGGAACCCCACGCGCAGTGTTGGATGGGTTGGCCGGTGAGTACTCTACATGCAAACTCTGTTATTATTTTGTTTTGTATTTTGTCATGGATTGAGAAGCTTGATGTTGCGTGACAGGAACGCCCCGATAATTGGCGAGACGGTGCCGTTCACGCACAACGTGTGTTTGCCAGCGTAGCATCTGCGATCTCAAGATTCGAGGCAGTAACGGTTTGTGCTAGCTCTGCTCAGGTAGGTGATGGTTGTTAGATATATTAATGAGAAAAGCTAGCGATACATTCTTTAAAACAGCTAATATTTATTAAAAATTATAAAAGTTGTATTAGTCTTAATTCTAATTTAACAATTAGAACTATTTTATAATTTTTAATAAAATTTAAATAAGAGAGTGTTGAAAAAAGGTGTTAAGCGTGTGTTTCTTAATGGATGGTGTTGTTTCTGATGACGCTTGAATTGGCTTGCAATCTTAGTGGGAGAATGCGAGGAGTCAGCTACCGGAACATATCAGGGTCGTGGAGATGAGCATGAATGATTCTTGGTTTCGTGATATTGGACCCACTGTGAATTTCTTTTCTTGAACATGGATGAGTTTTCTGCTCTAGTCTTTTTTTTGTGTTTAGATGTATAAGCATGCAGAGTGTGGTTTGCTTTGTTCAATAGTTTGTGGTGAGAAGAAGCACGCCAGAAGCTGGTATTGCAGTTGACAGGATTGCGGGAATTGACTGGAATTTCAATAGTTGGGGAGGTAAGACTCGGGTTTTGGATTTTTGAATCGTTTTATGCAAAGAGGGATTGTTAAAGTTTGAAGAATAGTTGAAGGATATAAATGTGATTTGATTATTATGTGTTGCTTGTTGGTTTTTCGACTAATGAAATTTTATAAATTGTTTAGGTTTTGAAGATGGATGTTACTTTGATTGGAATCTTGATTCCCTTGTTGCTAAGAAGGTTTGGGTGGCTAAATACTTCACTTATTTATATATTTATTTATTTTTGTCTGTGTGAGTTGCTTACGTGATTTTGTTATTGTTCATTTTTGCTAGATTTTGGACATTGAGAAGATTCCTAGATTTTCACATTCAATGGTGCTTGAAGGTGGAAGCATCCATGTGGATGGAGAAGGTAAGAATTATGCTTAGGTTTGCTGCCATGTTGAAGGTGTTTTTTTCTAGTTTTTGGGGAAATATTTGTATAAGCTTTTGATATAACACAGAATATGACTGGATATTACATGCTAGGTATCCGGCACTTAAACATCTCCAAATTAATGTATTTTTACTGCTGGTTTATTCAGGAATGAGAATGAGAGGCAGGATAATATTTTATTGCTAGTTATATTCATGAATGTGGTTCATTTCATTACTTCCATTTCAATATGTACTGAGATCAGATCATGTATACTTGGATCTTCTTACTGAGTTGATTATAAAATTTGCAAGTTTTTCTGTTTACTTCATCAAAATTTTCTTCTTTCAGGAACTTGTCTTACCACAGAAGAGTGTCTCTTGAACAAGAACAGGAATCCTCACTTGAGTATGAACCAAATAGAGGATGAACTTAAGGCATATCTTGGAGTCCGGAAGGTTATATGGTTGCCTCGTGGATTATATGGTATATAAACTTGATAGTGATCTTGTTCACAAAGAATCTTCCAATGAATTGATGGTATTTTGTCAGGATATTTAATTTTGAGTTTTGAAAGAATTCATATGAACCCTAATCATGAGTTGTAGTACAAGGTTCCATATAGATTTGGCTTTGGGCAAGAATGTTTCTACTTTTGAGAAATAAACACTGATTCAGCACAAAATGCATGATAGCTAAACAACAAGTTGTACAACCATATAAGTCAAATCTGGCTGTTCTCTAGTGGTGAATGCACTTTCCGTCAGGAAATTAACATCTTTGCATTTGACTATGCAGCTTTAACCCTTTCTAACACAAAAATTGGGATGTTTCACCTCAGCTCCAGTAACAATGAATTTGGCCTGAATCTTTTTAGTTAATTTTCTATAAAAATAAACAAGATTCTGGTAACTGTTTTATTTTGTTATGATGGTCTTATAATGTATTTGAGGATCCTTATGTTGGTTTTACTAACTTCATTTTGTTACTACTTTTTTTTTTCCACACAACCCCAACTGAGGTTGTAATTTTTAAGAGCTCTGTCCTGTCCTGCATTGTTGAAAGTGATCATGCCAATCTTCATACATTTAAAGAATTTTCTAAGCTAGGAAATTAGATGCTTCTGTAGAGATGATCTGGAAATAGTGATACTTGTTTTAGGTTCAAAGTTCTAGTTAGATATTATCTATACCCTAAATTCTAATATGCTGCTGTATGCAGGAGATGATGATACGAATGGTCATATTGATAACATGTGCTGTTTTGTGAAGCCCGGTGTGGTTCTGCTGTCTTGGACTGATGATGAAACTGATCCTCAGTATGAAAGATCTATAGAAGCATATTCCTTGCTTTCAAATGAAACTGATGCCAATGGTAGAAAGTTTGAAATCATTAAACTCCATGTTCCCGGTCCACTCTATATGACAGAGAAAGAGGCTAATGGGATTGTTCAGGTAAAATCCAACTTTTTATTTCTTTCCTTTTCCATTTAATTTTTTCTCTTCATGATTAATAATAATAATAATAATAATAAAAGACTATGCTATCATTATTTCGTTTCATTCAAAAAATTATAGAAATAATTATCATTGTGACCCAATTATCATTGCAGCTTATCTTTAAACGATGTATTGCATAGTTTGTTGCTATATGGTCATCAGTACAGAAGTTTACCTGTCTGTCACATTTAAACTCATTCTTTCCCTTGCAGCCATATGATTTGTTATATATCAAATTATTGCCAGTATATTTTGGTTAGTGCTAAGATTAAACGTTGGTTGGAAAGATGATATGAAACATTTTACATTGGATTGGGTATCCCATGGAAAACTAAATAGGTACACCTATGATTTTGTTGGAGTCCACTTGTACACTTGTTAGGTTACGTACGAAGAGTCAGTGAACATCTGTTAGGGTTGTCTTGTATCTCAAGTAGACTCTGCTCAAGTGGAAAGTTCAGTGTCCGAGTGGCATCCCTATCAGTACCCCTCGACCATTATTCTGTATTTTCGGTATTGGGTGTATTGTTTCCTTGATGGAATTGGTCAAAGCTTATGTACAAAGTTCAGTGTCCTAGCGCCAACTTTATCATTATCCCTGTACCATATTCTACATATTAGGTCAACATGAATTTCATTTGCAGTCAAGAAATGAACAAGAAGTTATGTTTTCAATTATATATAATATCAAGAAGAGCAACTGATCTACTGCCTGTATTAAGATTCAATGCATCCTCTCACTGTTTTGCTCTCACCTAATCAAAATCTTAACCGTGTAATCGGAAAATGAAAATTAGATTCTGTTTGGATCTCGAACTTATGTACTTTGGGTAATTTAAAGATGTAGGGTACTGCAATTTCTTGAAGCAGTTTGTGACCAGTCATCTTTTAAATTTCAGTTTGTGCTATGAAGAAAATGAGGTACCACAAACTAGACAAAAATTCCAATCAATTTTTAGTAACAGTGGTTTTTAATCAGCTGTAGACTTAAATTGTGATATTCTAATATTGGTTATGCACTTATGCTACAGCTCATTATAGGAAAACGGGTATACCGAGCTTAAATCAATATTGATACCTGAAATGGTTAAAGATTGAAGTGGTGCTATTTATTACCCCTCTGAGGGATAAATTATGAACTAGAGAGACTCAACTTCCATTTAACGCTTCTTGCATAATTCTATATTGCTCAGGATAATGATGCTAAACCTAGACTTCAAGGTACCAGGCTTGCTGCTTCTTATGTAAACTTTTACATTGCAAATGAAGCTATTATTGCACCCCAATTTGGAGATAAGAAGTGGGACAATGAAGCTATACGAGTCCTATCTGAGGCCTTCCCCCATCATGAAGTAAGTAAAACTGATTGTTAACATGATGTTTTTCAGTTGACGAATCTTTCAGCAATACGGTAATCTTTCAAGTGTATATGTCTAGTTGCAATAATTACTGCTGTTAGTGTTGATCGAGTAATATTTCTGAACGTATTATATAAATTTAGAGTATATTTTACCCTGAATATCAGAAGAATATCCAGCTAATTAAACAATGGTGATTGGTAAGTTGTAAGAATGAAACACCAGCATCTGTGAAACAGGCAACCGTCAAAATTTGAAGCGAGTACAATTCTGTTCTGAGGGACAGGAGATTAAAAAAAATCGTAGTGATAGGATATGAGGTTAAATAATTGTAGCTCCAAACACAACTGTTTGTTCTAGAAATAGCTTAGAACTAATCCTACTTAGTTCTTTTACTATCAAACAAGATGGATATGTTCTTTTGACTATTTTAACTAAAATAAACTCTGTTTCTTACTCAGCTTATCACCATAAATGATTGACGCATAAGAAATAGAGTAAAGTTTTCCGTGGAAACTGGCAAATGTATACCCATCATTTGGCCGATCTTTAGAGCCAATAGTAGCAAAATACTACTAATTTGATACTGTACTGTAGCATTACAAGTCGCTGATGAAACTGTAAAATATGGTTCTCATTTTTTTGCGTGGTTTTGGCTATTAAATGGCATTTAAAAATGTTTGCTGGTTCCTAGGTGGTGGGAATTGAAGGTTCCAGGGAGATTGTTTTCGCAGGTGGAAATATACACTGCATTACTCAGCAACAACCAGCCATTTGAGCGACGACAGTCTCCCAATATTCTTTGATAGGTGTTGTATTGGTGCTTTTGGGTTATCAGGATGACTGATTAAAATGGCCTGGTTTGCTCCTATTGAGCATGTATGCTAATCCCCAAATCCAATCGCTGCATGAAAGTGCCTGCAAATAGATGGAAAATCATCGAAAATAAAACCCGATTAATATTTGAAGTCGTAACGTTGCGGTTTACCCTGCTGAACGATTGAATTAATATTTTAAATTGTAAAATCGTGGCTTAGTCCATTGAATGATTGAATTGGATTTTTTTTATGCAGAACAAAGTCAACAAACTTTATTTTGTTGTATCCAATCTATAAGAATTATTGGGAGGCACCGGACCACAAGGTTCTATCTAACATGGTCCATGTTAACATTGACCATAGTGCATATTAATATTAAAATGAGAAGTCAAGATTTACCAAGTTATTCTTATTTTAAATGTTAAAATTATTACAAAGTTCTTCACATACCTAATACAATAAATTTTAACAAATTCAATATGGGTTTCTTGAATGTAGTCATGTTAGATCAGATGTAATTTTTTGGTAGATAAGTAAACTTTTAATTGACACTCAGAAAAATGAATACGAGCTAAATATTTTTAAAAGTTAATACTTCTTTTTGTAAATTTTCTTTAAATATTTGGCAGTAGTAACACTTCAATTAGACACTCAACTAAACAAAAAACAAATTTTCATTCTTCAATTACAAATTTGGGAGTTATGCTATTCATTTTGGCAACAAGCAACGATTTTTATGAAGTTCAACTTTTCTCTCACTTTTCATATTTAGTCATGAAAAGATAGAAAGTACACAAAATAAAAGAATGAGTTAAAATGCAACGATTAAATGTTACTTTAAATTTAAAAAAAATCTAAAATGATTTTCATGAGATTATATCTTTAATTACAAAAAAAAATATTTCAACAATTATTAAAAACAACATCATCAATAACGTGAAAAAAAATTTATATGTTTGACGTTTACTAAGCCGTGTGTTAAATGTACTGCTAAACTCCTCAAAAATTATTTTAACTTTTTTTTTTTTGTTATAGTCTTAATGAATTATGTCTTTTTTTTCTTATAAATAGGATAAGAAATAGTTCAATACTACATATATTATTTGTTGTAAAATATTTCAACCAAATAAAATTTTCAACTGAAGTTTGTAAAAGGATGATTCACATCATAATTATAAAAACATATGATTAATTATACAATAAGACCTTTGTTTTTGGCCGTATAAAATTACAGTTTGTTTAAATAAAAATCATATATTAAATTTTTATTAAGTGTGTGTTATACACAAATTTTAAAATGTTCATAATACTAAAGCGACTGGTATATATTCCCTCCAAGGATCGAGAGTCTATTTTGTGCAATTATGTTTATAATTCTTAAATTTCCGTTAAACATACAAATTAATTGTCGAATGCTCAAACAAATGGCCAATGAAACTTGAATCTGTGAAACATGCTGAACAATTGCTAGTTGTAGGACCCACCTCATTAGTCCGTCTTTGTGGAACTGTTTTGTCTATAGTTAGGTAATTAGCAGCACGTCCAAGTAGAATCACCACGTTATTATGATTATTATTATTAGTGTGCATTCTATTTAACATTTGACTGCAGTCTCTTTTATTTTTTTCAATTTTATTATTATTTTTAGAATTAAGTTTAAATATTTAAAATAAAAAGCTTTTATCAAAAAATATATTTATTGTATTAAAATATAAAATTATAAAAATTATTTTAATATAATATTATATTATTATTTATTACTTAAAATCAATATTTTGTTAAGCTCTACAAAATTATATACGATAAAAGTTAAATTTATTTATTAAAAATTATAACGATCAATAATTAATAGTATCAATTTATTAAATTTTATAATTTTTAATAAAAATTTACTATAAATAATTTTTCATCCTTATACAGGTTTATATATATATATAGAGAGAGAGAGAGACCCACGGATATTGTTTTTCAAGTCATAGTAACACATTGTTGGGCCAGCGTCATTAAAACAAAGGGCTTATCTCTTATGTCTCATATATATATATATATATATATATACACGACAGTAATTTTTTTTCCTTAAAATATACATAACAAAAATTTAAATTATAAATAGAAAATAAGAATAAATTTTATTTTAAAAATCAAATAAACTCCGTACTCTTCTATTTTTATTTCAATTTTTAAAAACATACTTTTTTTTTAGATTTCAACTATTTTCTTATGTTGTTTTATTCTTCATCTTTACTATTTGAAGTTTTATTATTTTTTCATTACCAGATTATTTGAACGTATTTTAAGTATGGTTAATTTTTAAATACTTCATTTATTGAATGTATTATATAAACTTAATGTATAATTAAAATTGGCCTATTCATTTGCCTTTATTGGATTGTGAAGCTTGATATTTTTTTGAAATTAAAATTTACATTTTTTAAAATTTTTTTTCAAATTTAGTTTTCACGCTTTTAGAAATTAGTTTTTAAAAGTATTAATATTTTCTCCAAAATTAAATTTTTATGCTTTTAGAAATAAGTATTTAAAATTAAATTAATTTCCTTACTTAAGTTTTTACACTTTTAAAAATAATTAATGGATAATAAAACTATTTTTAGAAGGAAATTTTTGGAATTATGATTTTATATTTTTTAAAAATAAAATAAAATTTTACATTTCTAAAAATTAGTTTAACAAAATATATTTCGTACTTTAGGGAATTAAAATAATTATTTTTACACATGTTTTTAAAGTTAAGTTTTCAGAATTTAATTTTTAAAGGTTAATTTTAAACATATTTTTAGAATTTAAATTTCAAATATGAAAAAAAAAATTATTATAATAAAAGATATTCTAAGAAATTAACAGAGTGTGAAAAGAAAAGAAAAATCAAAATAAAATAAAATAAATCCTCAAACGAAATACACAAAACTCGATAAATTTTTAATTTGAGCTCGAACGTGAAACTATCCATGAAAAGAGAACCCCCAAATAAATGAAACAGGTGTTTGGTTGAGAATGAAGCGATCCAAGAAAGGAGCTCATAAGAAAATGGGAAAGCCGAGTAAATAAAAGGAGGGAGGGTTGACACAAATCACAATTAACAAACCTCGTTACTCCCAACTCAATTAACGTGAAATCAGGTCTTCAAAAATTATCTTTTGGACACCTGATTTCAGTTCTTATTTTAATTTCAAAAACAACACACACATAGGAGAGAGAGAGAGGAAGAAAATGGGGTGCTCGTTCTCCGGTCTTAATGCACTTTACGATTCCGTTAACGGAGCCGGCGATGTGTGGATCAACGAGAACCGTTTCCGCATCGTGAGGCAGCTCGGAGAAGGTGGCTTCGCCTACGTTTACCTCGTCAAGGAGGTGCTCAACGACTCTGCCGCTGGTGGCCTTGCTAAAAAGCTCAAACACTCCTCTCATCTCTCTGGTTCGCTTCATTTCTTAACGTCTTCCGCATCCTCATTTCAATTTTCTTCCGTTTTTCTGAATTTTGCTCTGTTAGATCGTATCCTAGCCTGATCTGTGTGATCTGTGTCGTTTTTCGCATTTTAATGTGTCGCTTTTCTTGATCTGCGATGTCGTTTGACCTATCGAAAATTAAGATTGATTTTCCGTAGAAATTTCGATTTCCGAAACGAGTTTCTTGTTTTTTTCTTTTTAATTTTTATCGAAACCCACTGCTCGCTGGTGTGGATGTCCTAGGCTTATTTTAGAGATATTTATGCAATTCGGATGTTGTGTTGAGGCAACCGTGAAAGTAATTTTGTTCCTTAGATAAAATGTGATTAACGTCCTGTTAGTACTTCTCGCTTTGTCGGTGGCAATTGACAGGGCGTGTAATTTCCTTGCTCCTTTCTACAATTGAAAATAAGAGATTATATCTATTGTTGAGTCTGAGTTTAATTTTGATTATCAGCGATGAAGGAAGTTTCATTCATTGTGGTAACTAAAATTTTCAGTAAACTTTAAAATGAAGAAATAGAAAGGTCCATATGATTCGGTGGATCAAAATTATGCATAAATTATTATAATGTTTTTTGGCAGATGATGGAACTTATGCTATGAAAAAGGTCCTCATTCAGAACAATGAACAGCTGGAATTGGTCAGGGAGGAGATCCGTGTTTCATCACTGTTCAATCACCCCAATCTGCTCCCACTTCTTGACCACGCAATCATTTCTGTTCAAGTAAGTAGTTATTGTAGCCACCTTAAATGAAAAATAATTATAAAGAAAATCCTTCTGTTATATATGACTGCAACTGAAAGCTACCTTACTTGTTTATACCTTCTAGTAGCACCTGAGCTGTAACATAAATGACTTAAAGTGAAAGCATTCAGCATTCTCATGCAATTTTGTTGCTATCTTCACTGTAAAATTTTTCTGAGATGAAAAATGAAAACTCTTGTATAGAATACCTTGGTCCTCCATCATTGATCCTAATGAATAATTACTTGTAATGCAAGCCGAACAATTTAATTTGTTTAATAAAGCTCCTGAATTCTTGCCCCTACGACACCTGCTGCCAGGATTTGTAATGTTGAAGGGAACTACATTTTACAATCTAATTTGATGTTATAATAATAACATAAGATATTTATTTTGATTGAGCATTTGAACTTTATCAAAAAATTGAAATTTCTGGGTAGTAGAAGAAAAAGACACATTAATTATTATGATTTCCAGTACTTCTAAATGGCGTGTATTCTCATTTCTGATATCCTTTTTGAATGAAAAAGATGTTATATCCATTGTATCTCAACAAGACTAAACAGTCACATAGTCTGGTCAAAATGGTTTTTCTTTCTCAGTTCTACTTGTCAGTCTTGGATGAGCAAGATGATCTGATGTAATTTTTTCGGTAAAGCTCAATGATAATCGACTGAGATATGTGATTGTGAAGAGACTATAATGAGACACTGTTACAACGTTTTAAATGGTAGGTACTGAGTGCGATTTTGCATATCATGGCCAAGTTGGTCCTGGCCTATTATTCTACAATGTGTAATTTGAATAATTCTGTAAGAATAGTCTTTGTGCTTCTGGTATAATATCTTCTGAAAATATAGTATCACTACCAATGTATTTGCATGGGTATGACTTATGAGGTATGATATACAGATGTTGTTAAGTTTAAAGTTTTTGCTGATTCCTTAGGTTATGGGTATGATATGGATATATAATCAATTTTAAACTATCCATGCATCAGAGCTACCAATGGTACTGTTTTTCCCAGACTTCTATCTGTTGTTGCAACAGAAAATCTAGGTTTTCCAAACTTAGTGGCAAATGTGTATATTGTGTGATGTGGCACTGCTAATATAGTTTCTTAAGATTTCCAGTCTAGTAAAGTGATTATCAGTTACAGTGGGGAATAAAAATATGCTTAAAAGTGAGAATGTGTAGCTTTCTTCATTCCCCCCAGCAAGGTTTTGGCTTTACTCTGCTCTTCTCCTATTACAATTCTTGTGCTTTTATGTTTACATTGAATATGTACTTTTATCAGCAGCCTGCCCAAGGAACATCTTGGAACCATGAGGCATACTTGTTATTTCCAGTTCATTTGGATGGAACCCTGCTAGACAATGCAAAAATAATGAAAGCCAAGAAGGAATTCTATTCTACCTCAGATGTACTTCAAATATTTCGCCAGGTAAGAAGAACCATCTTTCTATTATGCATTTTGCTATCGCTGTTGAAACTCAAGATTTTCAGCGCTTGATATCTTGTTTGGTATATATTATAGCATTTCTTAGTTTCACTCACACACAACATTCAAATATTGACCTAGCAATCCCTGTGACATAGGTTTATTTGCTGTCTTAAGAATCACATTGTAGAAAAAGACAAATGGATTTCTGTGTGTTGTGCTTCTTTGGAATCAATCTGAAGAGCAATTTATTTGCCTTTTAGTTTCATCTTTCAATTTACTTTTGACATTTTAGGGTATAGTATTGCTTTGATCATGATTTTTTTTGTTCAGAAACTCTTTTAACCCTGTAAAATCAACTCAACAGCTTTGTTCAGGACTCAAGCATATGCACGGTTTTGAACCTCCATATGCACATAATGATGTCAAACCTGGTAATGTTCTCATAACACACAGAAAAGGACAACCACCTCTTGCCATACTGATGGATTTTGGCAGTGCTCGTCCTGCCAGGAAACAAATTAGCTCCAGATCAGAGGCACTCCAGTTGCAGGTACTTCTTTCTTCCCCCTTTTTTAAAAAATCTTTTTGAATAAAGAAAGATTATTTGCTGTTTTATTGTCTTAGTGCTTCCACTTCTTGCAATGCTGGCAATTTCTTTTACATGGCACAGAATATGTAGTGCTTAAAAGTATAACATATGTTAGAATGCTTTATGAGGCTTTTGCTCTATTTGAAGTTTATGAAATTTTATTGCCTAGTTCGTAGGTGCATATGCATCATCAGACCAGTAATGGATCTTTTTAATTTGTTACTGTGCATAAACAGTTCTATGTTTCAGTTAAGAATACTTAATTGCTTTGCTTAGGTTTTTCATTTTGGCAATATCAATTCTTATAATAGTGTTTTTCGTTTTGAATATGTTTTACGAATATGAAGGATCAAAGTTTCATTTCAGTCATCTAGAATGGATTTTCTGACCTGCTAATTGCTACTTGTGTAGGAATGGGCATCTGAACATTGCTCTGCTCCTTTCCGAGCTCCTGAGCTGTGGGATTGCCCAAGCCATGCTGATATAGATGAGAGGACTGACATTTGGTCTCTAGGATGCACATTATATGCTATAATGTGAGTATTAATCCTCAGTTTATATGATTATGCTAATTTTATGTTTAGAACTTCTTCTAATTGTACCTTCATATTTTTAATGGTTCTTTCTTTAAATTTTGTTTGTTTCCTCCAAACATTATGTTCTATATATCGTACAAATTAGCAAATGGATTAGAATATTTCAAAGAGTGCGAAGAAGGTTGTATATTTTTAGTTGTTTTTCAAGTTACTCAGTGACCATCCCCAACCAATCTCACTTTTAATGGATTTGCTATTTATTGTTGACGTCTGTGTGTGTTTGTGAGCTCCCACGGGGAAGAGAGTGGGGTTACATCTGGTCTCAAGTTCAACTAAACAATGCCAGAGTCTGGTTTGTTTTTATGGTGAAGAAACAACATACGGAGAATTCACATTTTTGTTACTTGAGTGTAACCTGAAAAAGATGGGAAAAAAAGCGGAAGTGAAAAATAAGTTATTTATTTTTTATGACCCAACCAAATTTTGTCATAAAAGATTAAGAGCACCGACCTCAAAAGAGGGGCTAGTGAACAACTGACCATTAGGATTAATAGCAAACCCTCTACTTATGATCCAGTCTCGCTGGTTCAAAATTGTGGTATGCTTGTGTAAAAGAAAGTTAGAAAACACATGAAATTATATTACTATTTTTTTTATTATTGCTACTCAACCAACAATGAACGCTAAAGAAAAACTCATGCAACTATCCAGGCCATTGGATCAGTATGCATATATTATTGATACAGGACAATGCTTGCACTAATACTACTTTTCCAAGTCTACATGAAATGAAATCCAATTGCTATGCACATTAGTTTGGTTTTGTTGTCTAAAAGCTATTATTCACTTGGTGCCATTACTCATTGATTTGGCACCTACAGAAATCTAATGGCAGAGGTGACACAGTTGTGTTAACTCTTTCAAGTATAGCTTGTTCAACGAATTGCTTCTATCAGTACTATCATTACCAATCTTATTTGTAAATGCTATTTTTTGTGTTATAGTTATGTCTTGGTAATGCACGTGTTTAATTGATTATTATATCACCTGACTGAATTTTTTTTCAGGTATGGGGTATCACCATTTGAATATGCACTTGGAGAGTCTGGTGGAAGCCTGCAATTGGCTGTTGTAAATGCTCAGGTCAAATGGCCAGCTGGACCAAAGTCCTCATATCCAGAAGCTCTTCATCAGTTTGTGTCATGGATGCTTCAGCCGCAGGCTGCTATGCGGCCTCGGATAGATGATATCATTATCCATGTTGATAAGTTGATTGCAAAGTTCTCTCCTTGAGTTACTGTGGAAGAAAACAGTGGAGCATGATGATTACATATTGCAGTCGTTTAAAAATTTCGTGTGCATTTACTGTCCAGTTATATGTCAATGGATAGAAAAAGCGATAGCAATCCCATGGATGACAGAGTTAACAGTATATGTATCTTCGTTTTTGGTGATAGTCTAGGTAGTCGAGAGTTGGGTTTAAAGAATTGTTTCTGTCATTTCTACATAATTTTGTTTCTTGTAATTTATGAAATGGCCAATCTCCCTGTGTCTTCAGAATTTATCCGCATAAATGGCATATAATTTATTTATTGATGTTCTTTATTCGTATTTTGTCTACCACTAGCAATTATCCATATATCTTCAAGGAGTATGTAGTTGACCAGCATTAGGCTCGCTTCTTGTTGACGTCGGAACGGGGATATCAATTATATAGCTATCTTCATGCTTCTGTACATTCAGAGAAATCACGTATATTTATAGGTGGCTATTTTTTGGGTTTTGTACATTCATACCCGGTCCCAATGGATATTTACCCTATTATGAGTATTTTTTGTGGGCACAAATTAAAAACTATTTATCATCCCTAAGCTAGACCATCTTTGTTAGGCCTAGTACTTAGAACATTATTAAAAAAGAGACCTGTTTTTATCTTTTACCGTTGTAAAATTTTATATGTTAAACAATAATCACTTTATATATTTAGGATTTCAATAATCACTTTATATAATTTAAATAATAATATTTATTTATTATAAAAAAACAAAAATTTAACTTAGAATTCAGTATGTAGGCAACCGAATTCTGAATTGTATGAAAAAGAGGTCTATTTGTGTAATAAATTTGGCAATGGGTCTATACGAGGAATTTTATTTTTTTTGTCATTTTACGGTAAAAACTCGACAGATAATATGATAAAAAAATTTAAAAAATAAGAAAAATAGTATAAATATATGATAATTATTACTGTATATAGATAAGTTATGTTATATGGAATTTAGGCCAAATCCCAAAAATCGAGACGGGTAGTTGCACATCACATCCAACGACAGAGAATGTCAAATGAGCAAAGTAAAACCGAACAAATAAAAAAGGCAAAGTAAATCTCAAATATGACTTCCTATTTCATAGAATTTGTCTAAACTACAGAATCAGTACTACCCCTACTTTTACATGACATAGACTTATTCTTTTGAAAAAAAAAATGCTAATTATTCTTTTTATATTCATATTGATTTTGCAGGTAACATAATTTTAAAAGTTTTGGTTAAAAGAAGTAAAAATTGTTTTGGTCGTAATTTTAAATTGGATAAGCTTTACCTTAATTTCATCTAATATTTAGGTTTTTCTAACTTCCAACCCTCTCTTTTATTTTACAGTTATGTTAGTTGAATAATTAAAAATTAATACAATACATTTATACTATTAAAATTATTTTATGTCCGTTACTTGTTTTTTATACATGCAAAAAACATTTTTCTTTATTTTAAGAATTGTATCCCCTTGAGCCCTGAAATGCTCAAATCAATGCCTCTTGGATTTGTGGTAAGGCAAACATCGCATCACCCAACATATAGATACGAAGAAAGATAACGGTATTTATTCTTTTAGTGGATATATTTTGTTAACCTTTATTTTCTTCTAAATTCGCATCTCATAACAAAATTATAAAATAAATTACATTAAGATTCTTCTACACATTTAAAACTAATTCATACATAGTCTTTAAGGAATGTATAAAGAATCTTTCAACCCATTCTTAAAATAAAATAATAGGTATCCGTAAGACCAAAGCCACCTATAAAAATGCAACCAACCCCATTAATGCAACAAGAACAAAAGTATCAAAGATAGTTTGGATGAGTGAATATATGAATCAAACATCACCTAACAATGGTATTGGCGCATTTGAGTGGAGCTGGAACTCTTCAGCCTCATTCCTCTATGGTGGGCTTGTGCCCATTTTTGGAGTAATTGGGTTAGCATTATTGGTGGTAGTTTGTTCTAGGCGTCAAAGATCTCAAACAGGGTCATTGTGCAATTGTGACATGAACAATTCAAAAGGGTCATCAAATACAGAAGATGATCAAGAGCCCAATGTTTTGGTAATTGTAGCTGGAGAAGAGCACCCAACTCATATGGCAAAGCCCCTCTCTCTCACTCACACTTTGTGACACCAAACTATACACTGCTTGTGAGAACTCATGAATCGTCATCATATGACTTCACTATTTTGCTACTTTTTTTTCTTTCATTGTTACCTTGCTTTTACCATGAATTTGCTTGTGTTGCATGGTTGTTCCGTTATAATTTTTTTATAACAGATGTTTAGGGTATAGATTAAAAATTTAATTTTTTTATTAGAATGTATAATAATAGACATTTTTTTTGATATTTTAATACATATTTATCGTAATTTTTAATAAAAGTTATCCTTTTATTAATAATTCTTTTACTAATAACTTTAAAGACACTGGTTCTTTTGTTGTGTGTTCCAACCAGAACTTAGGCTGTAGAAGTTAGGGAAATCTGGGAATTAAGGATGTGCTTAGGAAAAGAGAAAATGGGGAAGAGAAAAAAATAGGAAAAAAACAAGAGACACTTTTGTATTTGGATGTAGGGAAATCACGAGTTCACTAAGAAATCCAAATCGAGGAGAAGAGAAGAGTAATCGAATTTTTCTTTTTATTTTATTCATTTTAAATTTAAATATTTTATATAATATAAAAATTTGAAAATAATTATCATTAATAAAAATTTAAATTTTGAATAAAACTATTTTTTATTATTATTATAAATAACACTGTTAATATAATTTACTTTTTTTATTATATATTTTTATTTCAACAAAGTGAAAGATTTTTTTTTCTATTTTTACTCATCTAAATAGCATTTTTATTTTAATTCTTTCCCTTTTAAATTTTGTTCTTCTCCATTTTATCTTTCATCTAAACACATAATAAATTTCTTAACGTGGGAGATTTTTTTAGTCTACGAGCTCTTGGATCGTATGAAAAAAAAAATTATTTGCTTGTTCTACATATTACTTAAAAAAATACTTTTAAAAAACTAAATACACACTATTTTATATTATCAAGAAACAAAATCAGTGTCAAATTGTAACGAAAAACCAAAATAACAATATTCGAACATTTTTGTATGCTTTTGTTATTTATTTGATAGAATATTTATGCATAAATTTCATGATTAAACTTAAAATATGAACAAAAGTTTTACATTAATATAATTTCTAATTAAATCACATTAACAAGTATATTACTGTGTAAATAATAAGGATAAATGATTTTTATCAAATGCAGATAAATGTTTTATGTAAAAGATATTAACGTAGATATAAATAAGTTAATATTTAATATTTTTATTTTATAACTGTTTACAAGTTAATAATTAGTCTATATATAGAATTTGATTAATGTGAAATCGTGAGTTTCGACCTATTTGGGTCTTTTTTTTTCTTTCAAATATTATATTATAGATATAAAATATTATAGTTATCTTAGATAATAAATACTGCATTGTTAAATGATTGAATGTTTTTACTATAATCATTATTTTAATACTACTTACTTAAAATTATAGTAGTATTATTGTTATATTTTAATTACAGTCAAAGCGTTATTATTATTGTGTTTTTATTATTTTACATTAGCAAAAAGTTAAAACATATAGTATGAATTACTTGTTTGAAAAGATATATAAATGCTTTTTCTTAAATTTATATATTTAATGTTTTTTATTATTTTATTACTGTAATAATATAAAATTTATAATATTGAAAAAATTATAACTTCAATTTTAAGACCAAATTGATAATTTAGTAAACTTTCAAAGAGTTATTTGAAAATACTTTGATCTTTCAAGTTATGGTAATAAGCAAACATCTCAAATAATTTTACTTTAATATCTTTATTATTTAATTATTCAACATTAAAATTTTTAGAGAATAGTATTAGTGTTAAGTAAATATTTACGTGACTAAATAAATAGATTATAATTAATAAAAGCTTAAGTTAAGTTAATATTTCAATCCTTATAATTTTTTAAAAAATTTAATTTGGTCCTCATAATTTTAAACGTTTAATGAAGTCTTTGTAAATTTATAATTTTTAAATTAAATCCTTAATAATTAACATTTCTGTTAAGTATAATCACGTTTTTATGTAATTTAGTATCCTATTTCTGTTTTCTTTTTTGATTTTTTTATAATTATTTTTATACGTATTTATTTTAAAATTTTAAATTATACTATTATTAAGCGATATCTTTAATATTAAATGAATTTTACACATTTAGAATTTATATGTAATAGAGATGAATTTAAAGTAACTTTAATTTATTGTAAAAAATTCATATAAAGTTAGTGTAAAAATTTGAAATTACCATCGAAGAATTTAGACTTTAAACCTAAAATTTTTAGAAGTAATTTTTAAGAGTCTTTAAAATAATTTTAGGAGTGATTCAATTTTATTCTTTTTTAATACTTTATAGTTTATCATAATTTTACTTTCGTTTTAAATAGTTTATCATCATTTAGTTGTTAGGTATTGAATATGTGAGTATAAATATAGTTTTAAAGATAGCTCTCTAATTTTAGTGTTGAATTATTTATCATCTTGCAATAACAAGATTTAGAAATTAAAAAAAAATACTTATAAAAATAGTTACAGAAAAAATAAGTTCATAATAAATTAGAAATGTTATATCATTAATATTTAGTAGAGATATAATAATATTGGTTGCTAGAGATTTAACTAAAATATTTTAAAATTAAAAGAATTTAATTAAAAATAAAAACAATTATAAAGATTAACATATTAATTTTACCTAAATGTTATAAAATTAATATCATATTAGATAAATAAATGAACTTCAGACAGACACAAAGACTTATGATATCAGATTGTTCTTTCAAATTTTTGTAAAGACGTGTGAATTCCTACATATGAAAAGACATAAAATAAATTATTCTTAATCTTTAAAAGATATATTGATATTACAAAACTTTTAATTATTAATATCGTAAGAATAATCTTTAAACTACTAATATCATAAAAAGAAAAAGACATACACTGCAATATATGAGTATAAAATTTAGTTTATAAACAATACGTACATGTGTAATTTATTAAATTTGATTATAAAATTGTTCTTTTCTATAGGAGATGAGAAAAACATTCAAAGGAAACACTCAAAGTAAACATTAGTTTTACACGTAAATTGTATAGAGAAACCTTATAATATATTGCACATATATCGTTTTGCATGTACATAATAGATGCATTACGATGCTCATAGGTTACC